GTTTACGTATGGCCATGCTTGGCAGAGATCAAGTTATTTTGCATGTTAAGGATATTTCAATACTTTCGTTAGAGGTTTTTTCGACAAAAAACGCTTATATAAGGACATCGATAGATAACCGCTTTGTGTTAGGAGTTGTGTTTGAAGGAAAAATTTACCACTAGAGATTATATTAGATTACGTATAAAAATCTGCGAGTATCAGTTAAATTCGCTTCATCTCACTAACAGTAGATTTTGGGTCAAAGAAAGGACATCACGAAAATCCGAGATATAATTGATTTTGGATTTATATTCTCAGAGCAAAACAAGATTAAAGTTAAATCTGACCCGGTCAAATCGGGTCATCTTGGGCCAAGTTCAGATGTTTTTGTGAAAACAATAAATTCCTGAAATAACTGTCGATGGTTTCCAAAAAATTAGAAAGATTTATCTGAATGGCAAAATATAAATTAAATTTTGTTTTAAATTCAGTGACAGTTACTAGTCCTAATATATACGTGTCGCGGGACATCCTACGTCACATCGCTTAATTTATACTATTATAACATCACAATAGTCAGTCTTATAGATCATTTTTAATGTACTTTTTGGTTTCATCGCGATACTAAATATGATACACTACTGTATTTAGGCACGATGGGCAGTTAGAAGGTTTTCTATAAAAAAAATTATATCTCACTTGTACATCAATGTTATAAATTCAAAGTAGTTCAGTTTACAAATTAAAAAATAGTAATGTGTATGATGTATATGTGTACTATCGATACCGCTGCGCTTAATGATCTGAGAGTTTCAAATTATTTTGCATATTCATATCTGCCCGGATGTATCTCATGAGTGCGTGTTTTTACAGCTTGTACTTGAAGCCACTCATGTAGTTAGCTTAAAATATAGTTTAATTTCGTGACTTAGTATGGAACTATGTCAAATGTACGATAAATGTTTTTTTTTACATACCGACTTGACTTAGGAAAACAACAACGAAACAGTTTGATTGACAGAGTTGCAAAACTCCCTGAACATCGTAAATGCATGAATACTTACGCAATCCTTGAAGGTAAAATACGAGAGACTTCTGAAAAAATTTTGAGAAAACGAGAAAGGCGGAAAAAGGGAAAGAAAGAACTTTAGAAAATAGCAATAAAAGAGATTCCTGCTGAATTAGGAAATTTATCAGCTGTCACAGCATTTTCATAGTGCAGTAGTTCCCTCAGAGCTATGACCATTTATCGATTCAGAAACTACACTGAAAAAAACTACATGAAAAATGTTCAAAAAAATATTTTAAAACCAGCGAAAAAATACTAAGGAGATGTCAAAAGTTAAAATGCTCAAAATTAAGTTCATAATTATTGATGGATTTTAAAATTTATTTTATCCCTTTGTCCTAGGTTTCAAATCGGTTGGTGCTCAAATAGGTTGTATCATCACCTGACTACCTAATCTTATTAAAATTATGTGTGTTATAAGAAGCAAATGGTGGTCCATCTAATTACAGTAAGTTCTTCAGTTGCGTTGTTGGGTTGCTTAATCATAGCACTTCGTTGAATATATTTCTTCATATTAATACCGAAATAACTTTAGGTTTACCTCTTTTTATTAAATTCGTATTAAGGTACCAAACATCGGTTTTTGAGGTTTCTGAATTTAAACTCTTGCAAAAGTTCAAGACTATTTCGAGAGCTATGTCAATTTGAGAGAATTTTTTGTTGGGCAAATGACGATTGGCGATGCCAAAAATCGTTTTTCTGCAATACCCCATAGATGGAGTGTTCTGTCGGATCATTACAGCGCTATCCGTCTTCTGCTCGCGCCTAGTAAAGAATAATTTCACACTAGGATGACATTATTTCTTTAAATTTTAAACTTTGTATTTGTTTCCGGCTTTTGCACATACACTTGCATCCGAGCGTAACGAGGCACGCGAGTTAACAGCGAATAGGTTCATCTTAAAGTCACGCCTTTCGTAAGAAATGGGTTCCAAGTTTTTCTTGGCGATTGAGGTCATAACGACAATGTAATGTGCATACAACCAAACTAATATAAATTCTATTTCGCAGTAGAATAAATACGTATGTCCGTGTATTTGCACTGAACTGCATCAAAGCTTCGACGTAACACAAATATCGTTTAATAACGGAAACCGTGATTGCGATACCACTTAACCATCATATTGGTTTTCCAACCCCAAGAAAAAATTAAAAGTACTTTCATAAACCGGAAACCGAAATACATCTACAATTGAAAATCATGATTCTGAAAATATAAAATAGGAAGAAACTCGAAAATAGTTATGGTTTAGTTTACTAGTCAATATTTATTCCATAATAATAATCTACATGTTTCTAATAATATGTTTCCGACGTAAAGCACATATGCTTGTTCATGCCGAATACGTGACTGTATGTTTGGGTTCATGTCGAGTTAGAATGATAAATTACTGCGGTAAGATAGAAAGCGTTAGATAAGCGTTTTTAGGTTGCTGTTGTAGAACTTATCACAATTGAAATTTGCTAAAATCATACAACATTATGACATCATAATGTATATCTATTAAGTTCTTTCACCTCGATGGCCTTTTTGCAATTTCACTTCAAGGGTGAATGCATGTGACCTCGCTTTGAGCAAATTTTAAGAAATACCGATGGAGTCTCGCGTGACAACATGGCTTTTTCAAAGAGATTGATCATAGGCATACCCGGTCGAGTCATTCATCTATGAAGCCCGGGTAAAGTCTCAACTTTCACTGTAACCTAACGTGCCAACTGAATGCGCGTTACTTTGTTTTATTACGCTTTGTTGATAAGGGAATTTTAATAATCGAAGCGTTATTTTTTATATGCGAAAATAATAAAGAAATTGCCACATAATCTGCCAAATGCCACATTCGTAAATAGGTACTGTTCAATTCAGACAATATAAGCCAATAATCAATACAATTTGTCTGCAATAAATAAATTATTTGTGTTTTGGATGTGTTCAATCACTTGCATACTTTTTGTTCTGGCTTGTGCAGTAGAGCACGGAGATAAGTTAGGCCACGCGGAACCGGCACGGGTCACGTGACACTAACCTGACCGCCGAGTGAACCTATAAGTCAGATGTTTGTGAAAAACGCCAATCTCTTTTAAGCCGCAAATATTTTTCTTCGTGTATATATAAAAGCTCGTACTAAAGCGATTGTATAAAATTGGAGCGCATGAGCGGATTATATCATTAGAGTGGTAGTTTCATTCTCGGAATTGAGTCCGCTTCGTTTTAAGTAGCCAGTTGAACATATTTGTGCTGATCCGTTACCAGACAAGTGTGGGGCAGAGTATGAGTGTGCAGATCAGATAAGATTCATTTGCGATCCAAGCTTGAGAAAGCTCATGCCGATTGTGCCAAAAAATAAATACATTGGCTGACACTAATTGATAACATATTTGCAGTGCATTTTTCTGTATAATTTAGTACAGTTGTGATTGTTTGAATGGAACCTTTTTGAAATAAGCTATTATTCAAAGACAGAAAATTGCCGACAATAAATAGAGCTTTAATTGTGAATTATAGGAATGTCATGGGACCAGTGAATCTTGTGAATTTCGTTGATGTATATGAAGGTAAAATCTGTTTCATGGCGTGAGTATTCGTAAAATAATCAAGTTTGTGAATGTTGCCAGACCGTTAGACGCAATGTTATTTTATCACGCAGATTTTACCGTAAAGAACCGTTCACTACCGCACTACATTAATTTCAAATTCTTCTAAATGTACTGTAACATTTGAAAAATTTTCTAAAATATTTTTCGCAATGTATTTCATCATTTGTGGCAAAAGTATGTGATTGACATTCTTGGCAACCGACGCGGTACTTTAATAGTAAATCGCTTTGTTGCAACAATGTTATCCGCGTTTAATTTGCGTTCAAACATGTATTCACATTTGTCCTATATTCATGACGTCACCAGACAAGCGTAAAATATAGTTGGTAGTGTTCCGGTTTCGCACGCACAGAATAAATGACCTCGTCGTTAGGTCGTGGGTATTCCTCAACTGACAAGCTGTTTTGTCAGGTATAGTACAAATGTAAACTAAATTTTCATAGTCCACGTTAGAATCAACTTCATTATGCCAACAAGCTGACAACTCTAGTTAATATGTTTTTATAGTCGTCTGGTTGAAAAAACGTTGCTTGCACTTAAATTTCTGTACAAAGGTGATATAAAATCGACTTGTCATACTTTCCAACTAGAAAATAAAAAAGCTTAATCTAGCTAGTGTAACTGGCTATATATTATAGTTCACAAATCTTTCTTTTGTATTTGTAAGCGAAAATTATATATTCCATAAAGTAGCAAATACAGCAGGGCTGAAATCCATACCCCACACTTTCTTGTGCTCGGCGTGCTTTTTTACTGGAGGGAAAAATCTCGAAATACTAAACGCCAGTGGTTAGATAATCATACGCACATATTTATAGTCCTCTGTGTAATTCAGTAACGCTGTAATTTGTCAAGTTGAAATATCTACAGAATACGAAACGGGCGTTGACCCACGACGCCAGAAAATTTACGCTTGCATAGTTCAAAAAATAATGTTTCACCTGACTCATTTCTAAAATAGAAAATAAATGCCAAGCTACCAATACTATAACCAACCAATACTACAAATAACAACATTTATTGTAAGAAACCGGCACTATTTTTTGATATGGTGTCATATGAACTTGTGCTCGTGTTCATATTTTGAGTTTGAATCAGTTGAAAACAGTGAAATTCTTGTAAATATTACTTCTAATATGATCGCATAACTTTGTGCGAAGATACAATTTTTGATTGTATACGTGGATTAACACCACATTAAATTATAATATTTTTAGGTTCCTATTTTATAACAAAATTATGATTCTAAATGCTGATAATGTATAGAGTCAAATATGTGTTATTTTGAAAAACATAGACAAAGTGACAAATATCACATTCAAAGCAAATGATGATTTATTATTATTTTTCAGTATTGAATTACAGCAGAATGATTTGTATTAAAGTAGTCGACATCTCACGATCTTGTTAAACAGATTTAGCAAACAAATGCTCAGACAAAATAGAATGCCAACTGTTTCCGGAGTAACACAATTGAGTCTTTACAAACAGGAAGCCGTATTTTGTCATTTCGAAATGTATTGAGCCATTGAACGCCAAATGCGAATCAAAAGACTACAAAGTACATGATAGCTTTGAGATGATAACCATTCTCACAAGTACGTTATGTGGAGTCGTTCTTTTGTATTATTTATCAAAGTTGGCTTGGAGATTATTAATCTTATGGCGAGCGAGAGATCCCATTTCAAAATATTCAAGATTGCCTATTCCTCCGGGTGATTTTGGTCTGCCAGTTATTGGAGAAACTCTGCTTTGGGCCGTCCAGGTAAATAATGTATATATATATATATATATACATCTTATATCATTTAGTTTTTAGTTAATTTATTTCATATATATTTTTTTACGCAATTATTAGCTGGCTGCTTGTTAAAATGCACTATGAGTTTTTGCACAGTCTTCGAAAAATTGTAATCGGAGCTTTGATTTAGACTTTGGAGACTAGAACATTGAACCAACTCAAAATTAAAAAAAAATGAACCGACACAAAAACTAGGTTCCACATTTTTTTTGTTCAATTTTATCCGATATTATATTATACAATTCAGATAAGTCCAAAATTTAACGCAAAGGTGAATGTCATAAAATTTGTTCTTTCGGATTGCACCTCGGGTATAAATTTTAATCTCGTATCTAGACAATTTTAATTGTACAAAAATGAAAATAAGACGACTCAACCCAAATTGTTATATCTTTCAGGGTAGCCGTTTCAATTCCACTAGGCGTGAGAAATATGGAAAAGCATTTTCAACAAATTTTATTGGGAAAACGATGGTAAAAGTAACTGGTCCCGAATATGTGAAGCAGGTAAGATAAATTGGTAAAATCAGACAGATTTATTCGAATCAAATCCGCCATTTTAATACACACATTTTATAAACTTTTCTGATCAGATATTGACAGCCGACTACGACACAGTTACCACAATTTGGCCGACAACTATACAACGCGTACTCGGCGAAAGCTCAATAGCGAACTCCGTGGGAATAATTCACAAGCAAAGACGAAAAACGTTTCTAAAAGCTTTCACACATGCTGCCCTCAACAGTTATATTCAACAAATGCACAAATTAGCAAAGAAAAGGGTAAGTATTTTATACTCTGAAATTAGTGTTACAAACAATTAGCAATAAATTATATGTATGAAATATATTCAGTTTGCAAACCCAGTTATGGGCCAGAATACTAATAGAAGTGAATGTTTTTGCCCTCATTCAGCAAGAAATATTTTATAATGGCGTAAATGAGATATATTGAACATCTCGGATAATATAATGACATAATTTATGCTTTGGAATATAAATATAACATCCGCTTTACTCGAGTATAAAAATATTGCAAATCATCATAATTTCCAAAATATTCGTTGCAACAATGATTGATGTGTAGGATAATTACCATAACTGCCCATATATATGCCTCACCACTCCCAGGAGTGTCGAAAATAAAATGCCTACGCATGTTCAATAATTTAAGCACTGGAGGTTGGGCCGCGGATAAATATTTCTTTAGATATACTATTCATACATGGCATCAGCTTGTGTTAGAGTTTGAAGAAAGCTAAGAGTATAGACAGAAATCTGTATCATTTCCATGTTCCTTTTTAGATGAAAATGTGGGCGGAAACACAAACAACGCCCCTTGTTTATCCAGAGACGAAAGAAATGACCTTTGATATCGCTTTCCAAGTCTTGCTTGGAATGAATTTCAAGAACGAAGATGAAAGATTGAAATTATTCAAAACCTTTGACACGATGATTACAAATTTATTTTCTCTTCCTTATGATTTTCCGGGTTCAGGATTTAGAAAGGTAATATTATTATCTATTAAACATTTTGTCTTATCATTCAAAACCTTTGACACGATGATTACAAATTTATTTTCTCTTCCTTATGATTTTCCGGGTTCAGGATTTAGAAAGGTAATATTATTATCCATTAAGCATTTTGTCTGTTTTAGCAACTACGAGTTAAAAAACCGGATCACTGTTTAATTTTCAGTAGATGCTGACATCTTTTACTTTCATTTCTCTTTATATCGATATGATATTCTAAGCAATTCCAGTTTTGATAATATTATTGTACCGGCGAAGGATTCTTTTCTGCGTTCTGCTATCATTCATTGAAAGTACATTAAATCATCCAATGGAAATAGTTTTAAATGCTAATAACAGTAATTTTTTTCAAAGGCATTGGAAGCTAGGAAAGTAATTCACAGTTTGCTCGACAGTCACTTGAAGGAAAAAAGAAAGAAGGTTCGAGAAATGATAGATGAAGGTGAAGCGGCGGCTGATTCTTCCGATGATGCAGTCAAGAACGCATTGCATTTCATATTAGAATACGAAATGACCCAACATTCGAGGTAACGTTGTATGTGTTGATAAATTTTCACATCTTTGCCGCTGACAAACAGAACTTTGTTTAGGTCGTGGATGGATACGTCTCGACTTCAAACTGTTTGATTTAACATAATTCAGATTCAATAAAACATGTTTTTTGAATAGATCGAATGACTTCCTTCGCAATCCCTCTGGATTCAAAGATTATTGTACCGAGAGTTCTGTCCACTGGAAAGGCATATCTAATTTTGAAGATCAAATAACTTGCTGTAAACCTTCCGAATTCTAAAACGAGAATATCGGTCGGAGACCGAAGACTTATCGATCGAAACTGCGGTTTCGATTCATGACACTATAGTGACACTGCGTGTCCCATACTAATTAATTAATAACTTGCTAATTATACGACATAATTCATCGAAAATCAATAGGCTTCTGGTCCGAGATATAATGAATGCACATGCAAAATTTGGAGCAGATTCAACCACCTATCCGTGAGATATCGCGTGCATGTAACAGACAAACAGACAAATACCAAATCAACATACTTACCGATCTAAAGATCGATGAGTAATTACTGTAACCGGGGTTCTGTCTACTATCTCTCACGTGAAATCACATTAAACTAGGTCTGGGCTATCGCGACTGCCGTGTGCATTTTAAAACCATAGAATGCCGGTAGGGTTACTGACTGGCAATCGTAACCGTGAGGCGTTCCCACGACTGTACCGTGTTTTATTTTGAATATATAAATAAAATACCTTACTGTGTAAACCTTACGAATTCGAATCTTACTGTAACCTGCATTCTTCCAACTATCTCTAACTAACCTCACTAGTGATAACTATTTGAACTAGGCTGTCTGGGCTGTAGTTTGAATGACGGAATCATAGGGTAGGGTAACTTTTTATCACTGCACAACTGACAGGCATTTCCACGACTTTTGTTGAGTAGATGCCGTAATGTCATCGAATTTGTCCATTTATTTCACATATTCGATTATTCCTATTTCTCTGCAGAAAACTCAAGCGCGCAGATGAGGATATTGGAGAGCACGTGATTGAGGAAGAAGACGAAGACCGTATGCTTTCTGACATCGAACTGAAAGAAACAACAGTAGAAATGTTGTTCGCAGGCTACCAAACAACGTCTAGCGTATTGACATCTGCAGTCATAAATTTCATAAGATCCCCGCACGTATTCCATAAGATTGAAGACGAATTACGCGAATTTGGTCTCTTGTCCGACAATGTTGACGACTTGGTTGGACAAGTTGGTACAACAAACAATGAAACTCCTGTAACTGCACCTCCGGCGACAGAAAATATATCGGTAATAATTGATAATACTATACCGGTGCCTCGTGTTGCATATTTGGAAGGTAACTCTGGATCAAGTGAAGATACTTTGAACAATAACTCTGGGTTAAATAATAATCCTCTTAAGTTTGACGGTAGTCAGGGTGACGACGACAGAAACGGTCCTGAACTTACGTTGGAACTTCTTTCCAAGATGTCTTATTTAGAGCAAGTTATGAAAGAGACGTTGAGAATAATGCCCCCGATTTTGGGAGGATACAGGATGGCTTTGAAAACATTTCAGCTTGGGGTAAGTTTGCATATAAATTTGCATGAAAGGATAAAAAAAATTGACACGGCGTGAAATACTTTTAATGGTGCTTAAAAATAAGAGTGAGTTGAATCACGAGCTAAAAATTGTGAAGTCAATGTGATGTAGAATATTACGCAATATATACTAGGTAACAATCAGCTGGCTCGCGAAATGGAAGATACTCCAACTGCGTTTTCACATCCACCATTGAGTTTTATGTTTTTATTTTTAATTGAATACTAAATGATATGGGTTAAATTATGTTCTACTCGAGGCTACGTATCCTAATGAATTAAATACTTCCCGTATTGCCAGTTTCAAATAATGTGTCATTTAATAAGACCGATTACACTGCATCCGGAAGAGGCCATGTCAAGAAAAAGATAGATTTTTGTTCTAGATCTAGAGCATCCAAAACCAAATCATGGTCGCCTTGAAATAGCATGAAATTGTTTCCGTTATAATCAACTGATTCAGCGAGTTGCGTACTAATGTGACCGCTTCCCACAATTTACAGAAATATCGAATTCCCAAAGGTTGGACAATAATTTATAACATCAGAGATACACATGAAGCGGAATGGAGCGAAGATATGGAATTTAATCCAGATCGGTTTTCACCGGAAAATTGGAAAGAGAGCAGAGAATCACGATTCAGGTATTGAGTCATAGGTTTCTGTACTGAGTATAGAAAGTTACCAATATTTCAACTAAATTGATCGATTCGACTATGACGATTTATCTCTATGGTCGAGATAAACTGGACTCATTTTTAAAAAAATTGTATTTTTTGGCCACACACGATTGATCGTTTTAATAATCTAAAACGGCATTCAATGTAAAAAAATGTGTTTGGAAAATGTAGAGTTACACATTTTGTTTATACACAATGTCACAATATCTATTTAAAACGTGAATAATTCTATATTCGGTCACGTGAATTGATTTGCATAAGGAATCAGCTTGGATTTGATAGACTTTGTGTGAGCGTACTTTCCAGCGTCTGGTGAATAATTTCAGCCTTGGCTGGGCTGGGTTTCGCGCCTGAAGTGAGAGACGTTGATCTACCATGTTTCCCCGAAAATAAGACTGGGCTTATTTCAATTTTCTTTCGAACAATAACACTAGGGCTTATTTTCGGGGAATGTCTTTTATTTTCATTTCTCAAATACAAAATTACAGAGTACGAGTACGAAAATTACGAGATTTTCAAATGTACAAAATATGAAAACCGATATGAGAGACTTCTTGCTATCGACTGGATCAAAAAAAAATTCGTTTCATTGACTAGGTCTTATTTTAAGGGGAGGGCTTATAATACAATCATTTTTAAAATTCAGGCTAGGTCTTATTTTGGGGGAAATACGATAATATATGAATGCAATTCCGCTTTTTGACTTCTGTTCTTCAAAACCTTATCGCAGACTTTCTGATGTATTCAAATCGTTTCTCATCAATTTTTCACTCCATCATCATCTTGCAAAACAAAAAGTTCATTCAAAGTTTGACTTTTCCGATTATAATTAAAAATTTGGAAAATGCCGTCACGTTTTTCGTTAATCCTTTTGCAAGGTAAACTTGTTAATGGCTTTTAATAACATGTTTCGTGTGGCTTATCGAAAATACATAACCAAATAAGCTGCACTCAGAAATCGATTTTGACAAAAAACTTCCAACCACCATAGATATTTTGTACACATATGTAATATGTAAAATACGCTTAACCAATTTACTAATTGACGAAAATCCAATATTCATCTTTATTTTAAATCCAACGACATCAACATTCAAGAAAGGATGGTCAGCTTTTTACTCAAAGTCTATGCAAATTTAATTAGATCATTTTTGTCGAGTTATAATATTCACCCATAAGTTTAGCTTACTTATAAGTAGATTATTTAGTAAACATTAGACAATGCCTTTTCTGAGAAAAATGACAAATCCCGTCAGTTCAGGCTAGCTAGCTATAGGCTGTTTTATCGAAACATTCTGCAACATTTCTTCACATTTGACATAATCAGAACAAATGAAATTTTTTTGAATATTTATTCATTTTTCGACTGTAAAAGATATGCAGGTTTTCATTTGTGTGCGCAAGTTGATTAAGCATTATCAAAACATACTCTGAATTAGATCTTCAAAATCAACTGCCCCTCGCTGAAGCTTTCGGTATCTTTACTCCATTTTTTTCATTCTTGCCACTAATAACTTAATTGTATTTGGGTTAAAATGATCATTTACAATTTAAAATTCGACATGGTGCATTTACAATCTATGTATATTGTTTTTTAAATTTTAGTTCAATTATCACGCAGGTGTCGTAAAATGACGCCACGAGACGACCAAATTCTTGAATCCAAAACTGGCGATATTTCAAAATCCAATTTCTACTGAAATCATGTCTAAATTGAATCCTACGCATTGTGAAACAGGATTAAAACAGAAATCAGTATGGTATATATTTGCAAATGACAAATCTTTGTCATTGATTGTCAAAAAGAGTTTTACTTATTGGCACATCATAGCCGAAAGTTTGAAACATAAACTTCAAAACCAAAAATGTACGTAATAGGATTATGTTTTGTTTAAAATACCATTTATATAAACTGATTGGTGAAACATCGTTTCCTTCTAATGACCTTAGTTTTGAATGACGTGATGTGATCTGAATGTTTATCATAAACAATATTTTATTCACAAACAAAAGTAACATTAACCCGTTTGTTACGTCTGGTGTCATTCATTATGCTTAAACTCCATAAACTTGTTGAAGAGCAAAATTTTAGAATTTGACAAATGTGTGTCAAGGTGCACATGAAAATCGTTTTGAATTGATTCTAAAAATAAATCGTTAAAAAGAGTAATGTCCAGAATTTGATCGCTCATCCATAAATTGTGGTTCTATCTTTTAACCTGAATTAAATTTATCTTGTTTTGAGTCGGTCATGCGGTAAAAGTGCGTTGAAAGTTCAAAAGATAAATATAAATACCATACATTATTATGATTTTGTGATATCATATATGATTGATTTACTGTATATTTCTACCTACGAACTTTTCAAATATGATAGGAAATATGAACGGGCCAATTTTTTCTCGATTTCCTAAATACATATCCACAAACCAACAATATAAATACGTTTTTATTTTTGTGTAAAAACAATTTTGATACTATGAAATAGGTTTATTCTGAGTAACGCTTTCCTTTTATATAATGAAGATACGATACCTTTTTTCTTTAAATTCCTATTTAAATCATTATACCTCGCCAGTGATTGCGACCACCATAATATAAATTAGTCTAGCAATTACTGCTGTAGCATCACAAGCTAGAAAATATTAATTTATAAATCTTTTTACTCTCACCCACTAGAAATTTGATATTTTATGACAAATTCGTCATAATCTGAAACTTAATGAAAGTAGCCTTTCCATGCCTAGAATCATCCATTTTAAGCGATCAGATGTTGTTTTCTTTTGTTGAAATGGTTTCAAAAAATGGCCTTTTTCGAAAGTTTTGATGGATAACAATTCCACAACGAATCCGTTGAATATTATAATGTCACGTTAATGTACGTAATCGTCCGTCACCTCCAGATGAACTTTGAGGTCAAAAGTATAAATGATTAATTTGTTTGTTGAAAACGCATTGTTATTTGTCTGTCAATTTGCGTGCATTATCGAAAAAAATTATTTTAATATCTCTTCATTTATCGGTGTAATCACGTCGGTGCCATAGATCAGAATGTTTTGGTTTCAAATGACATGTAGCGGGGAGATAAACCTATTAAGACATTTCAATCTATATGTAATCTATATATCAAAGTTGCTGGGATATAGCCTATTTTAAACTTGAAATATCAACGTCGTTTCTAACAGAGCACATGTGGCTGTTTGCCAAAGGTTCAGAGATGAGGCTCAAGTAAAACGGATAATTAAGACATGGTATTTCTAATAAATTGTCATAATTTCGAAGTTTCTTCCAATCATGACATACAATGAATCATGTCAGCCAAAACCCTAATTTATTGAATAAAAAAACAAATTTATTCTTCTTTTTTCAAAGGTGGATACCGTTTGGTGGAGGATCTCGAATCTGTGTCGGAAAAGAGTTTGCGCGTCTTCAGTTCAAAATATTTGTAATCGAACTCGTTCGAACTTTTCGAAAACTTGAGTTTGCTAAAGGAAAACCTCCTCCTATGTTTGCGATTCCGTTTTTGCATCCGACTGACGGACTTCCAGTGAAACTAACAAGAAGAAAATCTTCAACTACAAATGATATTAACTGCGACGCAAAAAGCAAAAAACTGAAATAATGTTTCATATAAATATAAGTCAACAAAAAGATTATGGTCTACTTTAGCAAAATGACAGCACTGGTATTATACCATTCATATTATTCTGGTCGATAACGCTTCGTCGATACCAGAGTTGGGACTGAGGTATAGACCAAGTCTAAAATATATTTCATATCGACTTGACATATTCATATCACATTTTTGAAGTACAACTGTTATGTATTTTTACGAAAATTGGAGATTAGCGCCAAGCAAGTGCTAACAACGGCTAAAACTGAGCGATTATGATTTCGCTATGATCTCTTAATGTAGCTGCTGTAATTGTGACGTAATTATAATAGTCCAGAATACAATATACAATTGATAGAACCCAATATTTTTATACATTTTTCTTTCATTGTAGGTTAGGGGTGGCATGGTAATTACTATTTACAGAAAAACTAAACGTGTCCATTCGCGACCCGCCCAAATGTGTATAAAAAAAACGGCAAAGTATTATAAAAACGCTAACAATGTACGTACCTCAAATTAATATTTAAAAATAATTTATAAATAGGCGAACATGATGAATTTTTTTTATTCTAAACAACTGTTCTGATTTTCAAAGCACAATCCTCACAATGAAATATTTCGTTTATCGCGTAGAACTATATTTTTATTAATTTTATTATTTAAAAGAAGATGTTTTGTGTGTCAACCTTTGTAATATTTCAATTATAAAATAATATTGTTGAATAAATGTTTGTTGAACTTATATAGTCTGTTGATGATTGCGTCTAGTCTGATGTAAACCATCTATATATGCATGTTACAGACTTAAATAAAAGACTACACTTTAGCTAATCTTAAAACTGAGGGGAATCGCGAACGCGTTTGGTTGAGGAGCGAAATGCCATCCACATCCCTGGGATCGTTAGAACTTTGACTGGCCGTATATTCACAGTTTTTTTTGTTACCGCACATAGTAGGTATTGAATAAAGTTACAATGGGATGGTTATGGACAGTAATCCTAAAAGTATATGTTATTAGTGTTAATAGCGATTTACCAATTAGTAATATCAGTGTAAGTTCACGTGACAGTGTCCGAAAAGATGCGATTTGGAATTTAATTGAACCGGTAACGTTACATTCTGTATTCCTTCTCTCTCTCCAACATGAAAATTGTTTAGGCTGAAATCGCCCGTGGACCTGATTGGAGGTCATCAATTAACCAAGAATCAGTTAAACAATTATTTTAGTGAATCTCGAACTTGCTAAAAATAGTTAACAAAAAGTGTTTAAAATACACCGGAACATTTTCCTTGGCTTGCATTCTATTAACTCACTTGTGTATTATTTCAACAACAGCAAAATTCGTACTCTCGTTTATTGCAAATGTTGGGAGGTTTGGGAGAGTGGCTACAGTGAGGTGCTAGTAAATTGGAGTTCGTTTAAGGGTTTGGTGATGCAATTGATGGTTGTTTCCACAAGCCTAAGATGGGAATATTAATTTCGTAATACAATATATATATATGAACATTACTGCAAAGTGAAATAATAGGTACATTTTAACAATCTGATTTTAAAAAGACCGAAACCGGATTTGACTGCAATTCTGGCACCAATTTCAGTCCTTCTTTCAGCGTTGGGAGACGAAATTGCTTTTTATCAAAATAACAACATTGTAGTCTAGGAAGCCTGTCTATCTATATCCAATCAGTATCTGTGACTAAGATGACTTTTTATCTGACATTACTTTTACGTAATGCAGTCTGCATTTTCGGACCTAACCCGAAAAGAAAGAGAACGATACGCAACAGCACTGAGCCACCCACTCGCTCACTTCGGCCTAAGATTTTTCCAACATGTCACTTCTCAATGTCTCCCTCCAGTGCAATATACAGAAGACTCACTTAGCCTGACAATTGAAAAACAATTGGCGCCGTGTTGGATATTAAAATAGCACGAGGAAGTTGGCGGGCAAATATAATTTGAAAAGGTATTCGAGTTGGTATAGTTAGTAAAGATCTTTCAAATTGTCATCTTCAAATATAATCGTTTATTTACGCGTAGTTTTCATGCTATCAGTCATGAATATGCCTTCTGATTCGAGTATTCATGTATCAATAGAAGACGGAAATATATTCCAGATTAAGTAACATAAAAGTATTAGTCCATTACATTTACCTATATACAGTATGGACTTTAGCATAATTTTAATTATGCAACCATAGCTCAGGATGATATTATGTATATTGTGAATGAATAAAAAAAAACAATGAAACGAACAAATTATTTTTCAAGTGTTTCTTGCATCGGTGCTGTCTTGCGTGCTTCTTGTCGTACGTTGGCTGCCTGTGCCTATGGGGTGATACGATTGTGGTTGTGACGAATACCTGAGAGAATTTTTTGTGTAACCCCAATCCTGTGGATATTTAGCTATGTTTGCCATGTAACCTTGATTCATTCGCCACTCATCTTCCCAAACTAAATGATTGTAATGCGGTTCTTTGGAAGATATTCGTTTCAAAATTGCCTGATTTTCGTGCGTGACTCTCAGTAATTCTCTCTGTCTTTTTGTCTTATTCAAACTTTTCTGTTCATAGCAATTCCACATATCAACGCGTCCTTTCGTTCTCATAGTGTAACTCATCTTCTCCATCAAAATACGATTATCCCTTTCTACCATAGCTAGTCTTTCTTCCTCCATCTGCAGCTTTTTCAGTTTTAGATGCAAATGCATGTAAGTTTCTGGAGCTCGGTTATCTATTACAGGTTTAGCTTGCATTACCTTTTTTCGGTGAATATCGAATCTGCTCTGGTCCCATCTTTTCTTTAATAATTTATTGTTGGCCGGCGTTATCGGCTGATAATGTCTATGCATCTTTTCAATAATCCTGATAACTTCCGACAACTCTAAATTCTTATTGAAATGCTATAATATGACTTCTTTTTCGTGCAATTAAAACTGAATATTTTCTTTGTGACGTCATTATGTACTATGAAACGTTTGGGAAGCTTCGCCTAGCAATTAAGCAGATATTTTTGATTCGCAAACAATGCAATTGAGAGCCTTTGTGTTTAAATATCTTTAAGATAAATTTTATGCCTGGCTTATTTCAAAACAATAAAGCATATGGGGTCGAAATTACGCGGTTTGGGTGGCATTTTGCGTGTGCTGACTGGGAATCAGAGACGAGGTTGGATGGGACCTTGTCCCGATTAAACATTGGCAGTAAAATTTAGAGTAACCGAGTTTTAACTTCAATTTCTAAATAATAGTCTACATTAGATAGAGTAATCGCGTGTTTTACAAAAAGAGACACATTCAACTAAGTTAATTTTATTGCTAAACGTTAAGAATTAACCAATACTAAGCTAGTATCTATATTGCACTATGGGACTGCAGTGGGTGGAACGTTGGCACGGAATAGCATAGTATTTAAAATATAAATGCAGTGTTTTAAATTAGCAATTGGAATTATTCTTAATAAAATTTGTTTTCAATTGAGGTAATATTCCAGATTATTTAAATTACAAGTATATGTAATAAAATTTCTTTAAGTAAACGAGATAAAGTGATTAATATATATGAGAAATTGTCAAAATCTTGATATCTTTCTTTCTAACCTCTAAAATTTAATAATAAAGCATTGTTAAATAATAACGAGATTTGAAATAACAGTAGCTGGGAAAACTAAATGTGTGGCATGTTAGAATCATGATCAGTAATGGATATTCTCAGAAAAATAAAGCATTAACTAAATCTAACGTTAGCTAAAAATACAGGAAATTGCTGTTGAAAAGCTCTTCTGTTTCACGCCTTGACAAGGTGATCGTAGGTATAAAGTGCTTTAAAGCGTTTTGTTTTTTGATTAGTCCGCGTGTTGTTACTATGAAGTTCGCTAAACAGTTATTTAAATTGTATAGCATGCCATACAACAAATCCTGCGAATATGAGCGTGATCGCTAGGTGTCGCTTCAAAACCAAGACACAACCAAAAGCCCAGCTTTTACGAGTTACAGGTCGCTTATGTGCCAGCACTCTAGTTGGGCTTACAGGATTCTTAACTTGAAAAGACAGTGTTATACAAGCCTGAAAGATAAAATAATTATTCGAGGTAATTGAAATTGAAGCCAAGCGTTGGAAATGAAAGATATGCTTCATTATTAACATTGCATTGTCCTACATTGATTTTTGGGGAATTGATTGTATTTTTCATAAAATATTAATTGTTACATTATCTTATTTCACATCTAAAATTGTGCATTTGCATTCACAATCGCTGAATGAAATCAAAAGATATTTAGCACAACAATTCGCGTTTGACAGAGTTTTTAAATGAAAGACCTAAAAGAAATGTATTTTGGTTCAGAGAATGAAATTATCTAACAATCAAATTATTCTAATCTAATCTAACTCAACATGACTACTACGGTTCTTGGAATCCTCTATTGTTCTTCGCCTTCTTTGTTTATTCCAGAACTGAAACTGTAAAAAGAGAACACAGTTCCGTTTGAGTACTTAGAGGCTTGAATAGACAAGTCTTATATAGTGAATGCATACACGAAAGCGATATCAGGCTACTACAATTTTATATTAAATTGCCCGAGAATTCAACCAATCACACCTGAGGACTATGTGAACTACGGTGTAGATATTTCTTACTGTTTTTCTCTCACTGGCACAAAGACTCATCACAAACTATACTCGAGTTTTTTAACTTTTGTCGGTCAACTTAATTCAGAGCAAAGGACCACCAAATTAGCTAGCTTACTTCGGTAGATACTATTATGACGTAACAAAACATATCATACTTAGAATGCCTCCAAAAAAACGTACTTGAAGTTTTTGGCAGGTCTTTGCAACGTTGATCATGCAGCTTCTTTTTGCATTTCAAAACTAGGCTATAGCGTATTTACTTCAATCGAAAGCTTATAAAATGGGTTTCAAATTGGGAGTAACTGAAACTCGTAATTTTACTCAAATTATAACGTACAAATATCTCAATTCAATAATAGTCATTATAAATGTTCAAACTATCAAAGGGGCGCATTTTTAGACTTTGCCATGGGCGCCATTTTACGTAGATACGCCACTGCCTCTACTATAACTCACAGCACATTTCGGGTAATCCACACTGACTGCATCGAGTTGTTCTCCCTTTTTTGCATGGACACCCGCGATTCTGACAACATGGACAAGGTCCGGCACCTGGACTTCCATCACATTTACATCCTGTTTCCGTGAGTGTCCATCCATCCAATCCCATGCTGTTCAGGTCATCTATATTTAATTAACAACAACATGCTTATTTACGATATTTTATTAGGCTATGAATTGATGAATATTTCTTTTATTTTGAAACCTGATCATACAAACTATAATACATGTCAGTCATAAGTCTGAGTAGCTTTTTTTGTATGGTTAGACATTAAGTCTCTACGAGTTATTATATATATATAGGTCGGATATAGGCCTACTATGTTGTTTACGGTAGCTTGACTCATCTGTAGGCTACAAGTGTGATGGATATGATATGCATACAGAGAAAAGTGCTCGCTAATACAGCGGGCCAGTCTTAGCTACTGTGGGACGGGGTCTATACTCTGACTAGAGTTTGCAATAACAGAGAATTAAGATTTTGTAATAAAAAATGAATTTATCTTCACTCAAGCACAAAATCACGATTACGGTAACGTACTTTGCGAACCGAAGGCACTGCGAAGTCATTTATTATATATATATATATCATTAAAATTATGCAATATTATGGTTGATATTTGATAAATTCAATATTCTACCCGTAAAATCAGTGCGGGTCCAACTTCTGTCGCATAGATTGCAGTGGCCTAAGGCTGGCCGTCTCTTTGCAACAAAGCAATCTCTAACAAAAGTGAGATACACACGAATTTGTGTCACAAAGTACGGTCGCCACTTCAATACCAGTAGGGAATGGGAGGCAAAATAAAAAATACCGTATTCAGCTGAGCAAGTATGTCCATATCCGCATTGTACACATTTATCTGGATGAGAACGATCACACTGACATCCACCGAATTCACAGCAAGCACAATCTTGGGCGCCGTTGAAGTAACAATCACATCCAGACGGAGAACGAGTCCAAATATTGGTTGGAATTTCTGTGATGTAAAATTAAACCATTTTGAAATCACAATTTTCTTGCTTGCCTACCGGCGCGAGATTCCTGGGTCTCGCCATTGAACCAAATGGCTAAAATAACAATGATTACAACGAAAAGAACACTTTGCCTGAATTCAGATATTGAATAGGGACTTTTTGGGGTGATTAAAGTTTAATAATAATTCATGCATTTGGTAAAATGTTTAGTTCACGTAATCCGCATGTTTCTCGGTTTAGATGTTTCTCTGTTCCAGAGATTGGTTAATATATAAAAAAAATATACGGCCTTCAGTAATTGTATATATAAAATAAAGTAGACATACCAAATACGAATATATATGGCTTGCGTATTGAAAAATAGGTGCTCCTAAAGTATGCACACCAAGATGTCGCATAACCTGAACCCTAACCTGGTACACAACCTAAGTTCAGGTTGTGCGACATCCTGGTGCGCATAAACAGGGGTCCGAAAAATATATTTATACCTCTCACACATCTGCTCCCTTCCAATCTGGTTCCCGCACAACAGTAGAAAACAGGTACATGAACGACTCGTGTTCGCGGTTCATACACGGGTTCATAAAGCTTACGAAGACATCTGAACAAGATTCGTCTGTTATATTATCATTCAAAATTGTGCATGTAGAAATTGAAGCTCGGAATATTATTACATTATATATTTTTCTACGATGATTCGTTCGCGATATTTAAAAACCAGAGAATCAAAATGATTTTTAAGAAATTTTGCCAATATATGCTGAACAAAACAACCTGAAATTTTGGGAAATGTCCCAACAGTCGACTCTCTTTTCTTTCACAATCATCTTCTTTGTTTTAAATAAATAGGTGTGAGATCGCTGGTCAACCCGATGACAGACATTTTCCCTGCAAAAAATAGAAGCAAATGTCATATAAATACGTATTTGGCTAGGTTTCATTGTAATGAGTTGAATGACCCAAACTATTGACACTTGACGAACTGGTTCGACGCTCCAAGCGTGAAACACAGTTTCTAATTCCGTGGGGATAAAAATAAGCAAAAAATACTCCTCATTATCCCAGTAAAGTTCACGTAGCAAGGTGGTTACGGTTCCTCGACAACCGCTATGCATTAAATGGAAATGGCTAATTAATCAAAGATCAGTCCAGTACTAAAAAGCTGGCGACTTGCGGCAGCTTATGGGTTAGTTTTTATTGTAAACATCCGACTACGAGTGCATTATGACATTTCATCATAATAAACTAATAAATCGAAAATTAGCGTGAAATATTGAGACTTGAGAGATGAAGTTATTTAAAAAAAAACTGTATGACATGATGGGAGAAATTATAGATGAAAATATTCTGATACGCAATAGAATTTCTATTTGATTAAAATAACCCACATTCTCGGCCACACGTGGAGCTCGGGTAAAATATCAAAGAATCTGAACCCCTTGCTTGGTTTTACCTACTATTGCGTCAAAAATGATTGTGTATTTAAGTCACAACAAAGTACAATGGACAAAAGAGTAATACGTGTCTTAAGTACACATCCTGGTCTTTAAATGAAGCTTGTGCTTCCTCCTTGAAAACTCAACGCGGTAACACACAAATATTTATTCTTGATTTCTGTGATAAATTCGCTTGCGAAGTCAATATGTTTTTTAAACCACAAAAAAGAATATCAATGGAAATAGTTCTGTAAATTCATTTTAAATTAAAAATTTACTTTCATTTTCTATGCGTAATATTTTAACTTTGACCTTTCTAGTCCAATGAGAGATATGCATATTCATTTACGACCTTGGAATTTTCAATATAGAATAATCTGTTTATGTGGGTCCCCCATTATCAAGTTTTCAGTTCTTGAAAATATTTTATATTTTATCCATAAGAATCTCAACTATAACAATTCTCATTCATGACATATATCTTCAAAGTAAATCATTTTAGGAAAAGATAAAAAAAAAATGTGAACACGTTCATGTCGTTTATGTTTATGTATGTTTTTATATACACACATATATATACCTTCGATTGCTCAAACGTATCAATGAGTCCAAAAACGAATTCCAGTTTGCGTCCAGATACCCAATATTAAAACCTTTTTATTGCATGATAATCAAAATGCTTTGGATTTGAAAACTTGAATTGTGGTCACCTTCCGATAAACGTTATGAACCATGCTTCTTAACTTGGAAGCAGCAAACTTTATACAAGCAGAATCTAGAGCTAATTACCAGCGGCCTTTACAAGCTAAGAAGTATAGATTCGTCTTTGGGAAAATTATATGATTGAAAGCGATTCGGCAAGAAACTTAAAACAATTGCAATTAAATACAAACCAAATATCACTTATTATTAGGGAAAATTATTTAAATAATGGTAATATAAACTCTAAACTTACCCACTGCTTCGGAGTTGCGCTTCAGACACGAGAATAAATGCCAAGAGGAGCACTCCAACACAAATATTCATAATGTCCGTCCGTTTAGTTTTTCAGTGTAAAATTTATGCTGACGCTAACCCGACTTGTTCTGACTGCGACAGGTTAGTATGACAGCTGAAGTAAAACTTAAATCACTAATAACAATATAGATAAAATCAGAAACAACAAAGAGTTTAACACTAGTTTCGATAGAGACAAAATATACCGGTAGTTATCTGATGTAAACAGTCATCAGGTTCTATGAGAACTGACCCTAACACGGACGCTGCGCACTCTCATGTGGTCGCTATCGATCATGATGAGAGTTTTAAGAATGTTTTTTCAAACAATTCTTTTCTTACGTGATATCTTAGGCGTCGCCTGTAATTCGCTGGTCCTAATCTGTATCCGGGAGTACAATATTTACGTTTCATGTGTGTAGCAATCTTCTAGCACCAACAAAAATGTTGTCTATTGTCAGGGTCAGTAGTTCATGCTAAACTAAAATATAGTTTATAAAATTCATATGATATTGTTTCTCTGTGAACAACTGACCAATACTTTCAAGAAACTTTCATACAACACACAATTTCACCCGTTTATGTGAAGCACCAAACAGTAGCAAATTTCCAAATAGAGTCATGATTGAAAAAAGTGCTTTGCCTTTTGGTAAATCATTCCTGCCTTAGCGCAATATCTGAGTCGATGATCGGAAATTTACCTTGTCAAAACAATGAGTTAAGGACTTACGATTTTGTTTTGAAGGCATAAAGATATTTTTTCGTTCACGCCTTTTCATATTTTAAAAATCACAAGCCAATTCAAGAGGTATTATCATAATACGGCTTTAAGTCGAGACATGACTTCTTGTTTTAGGTACTCAGTCCGTGAGTAGTCACATTTTCTAAACTAATTTTTATTATTAGTCACTCTCTCACCTAGCTCGAATATAAATACCAAAGTAGTTGCAACAATATTCGGGTACAAGATTATTGCAAATTTTAGGTCTTTTAAAGTTTTGGACTTCCTTGAACGCTTCGTAGATTGGCATGGTAACTGCGCTTGATGTTGAATGAAATCGAACAAAGAAATCTTCATATAACCAAATCTTTTATCAACAAGGACATACACGAACTTGAAGTTTTGCATTCTTGGCCGAGTTATCCACACATCACGATCAGTTGTGGTATAATGCCATAAAACGATCGACGATTCTTTTGATTTCTGAACCTACTTCAGAAGTTCACGATTGCGCCCTCTAGGTAAATGAATTCTATTAGTGCTGCCATATTCCTCGGCAAACACGAAAAACAAAAGGATGTAGCAATGTTAATTATTGCAGAAGACATGTAAATGAATGTGAAAACGAAAGATATTGGTATGACGACTACACACCACAGAAGAAAAGTACGATAAAACATGAAGCAAATATATCAATGTTTCAGATTTTGTGTTACGGCGCGCAGGCCTGATTTGGCCCACCGAAGTATTTCATCCGGCCCACTTGTGTCTGTTGAAATTACGACTATAGCTTTTATGGACATAAATTTTCGTTGAAAATATAGACGAAAAAAACGTCGTAACGACCCGATTGTTACACTGTGCTTATCATTATATACACGTTAGCCGAACTGTTGCAAATAAGCTGTTTTTCATCAGAGTTTTGAGCCTCTAGCCCAGTTACCAAGTCTAATTGGTAACCGCTGGTCGGTTACGGCTTCCTCCACCATGAAGTCCATGCTTCCGAAAGCAAACAATATAACTAATCCCATACCCTACTTGGAATGGTAACCGGACAAGAGGCCGTGGTTCGCCATATGGATAAGCCGTCTTATCGGCTTTCCTCTCCCCCGGGATAAATATGTAAATCCTATCCTATCCTAATTATCTGTAACTGGCACACTCAGAAAAGTAATTATCTATCAACGTTTTAAACAGAGTTGTCGAAATTTTTGCGGTACGAGCTTCAATACACCCTGGAAATCGCCATAGTGTTTCTCCGTTACCCAACCATCGAGACTGGAAATGGTGTTCAGTTTAACGTAAAATTCTTGTCATCTACGTGCTATTTTCATTTTTGGTAAACTTATAATTTGTAACGTACGTCGTTCATTAGATGTTCGGTTATTAGTTAGATTCTTTTTAACATATAACTGTTGTTATTACTCCCGTGCTTTGACTAAATTTGATGTTTAAAATAGCAGCGCAAACAGATCTGGCTGCAGTGCGCGGGTCACATTTTAGGTTGTTCATATTTTTTGAGTATAGATAATAAACTAAAACACTATCAACTTATGAAATTAGACGTCTCAAATTATAAACCAATAGTGGCATTGCTTTTTTACTGTGCTAGCAAGTTTTTAACATTCCATGAACTACATAGTTCCAATTTTTATTAGTCAAAAAGAATCACCCCACAAAATATGCAACAACAAAAAAATGTACAGACACACAAGGCTTTGAGTTAAAAGACAAATATTTTGAACATAAAAACAACCAGGATTCTGGACACAGTCATTATTAATACACATAGAAGTAAAGACCAAAACCAAAATTTGAGTTTCCGTTATTTTGAATACCCTGTAATACTTATATGAGGCAAAATATCTTACCACTTAAAGCAAATTGATAAATTTGTATCCCAAAATTGAAAAAGAAAAAACATAACAAAAACAGTATTTGGCAATATTTGGTTCACAAATATGAAGCAAACAATCTTGGCAGTGTTTCCAAACAACATATGACATTCTAAAAATTGACGTCAGCAATGAAAAGAATGCCGAGTCACATAATTTCAATTGATGACCAAGCAGGAATGAACATTGATCAAACAAAAACATAAAAAAGCGACAGAATTAAATCAAGCAGTGGGGAATGACAGTTTATAAGTAAGCAATGGTGTATGTATGTATCTTTTGAAATAATCACTTTATAACTTCAAGTTAAAGTTATATTGAAAGCAGGATTAATTTATTATGAAGTAATCTTGGCATGATGGAAACGTTCACACATTATGACCAAAATTAACACTAAACAATTTATTAACAAGAACAAATCTGAAAAATTAGAACACCAACATATACACATAGGGAACATGTGAAAAGCTTATATCTTCCTCAAGCAAAACTAAGAACTTTCAATTTGAATAATACTAGCCAAAGGCTCAGATGTATTAGTATTTTTAAAACATTTTGAAGCGAAGATTTCGAAATCCTGAATTTCCTTGAAATCAAGAATTAGTTGGTACAAACATTTTCGATAGACAATATCATCAAAATTTTCCATTCTCTCAAACCTTGAGTCATTTGAAATCTCTCTCTTGAGTCGGGAAACATGCATCGTAATTTTTGTCTTGAGTTGAGGAATTTGAAACAAGATTTTAATTTTGCTAGACTTTATAGGTCTAGTTCTATAACACCTCACAAAGATTTTTCTTTATTCACTATTCTGCTCAATCTTAAAATGAATATTAAAACATAGCATCATTATGTACAAAGTGTAATTAATTTGGATTCAAAAACAATGTGGTTCAAACTCATACCAAAATTTTTTTTTGCATTTAAGCCCTGAATCAATATCATCCAATCTCATCAGATACAGCATGAAAAAAAAAAACTGCCTTTCACTAAAATTCCTTCACCAACTGGTACATCCATTTTGACCAATTTATTTACGTATTTTAAGAAAATCCAACCAACAAAATAAAAGAAAAAACCTGAGAAAAAGTAACCAACTACATCGAAAAAATTACCAAAAACAGAACATCCTAAATCAAGCTAACACCGTCACCAACGGTTACAGATGCTACTCCATCTTGAATTTATTTCCTAAATGCAATATTCTTTTAATTTATAATTTTCCTTCAAACTTCACTTTGTTTCACAAAGTTTGGCAAGCTCAAGAAACAATGTATATCACATATTAGAAAGTTACTCTGTAATGCATATTATTTGCTTCCTTTTGTCGACTCGGAGGAAGTGCTATCGTTCGAATCTGAGTGGTTTTTTCCTTCGAGTACAATTTTCGAGAGTTCTTCTTCTAAGTCTGAGTCTCCCTCCTCTGTGCTGAGTAGATGTTCGTGCCTGAAAATCATGAGAGTAGAGCGAACATTCGATTTTGAATTTTTGTGCTTTGTTTGATAACTTTGAAAATGGCGACGTGTTTTCTGATTTTTACTGGAAAACAATTATATAAGCAAAATAACCATAAAACAAGAACAAACACCAAAACAGATTCGTTTTGTTACATCCTTATTTTATTATCTCATTGGCATTATCAGATTGAGGCGACATAGTAAGCTATTTCAAAAATACAGTTAGTAGCACTAAAACAACTAGAATGATCCTACATATTAAGCAATATACTAAATTAGCGCAAAAGCATTGAAAAAAGATAGGTATTCACAGTTTTTAGAGTACCGGTAATTCCAACTGATATTTAGATTTTCATATATTTCAATTATTTTAGGCTCCAAATGGAATGTACTGTCATATGTGCTTTGCATAAAAACCTTTTACATTGCATTCCGTTCATTACCTTGGAGAAAGTCTGCATCCTCTTTGCATATACTGAGGTAATTTCCCACATGATGCAAGTATGAATCCTAGATACGGGGGTGAAGGTTCAAGAGGTCTCGATTTAAATTCAGGATGAGATTGTATTCCGACGAAAAATGGATGATCTGGAATTAAACAAAGCTTGTGATAAAACGACATTCAAGAGAAGAAATTTTGTGTTTGTAACTTAATGTTATATGAAGATTGTTCATTGCTCAATTCTTACTGGCAATCAATTTCAATTTGGATGTTCTAAAATCTAAATGCATCTATTTGGCATTAAAATGAAAATCACAATTTCAACGCAAAACGAGAGCAATAAAGAAATATATTAAAACAGACTTTGTTCCATTACTGATGGACTACCATCACATTAAAATAAACATATAATGTACGTCGACTATTAGTTTGCCAAAATCAGTCAGCAGAAAATCTACATGACATCTACAGCTATAGGTAATTTCAAAGTCATTGGTACAGAAGTCAACGTGAAACGCCAGTTTTTTAGCCCAACACAATGATCGAATTCTTTGCAAAATATTCGGTACTCCCATAGTATGTAATCCAAGATGGCGGACACCCTAACGTAGTATGTGTACGAGTACGAGGTTTGGCCATAATTTCAGATACAAATACTACGGGAGTCACTTGGATAATCCCTGAACTCGTAATAGAACTAAAATAGGAAAAATTGGAATACAATCATGGCCTAACTCGGTATGCATACTATGTTCAGATGTCCACCATCTTGGTTCACATACTACGGGAGCGCCAAATATTCATTCCATTGGCCCATTTTATATCCAAAAATAACTCTTGATATGGCACAATATTAAATTGAGTCTACACTAAATTTTTTGAACCCTGTTATAAAGCTATATCTGCCCACTAAAAAACAGACTTCTATTTGTAGAAAATATCAATTACCATCAAGTTCAATTGCTTCCATTCTGACGCCTTCCGTATCTTGAGCTACAAACCGGAATCCCTTCTCTTCGAATAAATGTGTTAAAGACGGATTAACTTCATAACGATGTCTATGTCGTTCTTCAATGGATTCTTTGTTTTTATAAAGTTTTTCTAAATGATAATTGACAATTTTGACAAAACGCATCACAAATATGACAAAAATCGAACAAATTTCAGATTCAGACACCATATTATTTGCAACATTCTTAATATATTGTTCCCGAACATAAGTAAGCATAAAAGTAAGATGAGTGAAAAATGCAAGCCTATTTTAAGTCTGAGTTACTGCATCAACAATGATTTTAAATTAATGACAAGGATGGCCAAAATTAATTGTCACTTCGATTGTTAATGCTATAATAAAGAATTTATAATTTGAATTGAATACTTTGATACATCTGAAAATCCCGGATAAAAAATCTTTTCCGCCTAAATAAGCTGTTGGTTAAATCAAGATTTCATAAATGGGCTATTCCAAGCAACTGTTGAATTTTATCAATTTTTTCAAGTGTAGTGAAAGTAAATGTTTTGTATTTTTATATTCACCCAGGTTTTTGATGATTTACATGAAGTGGCCTGGAATGTGGAAATTTATATTATAATCGACACGTTTTGTGACGACTCGTAACACAAAGTGTTTGATTGTCTGGTACAGTTATTCTATTTCAAATTGATGCACTGGACTTGAGTTAATAAAGCTCAAATGTTTGCAGTGCTGTAGGACATGTCTTTACCTATTTAACGATTCATTACCAGAAATTTGAGAGACAATAGAGGCCGCTTTTCCAAAGTGGAAAAATGTCCTGTAGTGTCACGTCCTGTAGCCCAAATAACAAAACTATGTACGGTATCAATCATTTACAAAGATATTAAACAACTTGATCAATCAATGAAATGATTGTAACAAGAATTCCAATCACTTCCACAGGTTTTGTATACTCACTTAACATGCATTCTGTCTTAAAAATAGTTTTCCTTGCTCCTAATCTCATTGTGCCACCCATATTCCCATTTGTATGTTCCGGCATGTCAATCACAACAGGGTTTTCAGTATCTGGTGCATTCTCAGTAGAATTTGCACCTGAAAAGTGAAATTTTGTAAAATATAATATAATGCACTCTATTGAAAGTAAAACGGGATGCCTTACCGGTTAGTTGTTAGCTGAGTTAAATAAGGTGGTTAAATATCGTAGGTTTACTCCAAGTGCCTGATTCCTGCATGCAATAAATGTTGTATTCCATGGAAAATCTGTGAGTATCATTACACCCCAGATTGGTTTGCAATCTTGCTCAGTGCAACAGTCAAGCTTGAAGATGTAAAACAACTGATTAATGTATAGACAATGAATAATACCTTTCAAACCAAGTTCATTCCTAGCAAATTCAATAACTGCCATTTGCATTCCGAGACAGATACCCAAGAATGGTTTGTTGTGAGTTCTTGCCCAATGTACGGCTGCAATTTTACCTTCGGTACCACGATTCCCAAAACCACCAGGTACAAGAACACCCCTATAGATATAAAATTTCATTCAATGATAAGCAACAATGAACTCCAAGTATTGTATCAAAAGAGCTCATTTATGGGCAGGAATGACATAATTGTTAGTGCATTGGTTTATGTTGGTATTGTGCGCTTCAGAGCTTCAACACTCACCAGCCCAGGTAACATAAATGTTAGATGTGACGAACTAGAAATATAGTTATTTAAATGCAGATTTTGGATTGGTAAAGGTTGCAAGGAGCATTTCATTTATTAAAATGTTACTGTTTTATAACAGTAAAAATTATTGAGAAAACACGTATTCATTTGAAACATTGATATATACTATCCTTCACTCCATTATAATAGATTGGTACCTTCAACTTTATTTTATTAAATATTTTCAACTTACTGAGCACAACATAATTTTTTCCATGCCTCATAAAATTCAACAGGTTTTTTCGTTTTCATCTCCTCTTCTAAATGAGCAGCTTCAATAATCTGATAAAAACAAAATATTCAGGAAAACTGAAATATAACTGAGTTATAACTGTTAATATAGAATCTAGTAGTTCCATGAAATACCATGCTACGACAGTAGTCTGGCAATAAAATCTGCAAATCCACACAGGGTAAGCAGCAGTGCAATTCCAAGCGCATGTATGTAACAACAATGTAACGTTTTTACACCGAAATGCTATCTTAGTTATATATTTGACATATAATCACAAATATATCTCTCATCTCAAAAAGCATTTGTATATTGATACAAAATAGTAAAAATCATTCTTCTTACCGTTAACTCAAGTTTTCTGTTTGCCATAATTGCAGAATGTCTAAGTGCTTTGATAACAGAAGCATAAGCATCTTCTAATTTTGTATATTTACCAACAAGTGCGATCGTACATGATGTATGCACTCTATCGTGTCTGAAGAACAATAAAAGGTGGTATTAAAAAAAGAAAAATCAATGAAATTATTGTATATCTCAACTTTTGTGCATTTCCAAATCAAAATTCAATGAACGTATATTGACTTCAGCGTGTTCTTTGTGTTAAGCATGAACCAATGTAGCACTAAATATTCCATATCTGAAAATTACTTCAAAATGTATTCGGAATACAGTAGTAGAATATGCAGTTTTGGCCATCCCTGATACTTACTGTTGTGGTAAATTAGACTTAAAATTCTTAAAACAAAATCTTCGAGACATAAAACAAAACTTGGTTTTAGGGCGATGAATAGAGTAACCACTCCACAATTCCAAAACAATTCTTACTTCTCTGCTAGTGTCCTCCATTTATAGAGCATACTTTTTCTTGGTCTTATAGTCAGACTCAATCGTTTGGCAAAATATTGTGTTAGATTTTGTTCTTGTAATAACAGTGGAACGTGATATATACATGAGAAATCGTGAACACCTATGACCTAAAAATACAAAAAAAGGGTTTTTAGTTTTTTTGTAATATCCACTTCCCATTTTTGTGGCCTTGCCTTGAGCAAATATTTATATGAAATATTATTTATATTCAAATGTTCAAATTGAAATTAAATGAGCGCGGGATCATATGACAAATTGCCTATCCTTCGTTCCACGTTTCGCGTACATGTATGCTTTCGCTAGAGTATAGTACAACTTTGTCAGGTATAATGGGTCTAATAAGGAAAAATATTATAAATATACAAAGTGTTCATAAAGTCATGTATTAAATTAGATAAAAGAACTTTGATGGGCTTCGTGCAACTGGTGGTGGCCATCGCCACCATATAAAATAAAGGTGTTAAACATAGTAAAAAAGTTGAATGAACACTGTGTAAAAATATACCAACTTCATACCGACTTCATACCAAAAATTTAAACTGTACAGGACTTTATGAAATTTATCAATTAATATAATACAGACAATACTCTATTTAACCATTGTACCCTATGGAGCTACCACTTCTTAGCAATAACGAGAGATTGTTGAACCAAAATTATTATCATGTAGAACAGAACAAGATTCTTCCTTTTTTTTCAGAAAAAAATATAAATCACTCACCTGTGATGGCCCTACATGACAGATATTAGAAATCTTTTCTCGAACTTCCTTTTCCAGTGGTGTTTTACTTCTGCACACAATAAGATCGGGTGAAAGACCAAGACCACGTAAAGCTCGAACACTGTTCTGTGTAGGCATAGACTTCTGTTCTCCTGCAGTTGGCTGAATAAAAAAGCACACACGATATTGAATTTCAAATTGTAAATTACATGACGATCATAAACATTTCTTTTTGTACACGTTAAGAGACGAGATAAACAGACTCCAGAATGTAAATATAGAGCTGTTTTAAGGGTGTCTCAAAAATGTCGTGTCCCACTGGGACAAGTGGGACACAACATTTTCGAGACACTGATGTTGTAAGATCGGATTTTTATATTTATCCCAGGGGTGAGGAAAGATGGTGAGGCAACTCAAATATATGGTGAACCATGCATGGCTTTGTCCGATTACCAGTCCATGTCAGGTATAGGAATAATCAACATGCTATTTGTTTCAGGAGCATGGACTTACTGGCGGAGGAAGCTGTACCCAATCAGCGGTTCCCCTATCTCCCTACATTTTTCAGCAATCTTCTCGCATATCATTATATTAGAAATGTTTCCAAACTAAGGGGTCGGCTTATATGTGCATTAACTCTGATCGCACTCAAACAAAATGACATCCTATCAATTAATACCGCAAACTTAAAACCGAGCGATATTATCGTCAACGACGCACACGAGGGGTTACTGATAAAATCCACGATAGATACTAAATAATATTTAATAAGATCTATTTCATACTCTGTAAATTGCAAGAAATGCAAAAATTTTCGTTACGCTCGGCCACTATCGAAACTGAGAATGAAAACAAATAATTAACACGCAATTTGCTTTTAGATTTTTTCGGTGGTCGCCCAGGATATCTTGACTATGTTGAAATATAATTGTAAAACATTTTCAATCAAAAACATCCTCGACGTGTTATCAGTAATTCAAGCCGGCGCTGGTTTAATTTCTTTCATGTCGGCAGTAATTAAGTGCCACGCCACAATGTGATGTCTTTGATTAAACTAGGTATAATATGAAAAGCGTCTTTAATTACCATCAGTTCATTGCATTCTATATATAATTCATACCTGAGGAACCAAGCTGACATGTATATTGCAAAAATTTTCTTGTTTTACTCGAAATTGAAATTGTCGAAATGCTTCAACGAAAGGCATTCCTTCTATGTCACCAACAGTCCCACCAAGCTAGAAAAAAAATTGACAGTTGAAAAGACAAAAACAGTATCGTTTGTTTTGTATTATCCAAATCCATGTCCATGAGTAAATATTTGAATTTGAATTTTTGACAAGACTATATTGTAGTCTTATTAATAAGTGGGGTGTCTATGTCCGAATTATTTAAACCAAATCATATCGTATGCCAAATTTTAAGTAGTAATTTATGATCCTATTGGCAAAATTTAATAAAAAGAATATGCCCGAGTTCAGGCTTGTGTATTTTTATTTTTCAAGCTTCAATGCCTGAATTCAACAATTCGTGTATATATACTTTTCTTTCTCAGAATCAACGCCCTAACTCTTCGAATTTGTGTCTTACTATCAATTTAAATATATATTAAAACTAAATGTTTTGTGCGTCAAACGGATCAGAAAATACATGGTTTATATACATTAACTGTGAATATTAATAGTGAATTCGGGGGGAGGTGACTTTGATGACCTTATGGTCGTATGGCTCCCTCCAGTCTATACTGAATTGGCTTGCATATTTTGTATATATTTAATTGTTCCATTGCTTGTTTTCTGGTTGACGATAATAAATCTCTCTCTATATCCAAATTATAGAGAATAAATGGTTTGCGTAGAAATAAATTCCATGATTGCTCGATTTTAATACCAAAGATATTTCGAGGTTGAAGATCCATACTGAAAAATCCAAATTCATCAAACATAAAACACTGCTTCACACTGTTCATACCTCAATGATACAAACTTCAGGAGATGCCTCTGTGTTGTCGACTGGTATTTTTGCTACTTTCTCTACCCATTCCATGATTGCATTTGTTACATGAGGAACAACTTGGACTGTTTTACCGAGATAATCACCTCTTCTTTCTTTATTGATTACTTGTTGGTATATTTTGCCTGTGAAAAGTGGGATTGAAAAAGTGAAATATCATTTCGAAACTAAAGGGGTTTTCAACTATTTTGTTGTAGCGAAACCCAGATAAAATTTTTTTTATGTAAGAGGAACCCATGTGTCGTAGTTTAAATTTCTTTTGTCTAAATTGTATGAACTATAAATACAAAAAAAAGAAAATCTAATAGTGGTAAAATAATGTATATATCAATATAGACTCTCAAATTTGAAAACTTGCACAGCCCCTGGACTTAGTGGACTATACCGGCCCCTATTGAAAACCACTGATCTAAACGAACACTGCCAAATTCAGTTACAGCCAAATTACGTTTAATCTATTTGGATACAATTTTAGAGAAGTTTAAACATTCAATAAAATCAGATTTTGAAAACTACTGAGGCAAAACAGCGAAAAGGTTAAAGCATGACGGCACTAATGCTGTGAGAAAGTCTTTTTCAATAAAGTAGACAACGCAAAGCGTATTTTGACTGGGTAATAACTTTCTACCGAATTAATTACCCTAAAACCAAGATATAATACATATCTCATGTGTATGTTAAGCAAATTATTGAATCAGCAATGGTCGCAATTAAGCCCTAATTTTTTTATTGAACCCATATTTTTATAATGCAATTCTGACATACGACTTCTTACTTCCTGGAGAGTTATTGGTGAAACGTGTTTCTCATTGAGTGTGAACACTCCGCGAACTGACTGAGTGAGCGGTGGATTGTATGTTTCCAGAAATTTATGTATCTGGAGGACCTATTACAAGAAAAAAAACATATACAAAGTATTCAAAATTTGGTTTGAAAAAATTATTTGATTCGATTCTAAAAATCATTACGGTAAGTATTGGAAAATGTCCAGTTTATTCAATACGCAAGTACCTGTTGTTATATTATTATCTCTGTGCAATTTAACATTCAAAAATCTTTCATAATTTCCAAGATCTAAATCTACTTCTCCTCCATCATCAAGTACAAACACTTCACCTGAAAGAAAACATTCCATTGAATAACTTAAGTTAGTGAAGTTTATTATGTTTACCAGCTAATTTTCAAATTCCAAAAAATAGTCTCAAAATTATGCAAGTGATATGATAGTTCAATTAAAAATACTATATAGTCCACAATTCCCCATACTTTATTTCAGACATAGTCAAATCAAAATGAATAATTTTCTATTAAAAATATGAAAAATATAAATTTTGTTTTTGAAAATTCCATTCCAACAACAATGTAATTTAAATCATCTTCAATAAAGAAAATGCAAAATCCATAGAGATGATTTCTTTAAATCTTAGATAATATTCTTTACCGAATTATTTATTTTTATGGGGCAGGGGTGAGCAAGGTTTTCGGACGAGGCCCCAGGGGCCAAACATTTTGCCCACCTAGAATTGCGGACCATGTAAATGTGACGTAAAAAGTTACATTTTATGAAAAATATTTACAATGTTACGAAAGCAAAAGTGGAAAACAATAAGCCCCCAAAACTAAACTAAATTTTATCCCAATCTCAACGAATTACTTGAGCTAACCTTAATTAGAACATCAAAATTTGGTTTTAGTTTGGTTGTTGAAGCATCAGGCGGGATTAGGCCGCGGATCGTAGTTTGCCCATGTCAGGTATATGCATAGGCCCATTCATTCAGTTTCAAAATGGCTCGAAGCTGGTTTAAAATCACAAATATATTGAACTGCCGCTCCAGATATAACTCCATAGCAATTGCCCAATGGTGTTTTTTATATGACAATTACTGTCAAGAATCAGCATTCAGTACACATACAGTTCCATGATAAGACCAAGATCGTAAAGGTTGGAAATTTTAAAACTAAACTCTCAACTTTAAGTTATAATATTAGAAATTGAATATTGAAAAACAAAGATGCTTAAAGGGATAGATTTTATTATTTTATGAGGTATAAGAAAACTGAAAATATGAAAAAATAATTAGATCGTAACCCTGGTAGCTCCAGCTCATCAGCCTTGGTTTAAAATATTTCAATTTTTGAATATTCAAATGCTGATATTTGCAAAGGAATATATTCAGTCAATCACAAATTTAAATACAATTTTCAAACGTCAAAAATACTGTTAGATGTATTTGAATTATTTCAAACATCCTAAGAGCATTAAAAGATATACCGGTTTTCCAAGAAAAAAATATCCTTAAAAAATAGACGCAAATCAAAACTTCCTTACCATGTTCATAAGGAGAGAATGTGCCAGCATCAATGTTAAGATATGGATCGATTTTTATTGCTGTAACTCTCAGACCACATGACTTAAGAATTGTTCCAATACTGCTTGCAATAATACCTGTACAAATAAGGTGACAACTGACAAGTATTCAAAAAATACATCTACAGGATTTTATGTATCACAAGCTACATAAAAGCATAACCATCAGCATATACAAACTATAGAACATTCAAAACTGGGTATAGATTTGATATACCAGTTCAGTCGTAAATGCTCCATTAATTCGTAATTTTTACATTTAACATCTGCTATTTTGGACAATTGAATTCTGATAGACATATAAAAAAATATTGTCCATGTACCTCTATAAAATCGAGCAAAACAATTTCAATTTTTCAGCATTATCAAATTAAATCCATATAATAAACAACGACCATTGTATATTGATTTTTACTGATTATACCTGAATTTAGAATATCATACATCCAGTATTCTATAGTTATGAATATTTTCAGATACGACAGATAATTTGAGCATAGACATTACGGCAACACGCAAACAGTAAGGCCTCGGCAAATGGCAAGAAGTTAAAAATATTTAACCCCTTGCTTACCTTTTCCAATACCACTGATAACACCTCCAGATACTAATATATACTTCATTTTTCTTATGATGTGTAAAGTCTTCAAGTACTTGGTTTAAAAACTTCACTAGTTATCATAAACTACATAAAAAAGCCACAGAAGAGAGTTCAGAATTCAAAATATTATTCACTACTAGACTAGATATCAATAAATACACGGTGTGCCAATATCATACAAGTAATTTTTATGATCAATAATGAAACAATATAGCTGATGTCAAATATGGACAGAGTTTGACTGTATTATCAATATATTGATTTATTTATAGCTATTATCGGAAAGCCAAGCTGACAGCATAAACACCCTCTGTTAATATTGGAAATATTCCGTTCAACAGCTCATCACTTTACTGGTTTAGATAGTGATCAAAGTTCACTTCATAACAATTGTCTTAACCCGAAGTAATATTTCATAACGATTAATTAAATTGCAGAATATTTTTATCTAATTGCAAGCAAATCTCAATAACATAGCTGTTAAATATTCTGTCATAACTAGGCGATGTTTGGCCACCAGCTCATATTTGAATTTCCAATAGAAAACAGTATATCACATATTATCATCCACAAAAAAATATTTTAAATATTATCAGCTGAAATGAAGTTATAACTGAATATTTCTTAAATACAATCGCATATGACAATATCTCGCCAATGATTCAAACAATACAATATAAATCATACTCGAAGGTTCATCATGCAATGAAATCATAATGAAATGTGTTGTTTTATTTATTACTAATCAAAAACGATCACGTTAGCCTAGTATCAGGCAAAGACAGGAAAATAGAATTGGCTATAGAAAATTATCACGAACATTGCAGAAATTCGTGTCCGATGTAAATACGACCACATTTATATAAAAGAATCAAAACTCTGCTGTTACGACAGTCATAACCCAATTAGAGAAGAGAAAAAAACTGACAGAATTCTAGCACTTCGGTAAGGTCAAAATATTTTGCCAATAAGGCTTTAACAATCATAGTCCAATTATGCCAAACCAAATATAGACCTTATGCTGTCGACATCTAACACAGCTTTTGTCCATGTATAGATTTTTAATCAATTCAACTACAGGTAAGTATAAAATTAAAATATGACGATTTAAATCAAGTTGAATCAATAATATCTTTAATAAAAATCTCCAATTTTATTTTTCATACTTTTCAATAAGAAGTTACAGTCATACAGTTATTCAATCGAATTTATTTTTCAGAATATTATCCACAAAATACTTCAATCGACAAGGTTCCGATTTAGGGGAATGATATTTTATTTTTACAAAGACATTTGAATTCCATAAAACCCATCACTTCCATAAATAGAAACAAAATTATTCGACATGGCAATAAATACAAACAAAAAACTTGCTATGAAGACAATTAATTGTACATAGTGAGAAAAATATTAGTTGTATTTAATACAACAATCAGACTATACAATATTTCATGACAAGCGACTTATAGTTGTGATTTGTATCGGGAATCATCCTTGCAAATATTCCAAAAATAAGATGAATATGACAAAATGTTGAAGCAAAATCGCCAAGCGAATGCTACTCACTCAAAATATATTGAAAGAAAAGGAGTCACGAGCCTTTGAATTATGCTTTGATATGCTTACTACATATCGTCAAAAAAATTGAGTTGAAATTTGTTGAAGGTAAAATATACATATTTCAATCCTGATACGTATAATTGATTCCAGTTCTGACTAGAATAATATTTCGCAATAAATTTGATCAAAGTACAGATTTCAATCATGCTCTGTGGTTTATGAATTACATTTTATTATTAATATTTTCAACAGTCTGTCTATGGAACAAATGAAAACTTCCTAAGAAAATAAGGGTGTCCAATTTTTTATCAAGTTTATTGAATGAATATATCAGAAAATACAAAAATGAACCGTTACATAAAAAGAAGGCTAAACCCTATCACTTAACATCATGTTTCTTCAAACTATCTTATTTTAAATTGAATATTAAATTCAGATCAATGCTATAATACAAACTGGAATAATAAGAAAGGCCATGGTGCAAGTATGCATACCCGTGGGTAAGATTCTTTTCTGCTGGATAATCAAAATAGATGAATTCTGAAAGGAAACATTAATGAGCATAATGTACATGCGTATAAGAGTATCACGCCTTCTTTGAGAACAATAAAACCCAAGCACTGAAAAAACAAGCAATATGCCAAATAGTCCCAACACGAACAATAGACATTTTAGAATAGGGCAAAATATAAGAACCCAATTGTCATTTGAATGGCCTCCTCGATAAAAGCCATATTGGTAGTGGATTCAAAGTAAAAATATATGGAGGACAGTTGATTGAGTTCTCAAAAACCAAGTGTGGTGTGGTATTTTGTCAAACATATTACACATGAAAAACTGAAATCATATTATAAGTTTATATAGCTGAAACACGGTGGGTCACTTCAAAAATAAAAACTTGCATGAAAGATAGGGATATAACGTAGAGTGTAGATTGGGTAAAAAAATTGGATACCCTTATTAACATGAATAAGACAAGTTTTGGTCGCTAGTCTATAAGTCGTCGCATTAATGAGTTTGGCATTGCATTCCCGAACCCCGAGGTCCATCTTCATCGTCTTCGTCATAGACTTCGCCCCCCAATCCTTGTGCTCTCGCACTCGGGTCAAATTCATGCAACTCAACATCTTCCATTTCATCAGTGATAATCTCCTCGACACGTGGAGGCAGGAGTTTTTCCAATTTTTTCAGATCTGCTTCCGAAATCCAGTTGTTTTCAGGAAATGACACGCTGAATTGAATGATAAGACGCCCTTTTTGATATGGGTCTCGATATACTGGCATGCCTTCACCCATAACACACTTAATATCATTGAACTTTATCACTTCCCCTGGGTGAGACGTAACAACAATTTCACGATTATCTAATGTTTTAACAACTTTCTTGAATCCGCAGAGTGATTCCGTCAAAGAAACATCCATTTTCATCAAAAGATCTTGCTTCTGTCTATGAAATACTGCATGCTCCTTCTCGATTAACACAATCACAACATTTCCGGGTTCAAGGCCAGGCTCTTGATCCCCTTCTCCGTGAAATGTAACCTTTTGACCTTCGCTCATACCCTTATCAACATGTACTTCAAGAATTTTGCTTTCTTTGATAATTTTTTTCCCGTTGCACTGTTTACATCGGTCACGAGCATTGATTCGTTCACCTTGACCGTCACATTCCCGACACATCGACTGGATTTGTTGAACCATGCCTGGCCCAATTTGCTGAATTCGAATTTGCATTCCTGTGCCTCGACATGTTGTGCATGTCTGAGTTGCACCTTCTTTTCCACCACGGCCCTCACATTTCGAGCAAATGACATTTTTTTGGAGAGACAATCTTCTAGTAGCCCCATTGTACATGTCTTCTAAAGATACCTTAAGTCGATGCATGACATCTTTACCTCGATTTGGTTCCCGTCTCCTGCCGCCACCCCCAAACAGCATGTCAAAAACGTCCATTGGTGAATGGAACCCACCACCACCACCTTCTTTTAAAGCTTGTTCCCCACCCTCATCATAAACACGTCTCTTTTTAGGATCAGAGAGCACTTCGTAAGCATAAGAAATTTCTTTAAACTTTTCACCAGCTTCGGGGTTTTTGTCGGGATGATATTTCAGGGCAAGTTTTCGGTACGACTTTTTAAGTTCTTCCTGAGAAGAAGAGGGCTTGGCGTTGAGCACATCGTAAAGTTTGGTTTCTTTAACCATGATCTACAGCGAAAGTTTAAGGATTTTTTACAGATAGGAAGCTTTTAGATAGAGAACAAATCTGCCTTGTGAACTCACTACGCGAAATCGAAAACGGGAACGGTCGGGAGATTACGAAAGAACGAGAAGCACGGCTGGCCAGGAAGCGCGTGTATTCAGCGGTGCATGACATGACAAGCTAGAAAAAAAGTTCAGGAAATTTCTTTGTTGGTATTTTGGGGGGCAGGAGTCCGTAATTATTGTGCTTGTGGCTTTGGAAATTCGACCATGTCGTCAAAATAATAAAAATAGATCTGAATATTTCTTTTCCATTCGACCATAGTACAAAAATGACAAAGTACAGATCGGAAATTCTGGAAGGTTGCCAAAACTTCCAGTGGCAGAGTGGTGGAACGGAATGAAAGTACTGCGGTACATCAATGAGCAAATATACATGCTCATTGGGTACATTGTTAATTTCACCTTGTGACGTTACTGACATAGAACTTGATGACGCGGGTTGCAAATTTAGCTACAAAGAAACCGCAGCAACGGGCAAGAGGCCACCGAGACGACGGGGTTATTGGATTTGGAAATATAATGAAGTTTAGTGGCCATTGGGTTGTTGTTGCTGCACTGCGGAGATCGCAAAGTGTCTTCAGGCTGGTGCTGCCGACGTTTCACTCTTCTACTTTTTGATACCCCCTTCCTAAATGAAGAGCTGGGGAACACATGCTATCAACAGCAGCACAATGCATTGTCCAAATCACATAATCATCCCGAAGGTTGGAAAACAAATGCTGAAAAATAATCGATACAGATAAGAAGCAATATGCGGAGTTTAAATACTCTTGTGTTTGATTCAAATCAAAATGCTTTCTTGAATTTTCTAAACGTATTGACATTAATTTAAATTAGGGTTTAACGAGATTTTTTTGTGCAATTTTCCAGCGCAACCCCTCCACTGCGTGTCTTGTTTGTAAAAAAAAATCGTCTTCGATTTTATCAAAACCTTTCAACAATGTTTTTTGTGAATTTTCTTTCCCGGACTGCTGGAAATGCGCTTCTGTTGTTCTAGCCTTTAAAAGCTCTGGCAATTGCACGGATTCCGGTGAATATTAGCTGTTCTCATCGGACACGAATGTACATATGGATCGTTTTTGGACACGAAATGTAGCCTACGTATGGCTCGTTTTGATAATATGGCACAAGACGCACGAATCATAATTGTCGCAGGACCAGGTAGCGCAAGGGCAGCCCGGGTACCGGTACTTGTAAAATAGGATGGTCCACAGTCCCAGCTTAGTCCAGGATGCGATTTTGGGGGGAAATTATGGATAAAATATTTCGTTTGGACCTGCGTCTGCATATATTTGAACATTGATCTCTCTACTTGCAATTTTTTCATTGTGTATTATTCCGTCCAAGAAAAGTTTCCCAAAGAAATTATTACGACAAAAGTTAGTTTCCAAGAAATTCGTCTATGTTGAATTCACTACACGTGGCTGTTGCCCTGATCCTATTAACTTGAACCGCTTCAAGAGTAGTTGTTAGTATTGAAACTGATTTAGAGAGAGTGTGCTGATGACATGAACGTTCTTATTGTTTTCAGTAATTACCGCACTTACACACGACCTAGTTTAAGGCAAACGTGAGCATGATTTACGCAATACTTTCATGAATAGTCGCTTTTAAAGAGCCATGTTCAGAGTAAATGTGAAAATAAATAATACTATACTCTCGAATAATTTCTTATGCAGAGCATGGCTTTTTGAAGAATGTTTGGATGAAGATTAATACAATTTTCAGTAGTTTCTCAATGCTATTCATCTTGTAAGAAACATACCTTTTGGGGTTCAACTATCATTATATAAATGTCCATTTTCATAAGTTTTATAAGAACCTTGCATTGCCTGTCAAAATAACAAGTTGATCAAACATAATTTATTTTAGAAAAACTAATAAACAAAATTAAAAAAAATGGCAAGTGTTAAAAACAGAAATTAAAACGATACACATCAAAAAGTATTGTATGGTTTCACTAAAATTCAATATTAGTTGAAACAAATCAAAATCACAGTGTTAACAAGACAATATCGAACTAAAGAACCAAGCTACCTCCCGACTTTCATGTGTTTTTCTTGGCATGCAAGTCAATAAGATATATGGCTTAAATTTGCATAGAATAGATAGGTTGTCGTATTGGTTTTACATAATTATACGCAAAAATGTGTAGTGCGTAAAGGTGTAAAATAGTATGGACTGTACGCAAATTCATTGCACATTTAACTGGCTAGAATGATAACCAAGTTTGAAATCTCAATTTATGAAAGTAGACAAATACTGCCAATATACAGCCAAACAAAACTTTCCAAAACCCCGATCCTCCCAGTGAAAATTTATATGAATACCTCTAACTAAAGAAATATTCAATAATAACCACTATGTAGTATGCTTGTTGAAAATAACGTCATCAAACGTTGACTTGGTTTCGTTGCATTGCTTTCTTTTTTGAACACCAATCAACTTTAGGATTTATTAGGCAGTGTAGGGACAAGAAACGAGTTGGATCGTCTTCTATAGAATATGCGGAGATCTTTTTATCAAGCTCGATAACATTTGAACCTTTATCCTCGTCAATGAAATAGCTGAGGGAAACCTACAACATTCAGAAGTTGTTAGTTATATATTTACAGAACTATGGAGAATTTATGGAGCTCCGCTTCAATTAAATCGTGTACCACAGTTATACCTGCTGAGATAGTTTATCTTGCTGAATTAGTGACAGTTGTTCCAGATGAGAGTGAAATTCATCAACCTTTGTTAGTTCAACCCCGAGACGATTGTTTATTATGAAGCCGAGTGTGCAATCGTCTGGCAACTTCAAACGCTCGGAAGTTGCTTGAAATTTGCCGTGCCTGAAGTAAAGTAATCTCTTTTATCGTCGGTGGACATAAATGTGAGTTCATAACAACTACAAAAATGTGGGCGAAAACCGAGTCTACCTGCTCCATGAATTCATCTTTTCCCCGAGACTCCTTGAAATACAAACTCCAGCTCCTCCAGTTGCAAACCAGAAATGCACTTTATTCCCTTTATATATTGCCTGAATTGGAATAAATATTTGTAATAATGCCCGATGTACAATAAAATTATATAAAAATTGAGTTAATAAATTATAATGTGATTAAAGCCTGAATAAGCTGGATTTAATTTACAAATTTAACCACAAACCACAGTAACTTTCTGTTAATCTGGCAATTCCCAAACCGTTTTCCTAAGCAGATGCAGTGCAAAGTGATAATTAAAATATATACTTGTAAAATATTGAAATTTTTTTACCACCATATACGATAACAGATGTTTATTTCAATCGACGCAAACAGAGAATAAAGATTGAAAATTTCTGAAGCAGCGGCCCCTATTCATTTACAGCCGCTAATATCCGCGGATATAGCTATAGTTAAATTTTAAAACTACAAAAAATTTATATACCTCTACCACGTGATTAATACTCGGTTTTCCGAGGTAAACGTCTGATTTCCAGTTGTAATTACGTAAGGAACGTAGCAGCGCATCCACGTTGACGTAATTGTCGTCGTCAAAATGGCACCACCACCTGAAGAAATATACTATAAACATACAGTATTACATAAAATTTAACCTAAAATCCCAAATTTTATCTTACTTTTTCCCGCTTTCAATAAATGCATCGTATTCTTGTCCTATCTTACAGCTGAGATCTTGCCTAGAAAAAATAAAAAAATGAAATAATGAAATGTGGAATAATTGAAAATACAATGACATATTAAAATGATCCTTCACCTGTGATGAGTTCTCCTACATTTAGTATTGATGATATGACCGTCTGAAAAAAATAATAACGAGTAAACATTACGTTTCATATTTAATTGCTGGTGATTGGTTTTCGCAACACACTTTATATTCATCTATTTTGCCCACGTGAACAATAAGATGGCTATTCCTAGGCCATTTTATCGGCCTTTCTGTCCACGGAATAAAAATAAATTGTTGTGTCAAAATACCAATAGAATTACGCAATTTATACTGTACGACCTCATTATGCAAACATATTTGTTAACCTTACCCACTTATTTCCACTCTAAAATAAAAACATATATTTAATAGTTACTGACTAATGATTTTACACAGTAGATCGTGCCATTTGTGTCAGCGCTGGAACATTGCAGTAATGGGCAAAAGCGTGTTCACGCATCATGTACCTGTTCTGTTTTTCAGTTGATTGTCATCCACATCAGTAAATATGTATATCTAAACATGAAAAAACGTGGTCAAAAGGACAATTTTTGACTTGATCAAAAACAAATTGACAATCATACTTTTGGCATGAGGTAATATCATACCTTTGGCACATAGACTAACCCAGTGGTTTTCAACCTTTTTTCAAGCGACCCAATTAAAAATAATAAATGGTACTCCCGAAGTATGTGAACCAAGATGGCGGACACAGAAACGTAGCATGTGTACCAGGCTAGGATTAGGCGATAATTTTATTCCAATTTTCCCTATTTTAGTTCTATTACGAGTTCGGGGACTAGCTAAGTGATTCCCGTAGTATTTGTACCTGAAATTATGGCTTAACCCTAACCTGGTATACATCCTACATTCCGTGTCGCCATCTCGGTTACATACTTCGGGAGCACCAAATAAATTTTGTAAAATCTTGCGACCTAATGATATGCTCAAATACTATAGGCGGTATGTAATTTCTTATTCCTCAAATGGTCACAAAATTTACTGACTGACTAATAACAGCAGATGCCAAGTTTTTGCGTTTTAATACTTCCCACATATACAATTACTATTGAGCAACACTCCAATATAAATATAAAATGAACAACTAAATTCAGATAGAAAATAAAAGCAGTAACTTCAAAAGTTTTTGTTGGATAAACAGGCGACCCAGGGAAATTTTTTGGCAATCCATAGGTTGGGAAACATTGGCCCAACCAATCTTATAGATCCCCGGTCGCAAAGAGTTGGTTGCAGGGCTCACAAGAGATTAAAGGTCAAGACCCCTATCATATGATACTAAAATAGTTAACGCCACTTGGCTAGTGGGCTCATGAATAACGAAATAAAATCTGATACAAAGTGATTTGGTACAAGTAAACCATATACAAAATTTGACATGGTATCCAGTTTAGTCTGTTAATAATTGTGACTGTATGGTGTACATTTTTTATCCACTCGCAAATCCGGACATCATCGATGTATGTAATTTGTTTCAATAACCAATTTCCTGAAATTATTGATTTTACAGCTCGAACAACAAATTACTATCTGACTGTACAAATAAAAATATTGATCTATTTGGCTACTGCCACAGTGTGTTTTATGAGTAGAAACTTGAACATGCATTTGGTGATATACACGTTGCACTATCAACCAAATATATGCCTAGAATTCGAAAAAGTTTCCAAATTGAACTATTTCACGTTGTAAATAAGGTCGATTGATTTTTATTCTTTGTCTTTGAGATGGCATGTTTGACTTATAGCCATTTTGATTGAAGACGACCATATCGTTTTGCAACAGAACATAGCCTACCGACACAACACACTCATCAGGTGGAATTTTGTATTATATTTCATTATATACAATGGCTTAGCGGGAATTAAATCGCTTCATAGATTCGTGCCGTTGGTGTGGAATTCTTTATACAATTGGCGAGTATCTGTTACACGTACTCTCGACATCGTAGGTCGCGAGTGTGGAACAAGACATTATAATAATTATGCCTCATACATTTTGAAAGTAATATATTACTTGGATGAATTCGAAACACCTTCTTGTTAAACAGTTTCAAAGGCATTATTTTGAACCTATAGTAAAAAATAAACCTGACAATGCTTTTATTTCTAGGCCTATGCAAGACGGCATGTAAAATTTGGTAGTTATTGGAATTTTGATTCTTAGAGTTTTCGGTCTGGCCGATTTAGACTTAGGTATTATCAAATATATTCGTCACTGTGGCGGTTTATCATTGTTCTTTCCAAGCACGCGAATGTAATGACACTCTAACCAACTTTCTACTGGGGAAACTTCACTATTGTGTTCAAGTCTCATTATAAAGAGCCTGTATTTTAATTTCAGTGGATAAAAGCCCTATGCTAGATAGAAGTAGGGTAGAAAAAGCCGAATTGACTTGGCGCGGGATTGCAAAGATCTATATCAATTGTCATTCACGAGTCTCAATTAGCTGTCTTTGCCAAATCAAAAGGATAATAGTTAATCTCCTAGTTGAAAAAATTTCGAGATTTTTATTGTCTGAAACATATAATTTTTTTCTTTCATCACAAAAGCATGTTCCGCAGAAATGAATCGACGAAATAAATTAAATTAACCCGTGCTATAAGAATATATTGCCAATACAACAACAAAAATATAAAATGACTTTAAGAGTAATATATGCCTTGGGATGAATCGAAATTATTGACGTTCAGTATTTACTGAATGACTAAAGTTACAATATTATGTTGACCTTAAATTTGTACAGTTGCCGAGAATTGCACGATTTCTGAACGCCAATACGTAAATAGTATCAATATTTTAAAGGCTGGATTACGAGCCCACGGAGCCTATTTCCAATGGTATCCTTTGGAAATATACTAACTAACTTGGCAAAAGTATAATTGATGCATGTACGAATGTAAAGAAAATTCTGTTCGAAATCCAAAATTTTCATACGATTTTTTATTTTAGCATTCAAAAAGCGTTTTATGAAGGTTACGTAAAGCATACACTATATATATATATATTATATTCCATTGTGCTCGTTTGTATATCGAATAAAATTTTATGTATTGCAATACCAAACTCTATATTAGTCTATAAGACGTGTTTCGCAGACTACTCGGTCACTAAATAATTTATGTAGTGGAAGGGCAGGTGTCAGACGGTACACTTTAAACAAAGAGTAAGGTGAATGGCTTAAAAATAAATAAACGTGAAATACACGTGACTTCATGATTATTCATGCAAAATAATTTTTCGACGTTGTCCTACCCTTATAAAGTTCGAAACATTATAGTTTTGAAAAACATCATGATCCAAAAGTAAATTTAGCACATGTATGAGGTTACAAAAGTATAACGATAATTTTATTTGCTGTGATAATTATTCGTGAGTGATGGAATCGTAGAGTATGACGGTAGTGACACAATATTAATATGGATGGTTTCAATAAAAATGTAAGAAAGCCATAACAGCAATTCATAGTTCTATTTTCGAAAACGCTCTTGATTGCTGCGACATTGTACCAATCTCCGCCGGAAATGGCTGCATATAATGAGCTTGGAAGAATTTGGCTTGAAAAACTGAATAAGCGAATAATTGAAGTTATTCAATATCATACATACTTGTTCTTTTGCTGTGTTCCACCAAGTACGAAGAATAAGATCCAATCGCGTGGAGTGAAATTTCTCACTTGTTTTAACGCTAATAAATACGTCATGAAGAGCTATGATGTCATCTGGATAATCTGAATAACTGATACTAGGAAATCCAGAGAGACTTCGAGATTCAAACAAATCTTCGTCCTTGGGCAAAATGTTTTCTTTTTTGGGCGGAATGTGGCGATATTTAATTCCAACATCTGCCTCATTTTTACTAAATTCTCTTTCGTAGAAATAATAATTTTGTAAACGAAATTTTTCATGCGAGATGTACAAAACTGCTGTCAAGCATACCCACGTTGTGACACAAATTAAAGCCACAAATGTCCAAGCTACTCTAAAACGAAATCGGTTGTCCATTTCGCGGTGAAGCTTCTGAAGACAACGTAAATTGAAATGCGCGAAAGCGACGCTCCTCGCATAAGTCGACAGTCGTAATTCTCTCGCTTGAACACAGCGAGAGAAATTTAGCGAATACGCTCAGAACCGACGACAATAACTTGACTCCAGACAAATATCGATTCAGCAATTACAGACTTCGGTGAAGTAGGATAAGATTTTATATCAATCCTATAAGAGACTGGGCAATCTATAAAATCTTTTTGGTGCGGTAAACCATGATCTCTGGCTAAGAAAATCATTAGTATCAGAAATGCCTCAAAATTTCCACACAAACATTCTTGAAAAAATGTATCCACTTTTGAAATGTAACGTATTTCTGACTACTTGCACATTGGTTAGTCACATTATCATACGTTTTGAAGAAAATATAAGTTTTTAGGGCAATAAACAATTTTTTTTAGAAAGCTGGTAGATTGTGCGCTATTTTACTGATTTATAGGCAACCAATACTCATTGTATTTCGAGTATTAAAAAATTTAATCAACCAAATAACCATATATTCTTTAAATATATATATAGATTAATATCTGATATTTGTGGAATTTATATATAAAATATAAGATATACTTATTTTCATGAATTATATACCCTAAAAGGTAATTCAATAACAAACGAAATGACACATATTAGCAAGGTTAGTGGATAAGGTGCGCGGCCCGTGACTTCGAGGGATATTTATAATATAAACGACTATAAGTTCAACTTGGTGGAAGTTTCAACTCCAAATTCTCGAATGAAATTAATTTTTTGGTTATAACATCTTCAGAGTAGGCCTATATATATGGACTGTAAAGAAAACTTAGTCAGCCTAAAATTGTTTTGATTTTCTGTAGAAAATTCCAACTCTCGGACATTCAGAATTTAAATTTTGAAGAGTTTAAAAATACAACTCCGGCTTTTAACGAAAATATGTCAAACGACCACAGTCGTGGCGCAGTGGCTGAATAGTCAATATTTTTGTGAGCGATTATCAGATCTTTCTCTAAGTGAAAACAAGAGAGTATTGCACATATACGACATGGACATTCGTATATGGACACGAAAGTGAAATAACTACCTCAATGAGCCCAACCTACCGGTAGAATAAAATTGAGTCCTGTTCCACGCCGTTCCCAACAAAAAGTCGCCGAAACAAGAAGACTAACGAATATAACAACGAGAATATCGATCGGAGACCGGAGACTTATCGATCGAAACTGCGGTTTCGATTCATGACTCTATAGTGACACCGCGTGTCCCATCACTATTTAATTAATAACTCGCTAATTATACGACATAATTCATCCAAAATCAATTATCTAACCGACTTCTTCCGACATCAAACCCATGTATCTGAAACAAGTAATAGTTTAACTATTCACATACTCGACATAGACTGGTAATCTGGCGAGACAGGTTGTTCACTGTACGATTACGCCGTCTCATCTCTCGGGATAAGTATTCTTACACAGTGTGTCCCAAAATAAATGAAAGCCATTAATTCGATTACCAATTTTGTGGGTGAGGCAGCCAATACCAAATATAACCGTAACAGATATATCAAGTGTATGGCATGCTGAATATGTTGGTTCTAAATTTTCCCCGGGTTGTTGGGGCCATTTGGTTTGCCAGTATTATTGTAAGATAGGATTTACGTATTTATCCCGGGGAGAAGAAAGCCGATAAGACAGGTTAATCATATGGCGAACCACGGCATCTTGTCCGGTTATCAGTCCATGTCGGGTAAGGAATTAGTTAGCCAGTTAAATTTTTTGTTTTAGATGCATGAACGTGATGGCGAATGGAGCCGCAGCCGACAAGCGGTTACGTGAACCACACGACGGCGACGAGGAAGCCAGCAATCCTCTCGCACATAATTATCCCCCACGGGATTCGAACTCACGCAAGGTAATCGGGGGCGCGATGGGGAGCGTATTCCTAATGCTTAGCACTATGTGCCACACCTCCGAGCCGCTGTGGTGTAAGTAAGAGTAGATACAGGCGGGTGAGAGTGGATACAAGAATTCTCACGAAATAATTCGATTATCATATTCGGCGGTGTTAACTTGGGAATTTCAAATTACTAAAACTCTCTTCAACATAAAAATAGAATTTTCTTAGACATATCGGTGGAGAAAAAAAGCCGTTCAGCCGACTTAATTATGTGACGCGGACTGGTGAGCTAAATACTTCTTATGTATCAGTTTATTTCAATCAATCATTTATTTCGGTACTCTGACATAAAAACAAAACAGTACAAAAAGTAGCCGAACAAACAAAATACAAAGATACCTGTTCATCTGTCTCATTCCTTTGTCGGATAATATGTTAAGACTGTCACAAATTACTACCTCCAACTTTTTGGCAATCCCCATAACCTTGTGGAAATTAGTTTTGAATCGCCAAAGAGCTGTAAGATTCACATGTCATTTATTCTTGCCTTGTGATGTTTAGTTGTAAACGCATGTGTAACATCATCTCTGACTCTATGAAAGGAGGATATGTCTGTCACATCTGCGAGACTTTTAAATGCAATATCTGGAGCAATAATTCCAAGCCATTCTTATAATAGTCATTACAAAGGTTATAATATTCTACCTTCGCTATATTTTGTTTATCTCCGCTTGGTCGCATTTGTATCAGCTGTTAGCTATTCACCTCAGCGGCACTCGCAGCTAGGATCGTACAACTGCTGCGGAGATCAGCAATAGGCCTTCAGGCGTCGCCGCATAGTTTACTCTGGGACTTCACCGTTCAGAGATCCGAATTAGTTGGTTTGGAAAAATCATAAAGCTGAAGGATGGCGATGCTTCAGGTATGTTAGATATATCTGTATATACTGATATTTGAAGGACTAAAGTCTGGAAGTTAATACTGCAATGACAGAATATTTTCACTTTGATTATTATAAATTTACACAGAACTGTGCTCGGTATTTTTGAAGGATTTCAGTATCTCTGTATGATACCGGTACAGTATATCGTTTCTGCATGCTATACCGGTATATTTATGTGATAAGTTTGGGATACTGGGATATCTGAATTAGGATAGGATTTAACTTGACCTATTTATCCCGATTGAATCATGGGTAAAATGTTATTTTTGCATTTATTCATATATTCTCAATTGTTGTTGATGTTAAAATTTTTGTTTCAGGGAAATTCAAAAACATTTGATAACAAATGGCCAAAGATGCAACCAATTGTTCTCAAATTATTGGGACAAGAACCAGTTTCAAAAGAGGAATGGCAGGTAGAATATATGTTTACTATTATCAACTTAGATTTAGCAGAACTAGGCCTACAATGTCAATAGACATTCCCTGTATCTTTATGTAAGGTTACATACATGGATTAAGTTACGAGAATAACATACAGTTACTGACTTAACTCAATCTACAAACATGTGGTTCAGTAATCCGTTTCGGTTTACATTGGTAGTTTTGTGTGATGTAGATTGAAGATTCAAACTGAAATTGAGATTTGACTTACTATATCTGTATTATGTTTATTTACCATACATCTATATTGAGATTTCAACTATTATGATACTTATCTATGAATAATGTTTTTCAAGTAATATTTGTTGTAACATTAGGATTATACTTGGAAATACAACCTGAATCATCATAAAGATATTTCTAGACACTTCGGAAGCATGTCTCCTCAAAAAATTATAGTAGGCCTACTATAAAACGCTGCTAATCATGTGCCAAGTTCCAGCTTATTATCTCTATGACATCTTGGAGGAATGTCTTGCTGTTGACGATTTTTTTTTATATATTATCGCCAGCTCTTAAATGCTGTTTCCTTTTTCGAGCAAATTTTATTGAGATTTCGTCGACGGCTAGATGGCAAGTGGAGGTGGTGGTTAATTGATAATATTTCTTCTCCATTTTTTCAATATGTTAAGGTTATTCAAGTTATTGTAAGCAACTTTTCTTGATTGCAAACTGGCTGAACAGACCTGTGTTTTGTGTGAATCTTTCTTCCAATGTATCAAATCTTAATTTTACGAAAATTTATATTTATGTTTAATCGTGTTTTGGGACAATAAAGTACAAGAACATATCCTTTATTTCGTTTAGGATTTGTTTTACGACGTTCACACTGTATGTCTGTGGGACGAGGATAAAGGAGTGGCCCAAGTACACGAGGCTCTCAAAAATATAATTTCTAATTTTATAAAGAATGCAAAGATGGTAAACCAATTTTTTTACTTTAAGAATTGTCGATAAGATAAATTATTTAGGAAGATATGTCCAAACCAAAACGAATATTCATATCAATTTCAATTTTATTAAGCTATTGAAATCTTCCAGTGTGATCAAAATTGGATTCATATAATTTCAGAAAATAGTGAAAATATAGTGAGCAGACAATAAAAAAAGCAAATCAATATTTATTCCAACTTTTCTGCATTTCAAATGCAAATTATTTAATATAAACTTCTATGTGCTCTTTGCTTAACACACCCCAATTTAGAAAAATTTCAAAGATTTAGTATTAGAATATACTATTTAGGAATGTATCAGAACTAATAGAATACACAATTTTTGCCAACCTCCGTGATTAGGTTATATTACTATAGTCATGTGATTGTGTAGAAAAAAATACTTTCAAGTCAAATATTAGATTAAGTAAAATTTGTGAGTAATTTTACTCTGTCATTATGGATTTGAATAAAATTTTCTATTCTATCATCAAATATTTTTTTATTGTTTAGAAAGTAAAAATGAATGATGACAATTCTGCTCTCTTGAAAGCTTATATTTCGGTTTGGACAAAATTTTTTGAACAATGTCTGTATCTACCGCCTGCTTTCAGCACTCTTGAAAAATCACTTGAAAGTTCCGATAACAATTTGGGAATGAAGAAAAACGAGTCCAGAAATATTATTAGGAAGGTTGTATGGATTTATGATGTTGCTGGTATAATAAGACACTCTTCTCTCTAAACGAGGCTCTGCACGAGTAGCCATTGTTAGGTGCTATTATAGTTTGGAAGGACTGGGATTTTTCTGGTTCAGTTTATGACACCATGGGTGAGGTGGTTGTTCTCAGGATTTGAACCAGAGATTTTAACCTGCAATGACATTATATTATGTCTAATGTTTTAAAAACAAGGCCACTGCACCCATGTTTGTTATGTTTTTCTTTTAGTTCTAAAGGTTGGATCATTAAAAATAGAGATAGTTGACTTACTCTGTTAAATGTTAGGAACACTCTCACCTTCACAGGGACTCACTCGCGTCCTGATTATGAAGGATGGTCCTTTTGTTGAACTGCCTTACGTCACATAGTGGTTCACATAATGACTAAACAGATTTGGTTTCTTATACCAACCAGATTCCCACATCTAGTTTGTTATAACCTGTTATCTATTCAACAAACCATGTCAGACTGATGAATTAAAGTAATGATATATTCAGCAACATAAGTAATCATCATTTTAGCTTTCCCTCTGTCGCAAAATAGCTACAAAACCTATTGTTTATATATACTTATCTTATGTTGCTCTAAAATGTATCTGATATCAAATCTAATTTCATGTTTGATTTTTCAGTTGATGCTAGATAGTTGGAATGAACATGTTTTCTGTGATATTCGTCATCGACTTCAAGACAGTGCAATGATTTTGTTAAAAAAGGAAAGAGAAGGAATTTCTTTTGATTCACAACTTGTTATTGGTGTTAGGCAGTCCTACGGTATGTGTTTTTTATGGCCTGTATACTAAACCTATACATATTAATTATACTTGATTTTTTCAATATTTACACGATTTTCAAATGCTTTTCATTGACAGATTTTCTCAAATCGTCTATAAATGATCTGCAATTTTAATTCCTGTGGATTCCTGCTGATATAGGCAGTTTAAAAATCTTGCGATACCTTGTTTACTGTCCAAGACTATGCAACTGGAACAACTAACTACCGTAGTTACCATTACCATACCACACACTAGTAAATAGATCAACCGTTGGTCAATGGACACCATATGATATGACTGTCTTATCGACTGTTCTCAACCCTTGGATAGATATGAAAGTTATTAAATGTTATTTATCTTTTAATCTTTTTTTTTCAAGGAAAATAATCTAAATCATTCAATTACTTGACAATTTTTATTATGAAGCTATCAGATCGATCTAAATGCTAGGACTGACATTGTTTTATCTTGAACTGTTTATTTCTTAATATATAGAAATGCAGTTTTTTTGCAGATTGTTTAAATATTAGTGTACTGGACACATTTTTTCTTTTCCAAATTTTTTTATATATTCTATTAATATACAGTAAACCTCAGTTCTGATGCCGATGACCGATTGAAAATTTATCGCGAACATTTTGAATCTGCGTATATCAAAGCAACTCAAGATCATTACCAATCTGAAGCTCCTGCATATTTAAGTGAAAACGGTGTCATAAAATACATGAAATATGTAAGTATAATTTAATACTTTTACAATTTATATATATTGAAGACTAACATTATTGTATATTAAACCAGTAGAATACCTATTCAGAATTTGAAAAGTAATGGAATGAGAAGCAGTTAGAAGCTCCAATATTCTTCAATAAATATTATGTTTTGAAATTTAAGAAAACAAAAAGCCTTATGTGAAACATTCTAATTTTTCTCTGAAATCTATCATATAAAATTTGATTATCAAGTGTTCGGCAAAAAATTATTACTCTCTCACTCTTCTCCTGAGAAAAATATGGAAAGCTTTTCTTGAGCTGTTATAATAGCCTGAAGCTTAGCTTAACAAAATTCCTAACAGTATAATATTGATATTTTTCAAGGATATTTGATTCTAAATTTTTGTTTCAAATACCAATTTTTCAAATTGTTGAGTTTGTTTTAGCCCCAAAACATTGTATATATTTTGTGTGGTCATCGTAAAAATCAAACCACTATCTATATGACAGTTCAATGGCCCTCTATGAAGGAGGAGATTGACATATATACATCTCTTTCCTCAACTATTTTTTCTTACAATTGAGGATATGTCTAAACTGGATAACACCCTATGAACAACCCTACTCTCCAGGATTTGAACCTCCATCCCCATGCAGGGTGATTATGATTAGTAAAGCAATGAAAAGCATTTTTAAACAACTATTCCATTTAAATTGCCCGGATCTAAAATGATAAACTGATATACTATTCCCACTTCATAAGCAAGAGTTCTCGCTTTATCATTGATTAAGTCTACATATTGGTTGTTACCCTCCTCAGCGTAAATATAAAGAATTCTATCTATGTTGTTTGTGTCACTTTTCAAAAATTCAAAATCAATTTTGTTTTCTAATAACATGTCTAATGACACTTCTTTCTCTCTTTATTTCCCAGACGTAACTAATGTATACATTTTTCTAGGCTCATAAAAAGTTGAGGGAAGAGGAAGATCGGGCTGAACGATATCTAGAAGCAACTTCTGTACCTATACTTGTGAAAAGCGTCGTTTCTACTCTTGTAGAGAAGTTTTTAATGACTATTTTGTCTGAATGTCTTCCTTTGATACGACAAAACAACACAGAAGGTATCAGAATTTGAAACAATTGTTCTATAACGATAGATTGAAGGCAGTTGCCTATGCGTTTCAAATGGAAATGTGGTTGAACACCGAGTTTGCAAAATCAAAACCATAGCCATAACGAAGCGGTCATGCTTGATGCGAAAAAACAGTGTTCACATGAATTAAAATGAAACAGCGAAAATTTGAGTAAAATATCAGATCTCATAGGACCCGAAGGAAATTTTGAAAAAAAAAAAAGCATTCTGACGGCACCTTCCATCTTGAAGTGTGGAAAATTTGAAATTGATCGGTCATTCAGTTACAGAATAAAATACCTTTTCCAAAGCAAAAAAGTCACATTAACAACAGCAACAACAAATCAGCAAAATGATCCACTTTGTGTACAAAAATACACAAAAATTGCCAATACTATGAAATTTTGATTAATTGCTAGTCCTTGTTACTACTTGTTTGAATTGAAGCCTTTGAAGATAACTTGACAATATTTCATTTTAGAATTGAACCTGATGTTTTCACTCGTTGATCGAATACCAGATGCTGTCACTAAAATTCTGGAAGTTTTAGAATCTTATATTGTTGATGAGGGAAAAATTAATATGCACGAGTCGAGGGAGATCATAACAGCAGTATGTTTATCGAGATTGTATTTTTATGCTCAATATTTTTATATAAAAAAAGTTTTGATATCTCTCCATTTATCAGTTTAGTGCCTTGTTGACAGCAGCATGCCTAAAAAATTGATTTTTTTCATTTGACAGGATTCAGAAAAGTATATTGAGAAACTCCTTTCGTTATTTGAAAGGTTTTCTAAACTCGTCAAAGATTCATTCAACGACGATCCAAGATTCTTAACAACAAGAGATAAAGCCTTCGAAATTGTTGTAAATGACAGATCAGTATTTGAACTTGATCTAAATACCAAGACAAAATCGTAAGTTTATATAACATTTTGCACATTCTGCTCATTTGACATGAATTCTTAGTAAATTTTGCGTATATCATAGTCTGTCTACAAATTATGAAATTTATAATGGTAAAAATAAAAATATTTCTGACGTAGCATTCTAGTTTTTAGAATAACTTATTATACTATTTGGTAATCTAAAATAGAAAATCAAGTTATTTAGATATGGACATTAACTATTATAATTGGTACTTTAATCCAGTGGTCGGCAACCAACGCGTCGCGGCCCATAGCCGGTCCGTGGAAAGGTTGCTACCAGTCAGCAGAAAGGTGACACAAAAATGGATCGGGCCCTAATAAAACCTCTATAATCTAACCACAAACCCCACGACTGAACAACAGCACCCAACTGCAAACCAGACAAATACAACACATTTGAGCAGCCTTTCTGATTACTCAAACAATTGCCATGTTAGTATGTCACAATATTGTTACGTCAATTATTGTGTCTTCTCTGTTTGTTTAAGAAAGACTCACATCAGTCCGAATAAAATCCTATAAACAAATGATTCTTGGTCTCTCGATATTAACATGACTATTGGGTCGCAGCTAACTGGTCATACCTAATCAGTGTTAATTTGATATTTCATGATAATAATAACGTCAAACATCAATCAATACACAGACATGGCTACAGAAGCTTTGACGGTATTGTTACCTTTCCTGGCATTGAAGTAGGCTGGATGTAAGAAACATGTTATGTGTATCACTATTGACCATGTCCCAAATTGGAAACAGTTAATGGCCAGCAAACAAATTGTATCACCTTTGTTTTTGAATATAATATTGTCAACATAAATTTTCCAACACATGTAATTGATTACATAAGCTTAGTTTATTTGGATAAAGGTGGTTCGATAAAAATTTGGTGACGATTTACCGATCCGTCACTTTTAAAAGGTTACTGATTACTGCTTTACGCCAATCGCCAAATCAAAATTTGTAATTGCTAGGATAAAGATCATTTTACATACTGATAATTTATGACTTTCATTAACCCATTCAGGCAGTTCCAGACATCTTATGCTGCCTGCATTGGTTATGATTGTCACTTTTATTGGACACGTTTAGTGGACATAACGATCGTTTTGTTGTTATGTTGTTCTTGTTCTTGTTGTTCTTTGACACTTTTTGGACACCTAGTGGAAATATTAAAAAAACGCTTTTCTCTTTGATCACTGGACCAATTGCTGTGAAATTTTTGGAGGTTAAAGATGAAATTTTTCTCCAGAAGGCTATTACTTTTATCAATTCAAATATTTCTGTTAGCTCTGTGAGATTTGGTTTTGTTTGCTATGACGTCACCGAACGTTCTGCAGGCATCTGACGCCATTTTGTGTCCTACTGTACTGCTTCGCTTGGTGTGAATATATTTGTAGACTGTGTTCTGACGGTAGGGTAAACCGTACTGTACTGCGAACAGACTTGTTCATATATTTGGGCGTAGCTCTCTTGTTGTGTATTCTTCTTTAATCTGGAAAAATGGTTGTAGTGTCAACAAGATTTAGGCATCTTTTGCGACATCTGAAACATTAATTAATGTATTATTTTAGTTGGCAGCAAGTCTATATGCTGTCCTAAAAAGTTTATTTCGATTATGAACCATTTTAAAAAATGAGACTGTTTCTCTTTGAACAAGGCTCTACAAGAGCAGACAATAATATACATCCATACTTTTTTTTATTAATTTACGTACAATACATTTTGATTTTTAAATATTTAGGTCAGCAACAAAAATTCCACCCGAATCGAGATGTCCTGAATTGCTCGCTAATTATTGTGATATGCTATTAAGAAAAACACCAATGAGTAAAAAGTTATCATCGGAAGAAATTGAAACTAAGTTGAAAGACGTGGTGAGTATGATTTCTAATGTTTTTTTTACCAAATTAGGCACGAGAACAATCAGGAACAATGGTAATAAATTTTTATGTATTGTCTAAACGTGTTTTAATATGATCTTTACTATTTTCAGCTTTTGGTGCTCAAATATGTGTCAAATAAAGATGTCTTTATGAAATATCATAAAGCACATTTAACGAGGCGATTAATACTTGGTACATCCGCCGACAATGACAAAGAGGAAAGTATGGTTGAATGGCTACGAGAGGTAATTCATTTTTTTTGTTGTTGATTCTAAACACCAGGAAATATTTTTTCAAAAGGGCTGTTTTTGGAAAGTTGTGTTTGAAACACTTTTTTATTAATTAAATGGGAATCTTAAAAATATTCAAATCAAAATGTCTTTACAAAAACGATCTGTGATATTGAATGCTTTTCTGAAGTCATGTTGTTTTTAATTCTATTGAATTGTTTTACCAGAAAGTGTGTAATTGTGATTATATTTCCTTTACTTGGTTGCTTGTTTGAAGCTCTGTTCAAATGATAGCGTGAAAAGCACAATTTAAAATATTATTTAGTGAACTTTGTTTCCTTTTCCAGGTTGGAATGCCAGCTGATTATGTGAATAAACTTGCAAGGATGTTTCAAGATATTAAAGTCAGTGATGATATTAATCGCAAATTTAAGGAGCAATCTAGTAACGGTTCAGGTATAGATATAATTTCTTTTCAATAAGATGACATTGTGCAAATAAATAGACATGTAGGAAGGACCTTGGAGTGGTAAAGTTTTATTGGATCTGGAGACAAGCTTACCATATTAGATGAAGCTAGAGCTACCAGAAGTCTTAGTGGCTCCAACTTCTAAGTTGTAACCATCTAATTATTTTTTCACATTCATACAAATTCTAAAATCTATCCTTTTTAGGTTATACTTTGTTATATTTAACAAGTGAAATTTCTGTGTTAGCAAGTTTAATTTAAAAATTTAAAACTCTCACGTTTTTAAGTTGCGCTTCGGCAAAATTATATTTAGGCCCTTTTTCATGGTGATGGTCATACTAAAAAACTTCACTGGATATGAAGCGGAGCGCTTTCAATATTCTGTGGCTGAGCTGGACCCACGGTATATTGTGATTTCAAACCAGCTGCATGTAGGTACTCCAAACGTAAGCTGCTTTTTGAGCTTCCAAAATCCATTGTCGGAAATTACCTGTTATGTTGCGGTTTTTCTCTGAGACAACAGCTCGGAGACTGTCACCTAATGTCACGCCAGAGTGATTGCTCCAGTTCCCTTTATTTGAACATGCCGATTCGCTTTTATATGGAGCGTTTTTAGGGCACATTTTATTCGATTATTTTTACGTATTTTACAGATATTGCCAATATCAAGATATTGAATGCAGGAGCATGGGCAAGAAGATCTGATAGAATATCAGTTTCACTTCCCACTGAATTAGAAGATCTTATTCCTGATGTGGAAGAGTTTTATAAAAAGAATCATCATGGAAGAAAATTGCAATGGCATCATTTGATGTCTAATGGCATAGTAAGCTATTTTTCTATCAAGTTCATAATGTATCATAACATGTAATGCCAGGTACAATTATGGAAATTTTTGCTTGGCATTGACAGGCTGTTTTATTGACGGTTTCAAATCTGTTGACTACAAGTATTTCTAGATTCAGTTTTTGGAACGGATTTTTATTTTATCCATGTGGAGAGGAAATCCGATGAGATAGGTTAATCGTATGGTTATCAAAGCCTCTTGGCCGGTTACCAGTCCAAGTGGGGTTTTGGTATTATTACCAATTAGCCAGTTATTAGTTTCAGATGTATGGACTGGATGGTGGAGTAAGCACACATAATTATTCCCCCTGTGGTTTGAACCTGTGATCTCGCTCCTAGTAATCAAAAGTGCGCAGAGCCAAAGTGCACACTTGGTATTAATCATTTAGAACACTATAAAAGCAGGATTATGGGGGCTGAGAAGAGTTTAACATGATTTTTGGCTTCAAGCTTAGACGACTCTGCAGTCAGTTTGAAGTCTTTATGAAACTGTTTAAATTCAAGAGTAATATAATGTTTATTCGAGTTTCCATTTGCATTTAGATCACATTCAAAACAGACTGTGGACAATATGATTTAGAAGTTACAACATTTCAACTAAGTGTTTTATTCACATGGAACCAGAGACCTCACGAAGCTATCACGTTTGAAAATTTACGCCTTGCCACACAACTTCCGGAGTCGGAATTAAGAAAAACACTCTGGGTATGATGGACCTAAAACAAATATAATATTTTCTAGATTGTGACTTAAGTGGAATAATACAGATTATTCAAAATAACTGTGAAGCCGAACTTCTGTAATATTAAACAATTTTTTAATATTTATTAATTGAGAATTTTTTTAAATTGTTGCAGTCACTTGTTGTATCACCGAAAACAAAGCGTCAAGTTCTCCTCTGTAATCCTGAAGTATCATCACCAAAAGATTTTAATAATTCAACTTTATTTTCTGTGAATCATCAATATGCACTAATGTAAGTAAATATTATTTGATTGGACAGTCTATTGGGTAGTATAAGTAAACTTTGAACAGACAAACATTAGAAAATTATTGGTACTATTTCATGTGGGCACTATGGACTAGGGGTTAAAGCATTAGCACTACGTTGCAATGATGGCATCGCAGATTAAAATCTTTGGTAAACCGAACCCAGGGTGTAATAATGCCAAGCCGGACATGTTCCGGTCCTCTCAAAAAATAAAATACTCCCTAACATATCAGTGGAAGCTTGAACAGAGTCTTGTTTGGAGCGAAACGCGTATGAATACAACTCATAAAAAATATATTCAATTCATTAAAAGGATACTCAATAAAACAGCTTGCTAATTCTGTGAACCAGACCTCATGCTCTGGTGCCAGTATGATATTTGGTGGCTCTTGGATTTAGCTGTGACCAGCAAGTGGGTATGTGAAACACTCGCCCTGCAAGAAGCATTTTCTTTTCATCTATTCTCTTGTAAACGTTCATTTTTCTTTACAATATACCACCTGTCTGCTGCTTATTACATTGAAAATTTTTCATCATAGCAAAAATGGAAAAGTCCAGAAACGTGGCCGCATTAATTTAATTGGAAGACTCCAGTTATCAACGGAGAGAACAAGGGAAGAAGATAACGAGGGAATTATTCAATTAAGAATTTTAAGAACTCAGGTAAAGCAAGTTATCTATGACCAGAAGCACATGCTATGTAGTCTCATTTTAATTACCTGAATAGTATTAGATCTTCTCCATTTATTCTTATGAAACATAATCCTGACTACTGATCTGTGCCTTTGCGCTTTGCATATAATGACAGAATGCTGTAGCAAGAATAAGGATTTTTTTTATGAAACCATATTGCATACTTATTTTCTATAATGAAGCATACCAAACTAATTTTTCAAATATTTTATCATATTTAAAACACAAAACACCTATGCCTTAAATTTTACTCATCGCCTCAAGAGGTTCTAGTTCCATTAACCATTGTCTGGCTGATGATATTGCATGCAAAGTGGATCATTTTGATGAAGTGTTCTTTATCATTAGTACAAGTAAATGTTATTATTAGTCACTTTCAAATTTTCCGTTGTTCAAGATGGAAGTGTCCCAGAAGTTCATAACGTCTACTTTTTTTAAAACTTGCTCTGTCTGGTAGTACATGTTATTACTTATCGATTTTAATCGGTAAGTAGGTTGATAGGTATTTGTCTGTCTGTTAGATGCACGCGATATTTCACGAAAGCGAGATTGAATCTGCTCCAGATTTTGCATGTGCTTTCATCATATATCGGACCAGGAGCCTATTGATTTTGGATGAATTATGTCGTATAATTAGCGAGTTATTAATTAATTAGTGATGGGACACAAGGTGTCACTATTGAGTAAGAGCGCTGTTTTGGGGGATCCCTAACTTTCGATCAATAAGTCTTCGGTCTCTGACCGATATTCTCGTTTGAAATTTTGTTTTGTTTCGTTAAAATTTCATCGTTACACAGATATTCTTCTATCAATAGTGAGTGGTCTCATGCTGAACGAATTTTACGTCTATTTACTTGTGTTTTTCTGTGTTCTTAATGTATATACTGTTCACTTCCAGGAGGCAATTGTTAAAATATTGAAGATGCGAAAACGAATAAATCATGCACAACTGCAAACAGAACTGGTGGAAATGTTGAAAAACATGTTTTTCCCACAGAAGAAGTTAATCAAACAACAAATCGAATGGTTGATTGAACACAAGTACATGAAGCGTGACGAAGAAGATATTAATGTTTTTATTTATCTTGTGTAGTCAAAGTGTGTTTTTTCCTCACTTTTTTCCATCAACTCGCATCTGTGAATAATTACTAGGGAGTAAGCCAAGGATCTAGTCTTACCCCATTTTTGTTCTTTTTCTACATTTTGAAATATTGTCCATTTAAAACTGTTCACTTTCTCCACAAGAGACTATTCAAACCTAGAATATTGGAATTTCTTTCTTTAGCTGTGCCTTTTCTTAAGATTATTGTAGACATCTAGCACTGATTACACACACATGCTGCTATTGGAATGTCCTGTAACAGCCTATATAAACATGATATAGGATAGTCTTTTTAATATTAATCCTCTGGCAGAAGAAAGTGAAACATACGCAGGAGAAAGTGAAACATACCACAGCATGTCATATGGTTGCTAGCCCAGGTTGGGCTTCAAAATAGCAAAATATAGGATACATGCCGCTGAAAGAGTTCCATAAATATTTTGCCTACGATTTGATATTGCGGAAATTTAGAACTTGTGTACATTTTTACCTCATTTTTGAAACTGACAGCCAAGGATGTGTTCTTCCTATTTGAAAAAAAAAGATTTTCTTTTTAAAATTCTGACCTGGGCAATACATTGCCTCAGTGATACATCCAAGGCTTAAAATAAACAGTAATTGCTGCTCACAAACTTTATTGCATTTAAAATTTACTTCACCTTATAAACATTTTAGTTCTGCAACAAAATCTCAAATACTCAAATTTTGACATACATTTTGTGATTCCGTTGTAGTTTAAATTTGAAACTATTCAATTATAGCAATTGGAAACTAGGTTGAATTGAACTTGATCAAACCATTAACTAAATATTCATTGTACATCTATGAATATGGATGGATGGAGCATTCTGCCAAAGTTTGAATGCCCCATTTTCTCGTATCTTTTTGGTTGATACCTGCGTCATTGGGCGACATCAAAATAAGTCAAATTTCAGATTTTTTTTATAAAAATATAATATTGTTAATATCAATCAATAAATCAACTTTTAATGGAGTATCATTGTCGAATTCATGCCTAGTTATTTACCTACCATATTTAAATAGTTAAGGTTGAATTCGCTTATTTGTAGTCTCAGCAGTTGAACGATCTTATTATTAGATGCATAATATGTACATGACATTATTTTTCTTTCATCAGTCATCCCATGAACTGCTGTGAGTTTTGCTCAGTTTGTAAAGTTCAATTAATCATGTTCATCCAATAAACTTAATTTTTGCACTTTTTTCTGAAAGTTCTGCTCACAACTATTTTTTTTCATTTGATTAATATTAAATTTCGTCATTACTAAGTTAATAAATAATAAAGTTTATCTGTTGACATCGAATTTCTTTGTTTATTTTGAATTTAATTAGAATGCAAAAAATATTTGCTTGCTGAAGGCAAGTGGGAACAAAAATCTCAATCCGTATGACTTGATCGGCGCTGATGAATCGTTCCACATGCACACACTAGACACAATAGCCAATTAGCATGCTAATCCATGCACATTAATGCGATTATGGACCAGTTATTTTTGACCAATTATGCCATTATCAATGAAAGACCTAAAGCTGGGGTGTGCACTAGGGCCCTAGGCGACCATTTGGTGCAGTGCTTCTCAACGTTTTTCATATCGCGGCCCATCTTATTGAGGTTTTTTCCATAGGCTAAAATAAACCAAGGTAGGGTTGTCCAAAACGAATCGAATATCTGAATATCAAAGCAAGTTCAATGTATTCGAGTATATTTTCGGCAAATTTTCGAATAATAGTCACTTTTCGTCATCAGCTAGGTGTTTCGTATTCGAGAGAAATCTCAAACGATTTTCTACGTTTTTCAACGTATTGTAATGAAGATAAAGCAGAATCGCCACTTTGATTGTTTGTTTCCTTCTGTGCGAGCGTGCGCGCATGTGGTTGCGTGGTGGACATTCCCGGCTTCCTGTTTACGCATTGATTTCCGAAACGTCGAAAAAGTGAAAATTATGTGAAGCCGTAATTGGTACGATACTAAAAAATAGTTTATACTTTTCCCCGCTCTTTGGCATGATAGTTAAAAGTATGGACTTTTATAAGGATTATTTTCTGTTGCGTAAAACTATTTAAATCCATGACTGATCAGATTTTAAACCCGTATATTAATTTTGTTCAACGTAACTAAATACCACGGCAATTTGTGGACATAAAATGTGTAGTAAACTGCACGATTATATTTAATTTTTATTCGTATTTTCATACTTACAGAAAAGTAAAAACCTTGTAAAGACACGAAAATCGAATATACAAGATGTCAGATATTTTTCAATGGCAACCATGGATCACAAAGGGGTCTAGAAAGCGCTTTTACGCGAGTATTGCGCCCCATGAAGAACTAATAGTCAGAAACTGAAACAAAGTGCACGAGTATATAATATGAATGTTTATTACATATCATTAGTGGCATTTCATCACACATATCAAATTACGAAAAATGAAAAACGAGGCGAAATAGTGATGATGAAACATTGTTCTACCACACAATTTCGCAATATTTAGGAAGAAACCATTTCTTGAAGGGAATGTATGATATCATCTAAGTTATATCATATTATTATATAGGGCCACAGATTAAAAAAGCCTTGGTTTATCATTGGCCCATGCACTGCATAGACATCAGAACTATTTTTAGGTAGTACATTAGAAGGTAAAACACGCAGTCTATCGGAATACATTTGAAGGTAAATTTTTAGCTGTGCAGGGGTATAACTTAAGGTACATTATTGTGAAAATTTAGAGACATTTTACCGCTCAATTTTAATTTCAATAGCACCTATTTAAAACCATGCATCTTGACTTTCAACAAAATGGGACAGTCTCCTTTAAGCACCTCTCTATTACCAGTGGAATTCAAAAATTACATTTTGTAAAGATAGATACTTCATTGAAATCAGAAAAATGCGTAAACAAAAGTGGAAGCGGCTTGAAAAAACACTGCATTTCTGGTTCATATGACAACACTATTAATAGTAGTGGAATACTTAGAAAAGCTGAAATGCTTCATGAAGGTTTGAAACAGAAAATATCGAAGCAGGAGAGAACATGATTAAACAAATACTTTTTATAACATAGATTTATTTGTGGTATTTAAATACTTTGGTCATGCAGGTATACTGAACATTCCATACACAAGAATATGACCAAAATTTTGCAACTCTTTAAAAAGTGACCAGTAGTGGACACAATTTGGTATGAAATATTTACTAACTAAATGGAAGGCCATTTTTGTTTAATAAAAGTTGGGCAAGGTAAGGGCAAAAGTTGTGTAATATTGGGTGCAAAAATATCATTCAATCTAATCGAACCATTAAAAAGAAAGGAAGAACGCAGTTACTACTATTTGAACAAGTATTGTGTAAAACGAGTAAAGCTATAGTATTGACTTTACTGCTGATGCAAAAACAACACTTTGACATGATAAGGGGCAATTTTGCGGCTGTTTTGTGTTTTTGAAAAAAAAAATAATGAAAGCAAACGAGGATCAAAAAATGTTAATTTTTTGGTATTCGATATACAGGGTGTTCATAAGTCCTGTTGCAATTTCAATTTTGTTATGAAGTCAGTTCTCAATATATCTTAACCAGATCTTATTCAGTATTTCTTCAAATTTTTTACTTTATTTAATATAACTGTAGAGGTCAACATACTATATATGGTATCGTAAATTCTCTTTGTAATTAAAAAAAAAATAAAAATTGTATGAACACCCTGTACATTGATCTGTAAATATTTTTCAAACCCCAATCATTTTTTATTGATTCAACTTGCTTGATCATTGGTATATTATTTTATAAAATTAGAGATTTCATAAAAGTGATAATTTAACGAGATTCAAAACCATAATAACCATATGTTTGAAACCATTGAGCACCAAGTTAATATTCAACAATATCAAACATATTTTTGAAGAAATTCTAATCCTAAAATTTGTTAAAAATCCAACTTATTAATATAAATTCTAGTGTAATATCAATTGCGTTTCCTAAACAAATGATGGTACATGATTTAAATTAATAAAATGTTTAAAAACGCATAAAATCCGAAACAAACATTACCACGATAGAACATGATTTTTAATAAAATCGCATGTGAAAAATTTCATTATCTTCGTAAGGAATTAAATTTTTGTGAAAGTATTTCATAATTTACAGAATTAAGTCCATTTTGTTATGTAGCCCCCGGGCAAGCTAAAATTTTTGCTAGAAAAGTTACAGGAAACTGAAAATTTGAGATATAAGTCGAAGATAAGGCTAATAATAACTAGCCATAAAACATCTACAGTATTTTTAAAAATTACTAATCCAGATCTTGTTAGAAAAACAGCTTTTGCTTTGTTTCAATCAAAATCGAAAAATCGTAGAAAATTTAGTCAAAATTACTGCGGTGGTTGACTGAAATCGGTACAAATATATGAAATTTACAAAAAAAGAAGAGAAAATAAAGTGAAAATCTATACCAAACAAAAATAAAACATAATAGGTAATGACAAGTTAAAATTCAAACTTTATACAGATTATACCTGACCAAGCATGATCAATTCTACAAAGCCGACATATCAAAACCAAGCATCGGTATATTAATGCTTAATTAAGACAGCCCAGCACTGTACAACCATGGCCCAAGCATAACATAACCTTGATCAAGTAAGATCTGATAATAAATGCAATGTAATAGGAAATGGACCATGCCACTATTATCCCACAATGCATTTTTTTCTAAAATTGAATATATAACAAAAGGAAAATAGAATAACACAATGATACAGAAAAATTGAGAAGAAATGTTTTTTTTTTTCCATTGTGAAATTTCTTTACATCTTTTTTCAGTCACGATGAGGCAGATTGGCGGCAGAGAACCTTTTGTAGAATCAGATGTTATGTTCTATGTTAGAACCACACCAGGAACTTGAAATGCTAATAAAGGATATATACTAAAACATATTTCCATTCCATAATCCACCTGACCATATTTCAAGCAAAATTCCAGGCACTCTGAGATTGTAAAAAAGCCAGTATTTCCAGACTAAGCAGTTACCATAAATCAATTTGTGAAGTAATAAAATAGGTAAAAATAAAACTCGAATACGGTATTTGAAGTTGCTAAAATGGTGTGAATAAAACCTGACCCAATGCGATGGTTAATGATACGACATTACCGCCATAAAGACACTGAGCATCTGTCCTGTCTATCTAAAGAATTATTCACAAACCCCCAAATTGAAACTAATGTTAGCAAAGTAAGTGAAGAGCATTCTTAATAAACCTACAGAAGTGCAACCATGATTGCTTCAGAATTTGTAACATTGAGTAGGTAAAATTCGAAATTTTTAGTAAAAGGTGTTAGTAAAAAGTTATTAGGTTTTGAAGGATTTAAACTTGCTTGCACAAAAATTATTTTTCAATTTTTGGAACTAAACATGTGCCTGCTACTTTTGTCATATTAAAAACTGTATCATAATGTACTGTATGCATCAAAATCCGCAGAAAAAAAATAAAAAGGGGTCAGTCCCACCGAAGGTTGCAAGACAATATTTCACAACCATACTTTCCATATGATACATGATTTGAATCACAATAATCAGTTATGAAGCAATTATTGATGCACTAATGTGAGGGTAGACAATTTAAGGATTAGAATATTAATAAATATAAGTACATGCTTACCATTAGCTGCGAAGAATGTTATATGAAGAGTAGGTGTTAGCGAGGAGAAGTGGTGCATATTGCGGCATCATCACAAACTCCAATCATAATTCTTAATGTGTGAGTGTTAGGCTTCATCCACACGATGAAGAATGTTTAGTCACCGACACCAAACGATGTTAGGAGATCAATCGCCGCTGTTCTAGCGCGCCAGTGTGCACAAGCAAAGAGAAAGAATACATCAGGTAGAAAAAGTGTTTTTTGTTATGTAAAGATATTGAAAGAATATGTATGTATATATAGAATGTATAAGTGATGGTATGAATAGTGCTTTTGGTTAAGTAATACGGCACAACGTAATAACAATAAGTGACTGTTAAGCTGCTTTACAACATTCAATAAGATCAAAAACATTTTAAAATTTGTATATAACGCAGAGATGAATAAATTAATCGAAGGTATTTGATATTTTTTTTTTCAAATTTCATAAACCAAGGTAAACTATATTAAATTGAGATTTCAAAATCCATTTATAACACATTAAAATTGGTATTATTGTTATTAACAGTCACACGTTGATGATAACATTATTTTCAGTTTGTTTTATGAAAAATGATACAATCATGTCCATGTGCGTAGAATGATTCGTGCAACATTGAGTAAATTTTTGTTTAATGTTATGCCGTAAATTTTACCATGGAAGGCACTGAATTGTGAATTTTTTATAGCTTGTTTTGCTACCACAACAACGAAAAAAATGATGTAATAATAGGAATAATAAGTAGAATAATGGTGAAACTATATGAAAAGGCACTTATCAGTGATTTCTTTTAAAAAAATATTTCAAAACAAATCAGCGGTTTGTTAATGATACAGAAATTTTTATCCACCATTTTTTAAATATTAGGTAAGCTTATTAGGAGGTCAAAAACGAGCAAAAAAGGCCCCCAGCCAGAGAATATTTTGGGCCATTTGGCCCTAAAAATATGTTATTGACTGATGACGCAAGCCAGTAACAAGATTTATGACAAATTATTTTATTTATAACATTTTCTGGCTGGGAATCTACAAGTGGCAAGAATAATTTGTGTTCATTATTGAGTTTTTTTAAATTTATATCAAAAGAAAATTTTGTTCAATTTTTTTATCCAAACTATAAATTTGTGTAGAATTCGGCCAAAAAAACATTTGAAGATAAAAAATTTAAATTTCAAAGTCTCGAAAACATGACTGTAAATGTTTTTCTAAAAAATGAATTAATGTAGCGAGGGCAAGTTACTTCGGCTACGAAACATGCAATCATTGGAAAAATAAAAAATCTACTATGTCTGTAAAATTATCACATTTCAAAACTACTGTAATTAAAATTAATACAATTTAAGTAAAAGGAACATTATTAATTAATATTAATATCTCATCCAGTTTTAAATTTTTTTTTTTAAATGTTAGTTAATCTTTGGTCAGACGACACAGTCCAAAAAGCAACGTTTTAGGACAACGCTAGTTAGTGGCAGCTTTTATGTTGTAAATGAAATTTAACAACCCATATTTTAATTTGATTAGAAGAAACGCATTTTTTATATAAATATAATTTTATCATGATTTTTAGATTCAATTTTTGTGAAAGTGGGAAGCCATGAGAAGTGATTTTAACAGGCAGCAATAAGAATAAGATAGAAGACACGCACACAGGCACAGATAGAGAAAAAAACAAAAAAGAGACGATTAGTATGTACAAAGATATATCTATTTTAATATTAACATAAAATACAGTAGCATTTAATAAATACATTCGATGCAGTGTTATTTAATGATATTTATATACATCGAAAAATTACAAAATTAGTTCAGCTCAATTTGATTTTATTATGATGTAATAAGTCATTGTTTCATCACAATTGGAAATATTCTCCATGTCATCAAAAAACACTGCATGTAATGACAATCTTACTATTATTATTTATACTTATAAATTAATAATTATTTTTAGCATAGTTAAGTAGTGCTTACTACGAGCGAACAAGTGTGATCCATAATTATTCAAGCAAGATACAATGATAAAAGTTGTTAAGCAGTTGAATTTTTTTATGTTTACAAAGAATTGTAACCCTTTAACACACCAAAGCAATATTTTAATTGTTTTATAATGAATGCAAAAAATATGATCCTTACATCGGAAGTAAAATACAATCTAATACTTCTATTCCGAAAATTGTGATTGAAAAAAAAAAATTTAAATAATTTGGAAAATCAGTGCTCATTGGCACATAATTCTGAATAACTATTTATTTGGATCAAAAAAGCAAAATTCTGCAACCGGAACAAAATTGGAAATTATGTAAAAAGTAACAATAAACCTAAAATTTGGCCAATAGATTTTACTTTTCAATTTTCAATACATAAACAAGTCAATTATAGCCAAATTATATTATTTGGAGAAAATATACAAAATTGAAAAGATTATTTTCTTCGTAGTTTTGTTTAAAATTATTTTTAGATTTTTCAAATGCAAGAAAATATTCGAAACAATTAGTGAGAAAATATTCTACATTATGCTTTTCAACATGCATTGGCTAATACCAATAAATTATCACATTATCAGTATTTATTAAAGGCGAATGAATTTCAAAAAAGTAATTGCTTTCAGAGAGGCATATTGTGATAAAAATATCACATCTATTTCTCTTTATTCATAATTTTTAGTTGTGAATTTTTTTATATAATTTAGTATTTCAAAGATTTTTAAAACTCAAATTTCAAATTTCTGACAGATGTAGAAATTACCAAAAAATGGTATAATTCAGAACAATATTTTATTAGAAAAGAGTCAATTTTTGATTTGTCAAGTATGGTCCAATCATTGATCGTGCTTCAAGGACATAATTATTTGAGTGCCATGTTAGGCAGTCACAGTAAATGCAAATTTCATTTGAATATGTTGCCATTGGTTTAAAAAGCAAAAATATTTTTTTAATATTTTTTCATGCTCAAATTTGTATGAAAACACCATATTAGCTACAAGACAAGCAATGAAAAATAAACACAAGTGCAAGTAGTGAGAGGGTGATATTAATATTATGATGTCATTGATGATGTCATAAAGGTTTGGACATTTTCCTCTTTCTTGCTTTCTAGCTAACTCTATCACAAATAAGAGAGGAGTACATTTGAGTTTGATACATATATAAATTCATTGTATTTCAAAGTTGCTGTTTCTTGGAAAAAATGAAGCACCATAATTAACAAAAACAATAAAGATAATATGAATTTTAAAGGTATTCATCTATTCTCTTAATAATCGAACATCAATTCTATAAAATCCCTGAAAGAAGGGACATAACTTCAAAGTAGAGACAAAAATCTCAATATTTCAAATTATTTGAATCTAATTTTACTATGAATATCGTAAAGAAGTCTGGTGAAAGGAGCATAATCCCCAAAGCAGAGACCATACGTGTAATCTTCTGTTTGGAATCAAAGTTTAGTGTAACAACAGGTACAAGAAAAAACTCAAAGTATGGTTTATCACAATAACCTTTACTTCTAATTAAATTATTGAATATGATATTATTTTTACATCTTCCCTGATTTTCAGAAAAAGGCTTGTTCATGTTAGAACATAAGGTGCAATATTTGGAAACACAAAAACATAGCATACATACATGGTGGAATGTTTGAAAAATTGGAAGACAGAAAAATAGTGAAATTACTTTATTGGAGATTGAGAATAAAATTTGCGAAAGAACTAATACTGGTTAATAGGACTGATTCAATTTTGAGATTAGAATCAGATATACAAAATATTTTTTTTAAAAACAAATCCTGGTCATCACTCGAAACGGCTTTTGACGAAAACGGGTTAAAGTCCAATTTATTCTTGGGAACATTTTTTGATGCGACAAAAATTACCACTACTAAACTGTGAAAGCACAATATGTCATAAAGTATCCTATCGTAAATATCCTAAATTGTTGATTCATCATGTAACCCTCAACGTCCCTACATTTATAATAAATTTCTGAACCCAATTTTTTGGCCTGATTTCTGGGGTCTGTTTATTGGCGACTTGGCTTATTTTATTTTTATGTTGTCTGCTTAATATCATGGTTTTGTCGCATGGAATATCAATTCAGAATACATGAAACTTTGAACTGCTCGAAGGCAACTAAACCATTGGCAAAACACAATAATGGAACAATTCCATCAAAATCATTATCAAAATATCAAAAAAGGTAATTCCAAAAATTTGATGACATATAAAATACTGCAAGAGCACAAAGGTAGCTGCTGTTGATCAAGGAATAATTATGATTGTATAATGCAAACAATTATTAATTATAAAAAGTAACAAAAATAGCAGTAAATTTTTGGCAAATATTAGGGACAAAAAAGCGAATAAGGCATCGGAACTTGGATCGGCATCAGATAATATAAGAGAATAGAGGCATATGCTAATGGGATGTGTCAAAATTTTATAAAATACTGAAAAAAAAAATAAAAATGTCAATTAATTAGACATTACCACACATATAAGACAAATTCAATTGTTAGAGATATTTTTGCAGAATTTTCATCTTCCAAAAATGTTCAAAAAATAATTACAATACATGTGGGCCATAGGTGTAATATTCTGTTCAAGAACACTTCATATATGGTTCTTGTTTGGGAAAAAAAGTAAATCACAAAGGACGGTACTAAAGTATAAAAATAAAAATATACAAAATATAAAACAAAAAATCTTGCTTGCTGACTTTCATAGGTACCTGTTATTAAAAATGGTTAATTTGCCTAATTAATTAATAAACTTAAAACTTAATGAGCGATAAGATTGTTATTACCTGGTGACCTCTGGTAGGGGTGCACCCGGGTATCGGTTCGTTGCCGTACTATTTTAGTGCCAGGTGTCGCCGCACCTGAAATGAAGTCGGAAAGTTGTTAGTTTGCAAGAAATAATATAATTAAAGCTTTCTATAACCGAAAGTTGATTAATAAGAAAAGAAAAAGATTTAAATGGTATAGCTAGAGAAATCAACATATGTAGCTATTTCAAAATTCCATCCAAATAATTCTGTATAAGGAGTCCAACAATGTGACATTATACAGATAATTAATTTTAAAATGCCCTGTAATTAAGCAATTGAGGGTTCAATTTTCATAGTACACTGTCAGGAGATCTTCAGGGCTCCCCAAAACAGAACCCACGTCACTTGGAACATATTTTAGAGAGAACATAACTTTGTGCAAAGTTACTTGAAACTTTTGGGTAATATCATACACAAACAGAAGTTTTGGTATGAAATAAATTTTCTTCATTTTTATAGAAGTAATTAAAAAATTTAAGGAGTAAAGTTTTTTTGGGTTACACTATAAAACAGAAAATGCTTCTTGTATGACAACCAAATACTGTACACTTGCATTTGCACCTTTTTTAAATGTAGTAAACTACATTAACTTTACATGAAGCAATAGAACCACAATTGAATTTTAAAGTGGATACTAAAGAAGCTGTCAGATACAAATTAGCAGTGTTTTTTGAAAAAAGTTTTGATGCAGAGAACTATAGTTGCATTGTCAACTTGCCGAATATAATACATTGATAAGTTACCTTTGACAATATTTATCGTATTCGTACACTGAAATTTCGAAACATTGTGTGTAATACGGTGGGATATTGCATTGTAACTTGTCAAAGGAATCTATTAAATTTTCTATACAGAATAATTTGTCTTCCGAAAACAATTGTGAGCGGGATATTTAGCAATCAGATTGTCATTATTCAATTCAAGAAATGAGAGAGTTAATTGCGTTCGCTACTTATGCTAGTTTATTAATTACTTATGAAGATATAATATTTGAAGTTACTACATTATTTAGGAAGAATTTCAAGATAACCTGAGGAATCATAGTTACCGCCTATTATGAGATTTATCTCAAATTATCCTCGATCATGCATGACTAGGTATAAATCGAGCCTAAATTAGGTCTGTAACCATGCATGATCAAGGATAAAATAGCGTAAATTTTATAAGGATTTAGGTGGTATAACTCATCCTATGAAATGAAACACTGAAAGGGAGAGAGGGAGCTTTTTGTTATGAAGACTTTGCATAGAAATCATGATATTAAATGGATGGATTTTTAAAGCAGTAACCTTTATATATGGCATGGATGTATCATGTATATAAAACTTTATTTTGGATGTATATGGAAATACTTTAATCGCAAAATTAATGTGCATAATATGATGATTTCTGATTTCGTTCTGACATACAGTATTTTTGTAATAAGAGATAACGAAAACATGTAATTCTATAAAATGTATGATTTACCCTCTGGGAAAATTTTCGCCAAGTTTTTATAATTTTGCAAAATTTGTTTTCAAGCTTCAATATTTGGTTTAAAAATTGAGAAAAAATGCAAGATATGACAAAATAATATGGCAATATAAAAATGTCAAATGTTATAATTTTTGGCAGTAACAGCTAGTAAAAGCATGGCTCGAAAATCGTTTCATATGAATATAATAAAATAAAAATATAACTGAGTATACTGGGATAAAATATAGGCTATATGATGGTGACAATAATAGTAATATGAACAAGAAAAAAGTTGCGCGAGGCAATATAGAGGTACTGGTTTCATTGCTGACAAGGCAACGCAGAATTTTACAGATGGATTGCTTTACCTAAAAGAAAATAGCTTTTGTGAAAAAGACATTCAAAACTAGATGTGTGAATTTTGGGTTTTATTATGAAATATTTTGTTGCTCTGGATGATTGGGTGGGTGATCATGGGTGATTTCTGACTATGGGGAGTATGACTATGGGGGCCCACCACTTCGTTCCGTGATCAGTGCTTCTTAAGTGAGTGCACATGACCTGGCTTTGATTAAAAAATGATCAAATATGTTGAATTTAACGTTGATAGAGAATCACTATTGTTTGTATCTGATATTCGTCGATGTCAATGTCTGTCGATGAATAGCATCTAAGGTTTTGGCCACCAATTATCATACATATTCATCTTATTCAAAAATTTTGAATCATTTGGATTGCTTATTCAATATTTTATACAGTAACCAGTTGAAGTCTCTTTTCCTATACACACACACACCTAACAATTTGGGTCTTCTCAACAAGCATAAAAGTCAAGTCATACCTAGTAGAGCTGGATCTGGAAAGGAATACTCCAGAAGTGATGCACCTTGTGTTGCTACAAGTCCTGTGTAAGGATATTCAAATGGTGTGTAGTATAGTGCTCCATCTGGTGGTGAGATTAGAGGAGGGGGTGGTGGTGCAGCAGTTGCATTTGATATCACAGTCTAAAAAGAAGAGAATTTGTGCTTTGTGTGAAAAATCTGATTTTTAGCTTCCAGTGGTAAAAAAACAAATTTTAAGTTACTGAGCAACATTTACAGTTATCAAAAATGGTTCGCATAATTCGAAGTTTCTTCAAAGTTGGGGCCAGGAGTACCCACTTGGGTTCGGATACCATACCCCCGGCCTCATCCAAAGTAGAATGAATTGGGTAAGTAATATTGAATCGAGAACCAGTCCTTCCAAATAAGAGTACATGTTCTTTTTTCATGTCGTGAGATGTCAGTGCTGATTGTACAGAACCTTGCCCAGAGCATGAGAGATGAATAAGCATCGAATACAAAAAAATTAATGTGCGAAAAATAACTTCCATGTAATATTGAATCCATTTCTTAAGAAATAGCATGGAGAAAATATGAATTATCTGATTTTAAAACAAAAAAGGATACGTTACTGTCACCAACAATTTAATTCCAAACCCCATCATACCTGTCCATTGGGCAGCCTTGTGATGATTGGAGTGGACAAGACACCTGCAGGTGGTTGACCGGGTGGTGGAGATCTCATGCCAGGGATGGACAATACTTGTGGTGCAGTTATCAGTCTTGGTTGTGCTAGAAAACATGAGTAAAATAGACATGAAATACAATGTATTTGCCATTAGGCTACATGATTAAATGAATTTTTTTGTAAATATAGGTAATAATAGCATTTCAAATACTAATTCAAGGTCGATTCATAATGGCATAACTATTACTGGTACTTTTTATAAGGATTTTCACATATAAGAACTCTCCTAAGAAGGCTCTGTACTAAACAAAAGAGAAATACTTTTGTTACGCAACCACTTATATCTCTGTATAGATTACTTTTAGCACAAAATAAAATCTTTGAGAGATTTTTTTAAAATTGTTTTTATCCCGCAAGTCTACACCAATGGGTTACATCCTGATGAATCAGCTGATTAACTGACAGATTGGAATAGATAAATGAGTCTTAATAATTCAATAAGTTAATACATACCTGATTGTCCAGAGAAATCACGATATGTTCCATTGATAATAGCAAGTTCCATCAATTGCTTCTTCTTTAAATCATCTTCCCCTTCCTAAATGAAATAATTAGGTATGTTAAGACAAATTGCTTTTTAAGTACAATACAACATTTTACATGAAAATATAATGCATGTGTACAAAATTTTCAACAGCAACTAAGCAAGGAGGAGTTATGAAAAACAAGATAAGTCCATGCATCTAAAACAAATAACAGGCTAACTATTCCCTCATGCGACAAGGACTCATAATCATACGAGTGACGTGGTTCGCCATATTAGGTACGCCATCTTATCCTCTTTCCTTTCCACAGGATAAATATGGGAGTCCTATCTTATGCTCTGGGTGATATGATCACAAACTAGATAATCTTATTAAAATAAATTCAAAGAATGTTATTTACAATTAAAAATTGGGGTCACCATCTAATTTCTGACGGCATGAGACTATTAGGCATCTGGGCATGGCCGTCTTGCAATCAGCTTGCAGTTAGGTATGCCTATCCTCTAATTTGATGCAATCTGGCATTTTTAACAATTTTTAAATGTGATATTCAGAAATAGGTAATCAAATATTCGAATCGAGTCAAATTTATTCATATTAAAAACTCAAATTCTTGATTTTAGTTAGGTATTTAAATTTGAAATAGGCTGATCAATCGGCTGATTTTGATCAATCGGAGTCTGCCTCATTTTATTTTTGATAACTGTAGAAAATAGAGAGCCAATCAAATCCTTGCTTATGTCGAATCTACTGCAGTACTAAATTCAAAATCGTTGAAACCAAATTGAATATTCGATATTTCATATTCAAAATTATTTTAGAATATCTTCGGAATAGTAAATTTGTTCGTTCTCAGTCATTCATAGCACGCATTTGTATTGTTGAACTGGCTACCGTAACATGAATCGAGCTGATATCGGGATAATATATTGCATACATGGCGTGACATAAGATTAACTGTCTTATTGGCTTTTCAAAACCGCAAGAATAAGCCTATTTAATCAATGAAATAATGGGTATTTACAAATCTACATTTGCTCAAAAAATGATAACAATAAAATAATTTTTGCATATTTTACGGACCCAAATCCTTTATGGCAAATTAGTCACATATGTATATTTAATCACTTACAGCCGGCACTAGAAGCTTTTTGATTTCTTCGACCGCACGTTTCATCTTGAGGTGAGCTCTATTCTCTGTATCTTCGACCGTGATTAAGACATGCAAATCATCATTCAAATGTTCCCAGTTTGGTTTTCCTCGGTTCATTTCCTCCTGTTATTAAGATAATTGATATTTGAATATAAAAAATACCATCGGAGAATATCAAATGACAAACGAGAGGAGTAATATGTATTTAAAAATAGACGAGACGAGGCTATGCTTGTTTGACTATCATCATGATTTATTTCAATCGGAATATTGAATATTTTCCAAACATTTCAAATACAAGTTTCGTATTTTAAACTAATTCTTTTCGATATCTAAATAATAAATTTCGAAATCTCAAGGGAGAGACTATAAATTGTATATTGCATTTTTTATGAGGAAAATATCATCGTGAAGACGTGAATACAATTGATTCATTTCAATGTTATAACAATTAAATAACCATTATGTATGAAAGCATATTCTAATTCTATGTATATCTGTATTATGCTAAATAAAACATAAACGATGTAAAAGGCTATTAAAAGCTCAATGAATAATCATCACAATCCTATAAAATTGTTTTGAATTATGCCTATAGCACGAGGCATTTTAATTTTCAACCAATGATTGAGCCATCAAATATTTGCGCTATTGTGTTAGTACTGATGTCTAAAGACTTTAGATTAAGCAACGCTTAGAACAAAAAACAGACTAAGGTTTTGCATAAGGTTAAAGAATGCCTGACCTGACCTAAGGCTATTGTGAAAACGCCTGTTATCTGACTTAATGACAGATTTTCACAACACTCCCAAAAATTTTATTTTTTTATTAAATTATATTTGGCCAAAGTTGTGTTGAGAATAAATTAAGTATCTATGTACAGTGGGCCTGTGATGATTTATGCCAGACAAAATTGCATTTTTTCTAAGAAATGACTCTTGCCCAATAAAACTTTTCTTAGAAAATATTGATGTTTTCTTTGTAAAATTTTTGCAAACCAGATATCAATTACCACATTGGTCAAGACAATATGTAATCAGACAAGCAAACAGGCCTGGAGGTAAAACATTCAAGAAGTAAATCTGTTTTCAGATGCTACAAGATGGTTATATGAAAATATCACAAAAAACTAAAATCAATATTTGACAATATATTCTTCAGTTAATTCAAGAAATGTTTACTGTTACTAATTTTGAATAAATTTAAGTTTATTGCACTGCACCCAAATTTAAAATTTTGAAATAAAGAAGTCTAGAAACATTCAGAATCGAAAACCATTCAAAATATCTCATCTCATAATACTATTGGATTTTTACATTTTTATACAACATACATACATGTCCCTTGCTCTGAACAAGGCTCTGCATAAGCGACCACTGCTAAATAAAGAGCTACTTTTGTTTGAAATGACCGTAGCCTTTCAGATTCGGCATAGACTAACCAATTTATTACACCCCGACATGGGTTTGAGCCCAAAATCGTTACCCACCATGCCGCCATAATTACATCTTAAGTTTTACCAACTAGGCCACGCCCACAGTGCCATATAAAATTATTCAGAATTCCTGATGTTGTACATTAATATTTAGATCTATAAAAGCAGGGAATAACTCCTATCCCCAATCAGAATTTCATTTTCAATAAGTCCTAATGTGATTTTCAATATCTGAGGCACAAAAATTTTAATCGTATTCAAAAAAATTCTAAAAAACATCTTTTCAAATAATATAAATCTAGTAATAGATAATACAACATCAAAAGTAATTACAACTGCAATATAATCTCATTCATTATCCTTAGAAATGACAAAACAATAACATGTTTTTCATCATTACAATCATTTCATATTACCATGCTATTTCATCATAGAAGTTATCCTGAATTTTAACATCAATATAATTATGATTACCATCAATCATAAACAACGTAAAACCACCAAAGTTAATCATGATAGAGTGGAAAATTTTAATAAGAATTATCTATACAAGATCGAAATGTCACCAGGGAAACATGCCTGTCTGAAACTATTATTTGCTAACCAAGAATCAAACACGGACCATATGGTCTTGTGCTTTCATCTAACAGCGATCCAAGCTTGATTATATAATAATAAGATCTGTTAAAAAAACATTTTGTATGTCTATATTACTGATATCTACTTGTACTAAAATTGTATATGTAGTTTCCACATGTGTACCTTCATTGCATGTGTATTCCTATGTGATACTTGTGCATATGGTGCAGTGGGATTAATTTTATGCTATTTATATTTATGTGTTTTCTAATTATATGCATACGCATTATGTGCATGCGAATTTTCATTACATGTGTATTCGTATGTGACTTTTTATTTTTGGTAACTACTTGTTTATATGGCGTAGTGAAAATAGATCATTATGTGTAATGTTATGTGACCCTATATTTGATTAATTTGATGTGGGCAGTCTTTCTGTACTTCTTTATCATAATATATATGTGTATACATAGTGCACATGTGGATTTTTATGTGACCCTGTATTTTTGTTAGTTATTTATTCATGTGGTATAGCTGGATTAAGTCATGCAAGCGATTTTTCTTTAGATTTTATAATGTATGTGTATGCAGAATGCACATGTGTTTTTAAAATGTGATGCATATATTTATGTGGCAACTTCACATTAGAATGAAAACCAACATCTCCATCTGATGGAGTCCATGTATCATAACACATAGAAGACCATATTTAAAGATTTGTAAAAGAAATATCTTTATATGTTATTCCTTGCGATTGCAATATACAATAAATTATTTAGTGAAAGACAGACCTCTGGTACATGGCACACACCAATAAATTCAACTGTGGAAAAGACCAAGTTTCCAACTTTATGAATGCTATAATATTAAAAGTATGACATACTTACTACCATTTCATAGTTATTATTATTCAGTCACCTTTGATAGTCATGGAAGAAGTGTGAACTTAAGTGCAAGCCAAGCTTGAGGAAGGAAGGATATACTAAATCGGATTTATAAACATTTTCAATCATTAATATTCAGTGTGGTTTGTGTGAAAATCACACAACACATATCTTCACATATGTTGGATCAAAACTAAAAATAAACTGAATAAAATGAAAAAAAAAATTCAAATGTGAATAATTCATTTCAGAGTTTATAGGTTCCAAACTTTTTCTGAAATTCGAGCTCCTCATAAATAAAACAAAAAAAAAGAATGAAAAATATAAGAGATTAATATGATAAACTTTTTGGCATCCGCCTGCAAACAGACATAAGAATCAAAAACCTCAATTTTTGTATTAAAAAATCATCCCACGATCAGGCCTGGAATAGAGATAATTTTTGCCTAATAGCATACCCAATAAATATTTCATACATGAAATAAGAAAATAATTGTATTCATTTGCAGCAGCAGCATTGCAAAAAAAAATACTAACATATCATGCATATTTTATGGGTTACTACTTTTCTGTCAGGAAACTTTTTGAGTTCAAGCATGTTCTCAGTATATTATTTTCTTATATCTCAAAAATAGTGCTTTCTGTATGATGAAATCTCTGGAAATATCATGCATCCGTCATTAATATTTAAACAAATTTTAGAATATATATTACTAAGATGTAAACACCTCAGCCATTCCATCAAGTGTGAAATGACCCTTGATCCAACATAATCAAATTTTGTAATTCTCAGCGGGGACTTAGTAAAATTAGATAAAATCATGGCGTGAGACTCATGTTCATGTTCGCAAATGTTCCAAATCTCTTATCTTAAAGGAACCATCTATCGATTTCCGAGGAAAGTGACTCCTCATTACAGCATGTGTGGATACTTGCTGTACTTGCACACTATTTATTGTGACTATCCACTACACGATATCATAAAATATTAATTAGTATGCCAATGGGCACTCCATGTTAAGTGCTTTTAATAAACTAGGCTGTATGATGTCGATGTATTCAAGTAAGTCACGGAAAATCACAATAATTAATCAGATAATATTTGATATCCGTGACATTCATACCAAGATATAGTAGAATATTTAATTACCTCCAGTTCATTTTTTTCAATTAGCAATCAGATCATTTCGAAATATGTCTATGTAACCCTGAATAATGTGATTCTAAACTTTCTAATGCAGAGAAGTTACGGTTGTAATAAATCAAATTTTATGGTGGAAAACATAGAATTTATAAGTGTGACATTGAGGGCGAATGTTCAAATTTTTTAAAATGGTTTTATTAGAAAAAATTACAAAGATCATCATAGTTTGAAGGAATATTAACCAAAATATTTCAATAAAAAGTTACACGGGTATAAAAAACAAAAATAAATTTTTTCATCATTTTCTCTTTTGTTTCGCTTTTTAGGGTTAAGACTCAAAACCTATAAATTATGATTATCCGGATTCCAGGGAACACATCATTTTTATGATACATCTAAATTTAGAATTTCTTTAAACTAACTGTTTTATATCAAGACAGTTTCAATGTCAACCTGCCATTTAGTATTAAAATATATCAATTTTATCATGACAGGTAGAGAATAATTTAGAAAAACATTTTACATGTCTTGTGTTTGACATTCTTAATCTAAATTTGAGAATATTTTCCTGCCACAGTTGTAAAATGGAATCGTCGGTAAGTCATATGCAACGACGTAGCTATGATTCAATAATCTAAAAGACGATTACTCCGAGATGATTAAAAATTTAATAATTTATGAAAATTTTTATGTTTGTTCATTTTTAAATCCAAATAGCTATTCCCAGAATTATCATTTTTATTATGAAGACAATGTTATGCCAAATATTGAATGAGTGAATGTATTAACTTTTAAAAAGATTTTGAAATAATAATTTAACTAGTAATACCAGATTAATGAGACAAGTTGGCAATTGTATTTAGTGAGCTAACCTTTTCTACCTCAATTATTACTTCAGAGTTTCAAAATGGTAAACAAATATTTGTACACATTTGTGGGCAAAAGAATTGCAAGAAATCTCCTAGCAATAAACTAATATAATTACATCATTTAAGAGGATTGCTATGAATGAACATGGTACAGCTGACAGATTTTCTGATTTGTAACATAAGTAGGTTTTCTGGCATGCAATAAAAAGTTTGATGCCATTTTCTACCGAAGAAATCACTTACAGAACACTAATTAACTTACAAGTGTCTATACAGAATGACGTAATGGGTAAAACATCTTGTAGGCTTTCTTTTAAACCAGTAGGTAAGAAAATTTATGTTTAATATTACTTGCGATATAGTCAAGTCAAGTTTATTTTGTCGAGCTAGTAAAAAAAAAAGTCAGTAATATGTAAAACTATTTTTTTTTATTATAGACAAAAAAAATTGATAGTGTCAAATATCCCAAATTCTGCACATATCAATTTATAAATATTAAGGTGATGTGATGATTCACCCTACAAATAAATACTCTCCAACATGAAAAAGTTTTATGTCCAAATATTTTTTCAAGTTTTCATTGAAAATATCTTGTAATAACGTAACCGTAAACCGTGTCAATTATTTGTTAACATATTTCATCATAGGTGTTGATTATATCACACATAAATTTTTCACATGTGAGTCAGCAATTGAGGAATCTACCTTCTGGTAGCATAGAGGGCCGATGATTGACATTGTTTTTCATTAACTCCTTTTATGTCGACAACATAGCAACAAAACAACAAAATATAATCGTTTTAATGACGCATACAATTAAAATTACAGTGTTGGTGACATGTTATATCTGAGTGAAATATAACATGCTGAAAAAAAACTTGACAATTTGGGGTAAAACTCTAAATCAGTGGAACACTTTCTATTCTTTAAAGACAAAAAGTGCTTTGCCAATCAACCGTAACCCACGAAACATGTTCGGAATTCCAAAAATCGCGCAACGTTAACATAATAATATTTTAAAAGTTGTTGTTGGTATACGCCCCCGGGCTATCTTTACTCTTAGAGACTGCCGTTCGCCGATTACTTACAGGAACGCGACAAAGCGCTTTGTCAGCAAAAATGATAAATTGGTTTCGTGCAACATAATGTCACAATCATAGGAAAAATGAAAATTTAAGTGCAGAATGTACCATTGCAATGACACATAGGCGGATCGGTGACCTGAATTTGCGAGCATGGTAAGTTTAGTGGCAGAATTTAACATTGGACAATATTAATGAGCTGGGAAACCAGTCAAGCGTAAAAAAACGCGGGAAGCATCGTCTGCTTCGTCGTCTGACAAATCAAGTCTGGTACCGGTAACTTAAAAGCAAATTCAAGTGACGTTATCCCTCAACCCTTTTATCATTTCCTGCTTGTGAACTGTTTAATAATTTATTAAATGCTCTGAATGACTTGGGTATTTCGAACAAATTCAAGTTCATTTTTTACAAGCCACCATTTAAGGCCCCAATTCTGCTTAAAAAAACAATAATATTCAATTGTCAAACGTTATTTTGATATATGCATATACAGTGTTATTTTTGATAAATAAATAAAGTTTTCATGGCTCTTCAAACGAAGAAGTGTCAATATTGGTTGGAGGAAATTTACAAATTACAACTCCGCAATTCAGATAAAACGGTGTCATGGGAAATCGTTAAAATAAAGGCTTAACTGAAAGATGAACGACGCGGTCATCTCGTTAACGTTATTACAATTACAGCAGAGGGTTATCTGACTTGTGGTAAAAATATAATAGAATTTAGCGACCGCTAACACATCACTACCGACCCAAACATTGATTTATTGATTCCCGGCGAGCTTGCGACAACTGAAAATGGTACAAAAGTGTGACGAGAAATTCCCTCGTGACCAAATTTACAGAAAAACTTGCCAATTTAGCAACGTAACTTCGTAAACACTAAATTTCCAATTATGAAACACGGGTCGTATTGAGGTTTTGTCATATAGAGAGATTTCACACCAATCCGATCGACGGAACAAACAAACAAATGCAGGAAATAAACTTGAAAGTTACGGCCATTAAACTGTTCCAACTTTTAGCATAAGCACATGTAATAATAAAAACCATTCATGCTAAATAGTGTGTCACTACATAGTAAATTTATTAGCGGGACGAAGACCCCAAATTCGGAAATAGCAGAGTTAAACTCAAAAATTCACCGCGCATTGAGAAAAATGTGCTGGGCGTGGCATCTCTTGAACACAGTTTCTACAAACGAATTTTCAAGTCGACTGTCAGAGGCGATTATTGGTGAATATCCAATCAAGGTCACAAGTTTAGAAAGTCGGCAACTAAAGCGACAAAAATGGGCCAAAGGGCTACTCGGTAACAGAAAGCTAGGTGTTTTTTATGTATGAGGTATTCGATGACGGCCGTAATTGAAAACTCTGGTAAAATTCCACTTACAAAGCTCAAGTAACAGGCATGGGATATGGGAAAATGACTCTTCCTCTTAAAATAAAAGAAACCAAAACCAAAAACGAGGTATCGTAAACAATTAGAGCGAATTCTCAAGTATCTTTCTACTCCGAGAAGTGGGTACTGTCCTCGTCCGTTCAAGCGTAACGAAAAAAGACTATATTACTTTGCTAAGCATACAGACAAAGGTGATCAAGGATTACGCGCAAAACCGCCCCGATTTTCACCTCTTTATCGCTTGAGAGGGCACGCTCACCATTACTAATCTGGTTTCATCTGCATGAAGGATACTTCTTCCCCATCTTGGTTAGATGAATTGTGCATTATATGACCAGCAATTTGGTAAAGCCACTTCTGCCATAATGGGATAGCGATGTCGTTTTTATCCCTTCATTGTAATGTTTCTTGAAATTTTTAGCCAATGATTTGTTTCTCAAAAATGCGAACCATAAGCGCATTATAACTTGGCAGGTACGCAAACAAAAGAATCCTTGTTTCGCATATCAGCTATTTGAAGAATGTGAATCGTCTGTTTACTTCAGAAATTCCCAGTCAACGAATTTTCGTTAAAAATATGATACGGACGATTTATGTTGCGAAATCGTCGGTAAAAAAAGGATCACCGTCTCATAAGTAATAAGTCATTCCAATTTCACATCTATTTCATTGCTCCTATAAAACACAAACTGCGGCACATTTCGCAATGAGTAGTCTAATATTATTTTTATGATAATAGCAAGGTCACACGCTCCCACTCACAAGGAGAATCCTCTTTTAGCATTTTTACGGGCTACTATACTGAAATGCTTGAAAAAAAAATTTTGCCATTAAAATTTCTTTGTCTAGACTAGACAGCAAATGGATGAAACTTCACAGCCAATCATGAACGACAACTGAATTTTTTTTCCGGAGGGACAAATTCCGAAAATTCAGAACACAGTCCACAACGAGATAACATTTCGTCGATCGGAAAGAGTTGGCAGTTCGCACGATAATAGTGAACTAACCTTATTTGGTATTATTTTTTAAATTCGGCGTAACAGGTTAAGTACAGCTAACGCATCCAAAGTCTAAAATCTGACAGCCGAACTGCACGCAAGGGCATAACAATGATTCGTACAAGTGAACATGCAATAATTATCGACGAGTACGGTAACGAGATTCAAATTTCATTAATGCATATACGCATGGCATGTTACATTCAAGAATTTTAAAAGCGAAATGACGTCTTACAAAACCAAAAACGTCATATGAGAATGAAGGCATGGTGCAGATCAACGCAAAGAACGCAATTATTGATTGTAAAAATGACTTTGGCCACGATTTAAAATACCTTAAATATAATTATTTGCTAAAGTTAAATCGAATAAGGAAGTGTGGCTTTATATTAGTATGGAACTCTTACTAACACGGGAGACTGAGAAACCAGTCACTTACAACACCATTCATGGAAATGTTAAGTCATGAAGGTCAAAACAAAGAGTTCTACCAAGCAAGACCCATCGATATTCTTCGATTAATCCCACAATCCAACCCATGTGAGGACTTGGTATGTAGCAAAGCACGTTGTTCTTTCTATATGATATAAGACCTGATATCTGATTCACGCGCAAATTAACCTGCGTTCATAGGACAGCGAGCTTCAGGAAGGAAGACATTATATACAGCTATAATACCGGTATGTATAATATAAGACTAAACATTTGAACTTTGTCAATTCGTGTTGACCTTTGTATGCTTTTGTTCCCACGCAAAGAAATAGTATAATAAACGTAATGTAGGGAACGTTTTTGCGTGGAATTTGAGTCTTCCTTACTTGGATAGTTAACGATTTTAGAATTCTTGATTGCGATTAATTTCAAATAAGTCAACAGGACTAAATTTGCATTAATGTAAATAAATTTAAAAATCTTGATTTCACGTTGAAATCTAAAATTTTTATATAAGAAACTGTCAGTTTGATAATTTGAATTTTTGAAACAAGATTACTCCGCGAAAAGCATAAATTACACCGCCAATCGAAACCACAATGCACCACAACCAAGTTAAGACGTAGGCTGACGGATGCATATGTGGCAATAAACATAACATTTACGAATTCATATGAATATTGCTCCGCCAGTGTGAATGTATACAAAAACAAACTCACGCAGATATGAACAAACATTGGGCAGCGTTGTGAAAAAACAAAGAAGATACACCAACATATTGAGGTTTTTATAGTTCTAGGCCGAACAGGGTACTCAGGCGTGATTCTAGGCTTCCAGTTAGGGCTGATTAATTTTGAAACTTTGGGAAAACTCGATACAGGATCTACGAGAATCGGGTGATTAGAGAAACCACAGATGATGTATATATCTCCTTGTTTACTTCAAAATACAAGTTAATATTACCTTCTTTTTATCTCTCATTGAACCTTTTCCCCGAACCATGATTTTGCATTTCGCCTCTTGTTCTAGTTGTTTTGCGGTCAAACCCCGCGGTCCGAGTATCCTTCCCACGAAATTGTACTGAAAGAAACATTAAAAAAAATTGTAAATTTAACATGAAAGTATTATTATTAGTAATCATAAGAATGAGTCGAAAATTGACTAGGAATTGAACTTCCAGTTAAAGCACCACTATAAAATAAAGTAAAAATGATATTATATATACATGCCATAGGGGTGAGTAGGCCTAACAAAACATGTTAGACATTCTACATATCTTTACGTCTATCGCGACGGCGATGTGTTGTCGCACGGACGACAATTGACATTGAAATTTAATTTTCTACCCAGTTCATGTTGAATTTGTCGATGTTAATTAGGTTGTGGTATCGCCCTTACACCATGCGAGGTTCGCAAGTGAGTCTACACTAGAATAACAAATGCAGTAAATTCAATTGAATTTAAAGGTAATCAACAAAAAGGGATTATAAGGTACGGGTGCGTGTGGTTCATTGTCATAAAAATCAAATCCGCTGTCTATATGGGAGCTCTAGGAGAGATCAAATGGCGAGTGAGACCAGATAATCGTAAACGAACGCGTAGGACGTAAAAATCGATTCAATTTTACCAATTTTATAACAGTAATTACAGAAGCATACGCTGTACTTCTAAATGTCATGAAATACGACATGATGGTAACTGAACACTTTTATAGCGCCTAATAATGGTCATTTAGAAATCTCTTGGATGGAAATAAAATAAGGCCAAGTGGTAAATCTAACCCTAACACGAAATTGATTTGAAACTGAAAATAACAAAGGCGGCTCATCAATGACAAGTAGAAATCTTAATCGTCGTGCAATAAGTACTATAAGGGATATGGAATTGGTATTATCGCCATGCAAAGAATAAAATAATTGCCAACTTCCCTAATACTTGAAACACTTAACTATATAGGTGGACATTTGAGAAAAATCTATGCTGCAGTGAAATAAGCTGGAATTTTGTTGGCGGTGTGACCTAATAGTTGGCAAGACAACCAACTTGAGTTCTCTTCTTGGATTCAATATCACGTTACATGAACTTCGACCAAAAAATATTTTCTATAATTTTAAAACAGTGGTAACTGTTATTTTCAATTCTGTTTATTTCAAGGTTGCTAGGTAAGCACAAAATAGATAATCTATTCTAACCTAATATAAACAGGAAGACAGACCAGAAAATCGTTTTGGGGATAAGACAGGATAATACCGTAGTTCGACGTTGGGACCCATGGTAACCCCATGGAACGATTGCTCAAAAAAAATAAAGAATAAACATCACCATCACAGAACGACGTGCGCCCAAAACACAATCATTGCAGAAAACACGCTTCGATCTTATTTTAGTAATTCTTTCTTAGTACCAATACCAATATCGCACATGGTGAAAACAGTTCAAATTTGTTGCTATGGAAACGGCCACAAAAATGCAAAAAAAACGAAGGAGGCCATGTACCCCGCACCCCGGATGTTCGTTGCTGGGCATGCTTGCAATGTTATTTTGACAACATACAACATACCACGCGAAAATTTTTAAATACTGAACAACAAACACAAAAAAACATCTTCCGCCCATGTGTGACTTGTACATGCCAATCTAATAAAGATAACAGATTCACGGAACTGGTAACCTAACGCCAGAAAATCGTTTCTCAATGGATAATGATGTTGACATCTGATATTCAGAGACTGCTTGATTACAGCGAAGATTTTTTGTTGCGAAATCCCGCCAAATCAGAAAATATTATACTATTCAAGTAAGGCCACATATTCATTTCCCTCGAAAATCTTATTTAATCAAAAAAGTGCGAAAAAAAAACAGCTTTAATAATGTTCTTTGAGACTGAGATTTTTCTCAAACGGTCACAAACACAGTTGCGTTCTGTTAAAATGACGTACGGAACACCAGATTCGAAATAGCCATTTCGGTTGGGTATCGCCAGCACAGTTTCTTAAACCACGTTCAGGAGATTGGGGCGAGAGAGTTGCCAACATGTTGCATACTAATAGCTAAGTCCCCGATTCGAACATTTTTCAAAAGTTGATACGCCGAAAATGCCCTTCACAAAGCTCTAAACGTTTTCATAGTCGCGTTAACAAATTAAACATAGTTTATCACCTTTGGTCAAATTGACATATAAAATATTTCGTCACGTGCGTAAGTTCTACGAAGTGGTTTACAAAGTATCTTCACGAAGCTTAAAATTGGGCAACAGCTTGTGATTTTAGATAATAAACAAACAAGTAGTGATTTTTAAAAATAAACGCGCCCTTTTCATTTCAACGGGTGACTCGTCGCAACCCTCTCGACGGTGTTGTGGTAAGTTACATGAATTAATTAAGACTTCGAGACACGAATTACCAAATTAGTAATCGGGGAACGACAAATCACAGTTGTGTAAACATTTCAACAAAATTACAAAGGTTCTTTCGTGTTGGAGAGGCCGTACGATTACATCTCTCTTGGCGATTTTTCTCGAAAACAAATTCGTCAAGATGAAGGAATAGGCGAGCTGCCAATGTTTGAATGTGGTAAAGAAGGTCATGGCCATAGATAAACAAGGTACATGTTTTCATTACTGTAAAAGGATTGCGCATATGTAACTGGGCGTTGATGCAATACGTATTTTGAAATGTACATGGAAATGGTGCCATTCTTGAACTGGCATATTTTATATTAATAAAATATGTAATTTTATTATTAATTTAATTTTTTCATTTTATTAAATAATATTATTTTATTATTAGTCACACAAACGTCCACGTGAGGCGAGAATAGGCTAGACGAATAGGAAAAATTTATTCTTCATCTCTGCAACGGCACTTGTCAAAACAATAAAGAGATTTCCGAATATGTGCCGGTGTTGCGTGAAATATGAAGCCACTGGTCAGCCGTCGACTAGAATTACAAAACTGCAAGGTACTTGGCTCTGATACCATAGTAAACCCCTTAAGCAATGGTATTTCTTTGGTGCACAACGTTGCCCGCTTGGCCTTTTGTCTTCCTGGTAGCATTAGGTTACAGCGGTATCGAATCGGATGTAGCATTTGTCGCCAAATATAGGCTTATTACAATGCGTTGCGTGTGGCTTGCTGGATATATTGCGTTAATAAAGGTTAATCCGGTGTTAGTGGAAAATATTTGTAGTTGAAAAAAACGTGCTGAATTTTACTCTTATTTATATTTGGGCAGTAAAACCAGTTGAATAACAGTTACACAATCCACCAAAGCATCTTCAATTGCTAATATCCAACCTTTTTGTTGAATTTTCCAATGGTTTTGGTGCCAAATGGTATATTACGCTTAATTTAAGTTTCTTGTTAAAATTGCCCCGTGCCTAATAGAATCTATTACGAATCTATCCATAACCCTCTATATATGATCTGTACGCAATTTCTGTGACATATTGCATGAAACATGCATTAAACAGGGAAGCGTTCAACTTTAGCAACGTTCTTAAAAACATTAATTTTGCATGAGAACGATCTTTTAATCATACGATACGCGAGAATACAACAGGCAGCTAACGTTATCTCAACGTGCGAGACATCTTACCAATATTATTTTAAATTCAAAGCGAAATCTAAAGATGGTAGTTCCGAAGATCGGGTGTTTTTTTTGCAACTGTTAAATATTTATTATTGGAAGTTCAAGTTATGATAATAGTTTTTAAAATGCTATTCTTTGCATATATATATCTCGCATCGTAATTTCAATCAACGCCCTTTCTGTACTTACCTATTAGAATAATTGCTGATTGACAGTAAACTTTAATCGAAATAAATAGAATAATGTGTGATTCCGTTGCGCCATGGACAGCCATGTTATTGTGGATATACCAATGTGAAAGAGCACTTTATTTAGATCGTTTGCCACATCAAAACGCACCAATATATAAAAATTTGGATACTACTGCATACACGGACCAGAACGTATAAGCCAAAATGTGCGAAATGTGTCAATCTTCGAAGGCGAAAATTGTACGGGAACGCTATGCTTGTGTTCAGCAATTGAGACGAACAATATTTGAAATCAGAAGCATCGATATTTCAACACATAGGCCTCAATACACCAATGTGTTGTTATTTTTGCGTTCACATGCCTTTTGTGTATAGAATATACCGCGTCACGTTTAGAGGAACGAGGAAACAATAGAAAGTTTAGTTAAACGCAGACGGTCGGTGGAGGTATCGATGTAATCCGCCTTTCGTCGTTAAAATTTCACAACCGATTTTTTCGTACAAACAAGTGTGATTACATCATAATAATATAAACTCAAGCTGTTTATCAGGTGCTCTGATAACAATTTTATTTTCGATCGACGCGAATATTTCCGTTACAGATAGCATCTATGGCGAAATGTGAATATTTAGACCACTCAGTGACAAGTTTTATACACTCTTCAGACTTGATCAATCGAGTTTTGAATTGACATGTTTTCAAAAACCCAATAGAGCGTTTAAACGTATTACGCAAAACACGTCAAGCATAAAAAAAAAATTTCCAAGCGTAATAACATGTTGATACACGGATCTAATAACCGTGATTTCAGCTACCTACTCATTCTATAATTCCAAGCTGTATTGTATATCGGCCTGTTCCATGGCATATGCTTGTAGTATCGAAAATATACAATCATAATGTATACGGGTGACGAAGAGTCGATAACAATCACGGCTGACAACTAGAATTTACACCTCATATTATGAGCAGATTGAAATGTCATGTGACCCAGTTTTGTTTTTTTAATTTTGTGTCCTATTATTCAATCAAACCAATAATATTACCTTATATGTTATGTTTTTTGTTACTTGGAAATTATTTCGAAAACTTCACTAGCTTATAGGTATTGAAAGTGATTCAAACACTGGAGCAACTAATATTCAAATATAATTTCATTTGAAAACATATGTTCTACATTAATCCAAGTCGTGTTATTTACCAAATCTAAAGATAACATACATATGTAAGTTACATGATATCAATCGGTCACTTCTGAGAAGTAAGACATCTGGTCCATACTTGGCAAATTGCTGAATTACAAAAAAGAGTTCATCGTACCTCGGGATGTTCTTTGATTGGAACATAAACTTTTTCTGTTAGTATAACAGTTGGTCCTTGTGCAACAGGAAGTTCGAGAGGCATGGAGTCTCCGTTCTGGAACAAGACTGATCTGACTTTGACAATTTCTGAAATAAAGAAAGCATATGAGCATAATTAAACATTATAATACGTGATTCATAAATAAGGTTCCAATCTCCGATTTTTGACAAACGAAAAGTCATGGTAAACAAGTACATGGCGTCTTAAATGACGTTAGGATGCTCATATCCCAATACCTGTATATTCCAGATATTCTGATAGACTAATACTATACTTATTTTAATAAAAATATAATGAACCGTGTGAAATTTAACTCCCCTAAAATTTAATAAATAAATGTGATGTAGGTACCGTTTATAACAATGCTAATCGTACGAACATATTGTATTTATTATTGAAAGAAATGCAAAAAAATGTATTTGATTTGTCACGATTTGATAATTATAAAAACATCTGGTATTCGCCTGATATTGGTCATCGCAGCTTTTTGCACACATAAAAGATCGCTAGCGACTTGCGTCTCAAAAATGAGACTTTTTGCTCGTGTAGTGTGAGCCCTTGCTTCGAACGAAGTATGTAACAAATCTTTAGGTGGTAAGCTATTAACAATTTCCGTCAATATCGAAATGAATACTTTTGAAAAAATCAGCCGAATCAAACGAAACGATCGGCCATCGTAAATCTATATATATAACAATAAATTATCGTAATTATTTCGTAATGTAGAAGCAGTTCCATTTTGATATTTTGTATTTCTAATCTTCGGCGACTGGATCGGATAAGTTACGTATACGGGAAGGTGCGTCTGAACGGAATCTGCAAGTAATTCTTCCGCGAATGAATTATTCCGTAAGAAGACGAAATAAACACGCAGAAGAGGGTATTTTAACCTCACTAGTGACGATCTGTTTTCCGGCTTGTCATGAAAACTTCAGTCCCGTCGTCGCCATCATCAATTACGCCAATGACTCGACGGAAAGATGAAATATTAAAAAGGTTCAAGCGAACCTGAGGTCCAAAGTTTAGAGGTCTCGAACGAAGTTTTCAAATACGTTTGGTTTGAATCATAGCTTTGGTTTAAGACTGTACTCCCATATATAAAATATTTATATTGCTTCTTTCTACTGGGTCAAATTTCAAATTACGGAAACACGTTCGGAGTCATTTTCAGAGGAAAGTCGATTACTTAATTAAGCTTGTGCTGATATTTGACAATAGTTTTTAATAAAAAAAATCGGTTTAGATGGCATACAACGATTTATGAAGAAAGGAAACGATATAAAAACGCCCAGACAAAATGTAAAATCTAAAATTTGGAGCACATTATTTTTGAGTGAAGGACGGAATATAATAAGTTCGCAACAAATATGAAAATTAAGTTTCAATAAAAGTAATTGCAATCAGTCGCCCAAACCTTGAGAACACGTGACCTCGATACGCTCAATTTAACAAGCCAGAATTCGATGCAAGAAGATGCTGCGTTCGTGCATCATTCTAATGTATCACCACCAATCAACATACCTTTCGCGATTAGAATTTGCTTGAGGCCATATTGAAAATCCGACCTCAAATTCTTTCCTAACTAGTAGCTTCGTAATTTTGTTTACTTAACTTTCGTTAATACTCAATTATCGGTTACTGCAAAATCGGAATATAAATCTTTCGTAATTCAATTTTAGTGAACGGTAATTATACATAGCGCCATGCTCATAACACCCTTTAGGTGGAATTAATGTAGCGATATTGATATTACTAAAAATTTGTTATCGTAAAAGTGAAATGAACGAATTCCTAATTTACGTGTGTAAAACATAGTGCCAAGTGGTAAAAATTAACAAATACCCCTGATTAAGGGTTATGAATATAGATATCGGTGGAATCTTGTAGTTAAAAGAACCAACAAATCTCCGAAACTTCTACCACGACAGCCATTTGTCAGGCAAAAAGATGATTCGATATGTTTTTACCATAGCTTTAAATTCGGAACTCCATTATCAATATTAAAGTAGATATATCTTTGAAAATGACTCCAATCACGAAATTAAATGAATATATTTGTGTTATGGCGTAGAAAAACTCTTAAATCAAGTAAAAGTTTTAATGTTCTAAATTTAAAAAAACATGGCAGGATTTTTATCATACACGTGGACATGATAATACGCATTGTGACAAACAAAATATAGCTTGTTTTAATTGTGTAGGGTTATGTGAAACCTTTAAAAATTTAGATGCCAAAATGCAATATCACTGGTGTCAAATTTCATGTGCGTGATTTTTTGCACCAAAACTATCAAATTTCACCTGCTCTAAAGAAAATAATGTTATCGACAAACAACCGCAAAACGCGCATTTCGCAAAAAAAAAACGAACATCGGTTACAAGAAACCATCAAATTTCCCACAAAAATGCAACAAAATGTAATCCTATATATTGTGGTACATCAGAGAGTAAACACATCAAATCATGCACACAAAGCAATATTCATTGTTTCGCTCTTTCGGAAATATTATTCAAGTGTGATAATCAGAAAATTGGCGCAAATTTGATTACTGGACAATTGAATGATCCAGCGGAGCGCAATATACCATTATATAGATTTGATTTCTGTCGGATCTCGTTCGTTGGAATACTTCAGAATAAATCGGTCCGGAATTGAAGTGCACTGTTTTGGTAACAGTTAATTAATTACATAAACTGAGTGGCGCCAAATAAACCACTTCAGTATGTCCGTTGCGATAGGGTTTATTTATGCCTTTCATGGTATACAATTTTAGAGCTATAGTATTTATCTCAACCCTGTGGAAATTCAATTTTTGACAAATATCGCGCGGTCTTTTTCTCATATTATACTTGCGTGATTTTCACAAATATAATTTATTTTTCCATTGCAAGGTAGAATGTTCGATTGATATTTGGTCAAAACATGTTGCTATTAAATTTTATAAATCTATTATGAAGTGTGATTCCGTGGTCATTCAATGGTAACCAATCTTAATCTGACCCACTTGAAACACACTCTATATTTCGTAAGCGCTGGATCACAAAAACCAAAGCATTTTAGTCAACTGCGTCCAATCCTGTCAACATGACACAACTTTGAGATCATAATATTCGTTGCTATTTGCTTGAAATATTAATTGGTCAACGAAATGTTCACTAAAGGCTTATAATTAATTTTTGTTTTCCCCATTTCATGGTTTCACGAGAGATCCCCCATCCTCCCATTTCAGTTTCACCTCTAGAATTATTCTTACTTCAAGCTGTTTGGTTCACAAAATATTTGATCAGCTAAAACAGTCAAAGTCATAAAAAAATAAACATACAGCCAGATTTACCATAATTTAAAACTTTTTTATATGCTAATATCAAACAAAACAGCATTGATTGCATTGTGAGTCATATGTTTTGTACAAGACTGAAGCTTCATTTATCACTGTAAAGTGTACACAAATTGTCCACTCATATTACAAAACCAGTACAGAGTTACAATATAAGTCTCAACTCCGACGGTTTGAGCTCTGTATTATTTCCTGTGTAAATTGCTAGAAGACCTTAGGAAACGACTACAGAATGCTTGAACAGTTCAATTGGTCTAGAAGTATTATAGTTATTAAGATAATACCAACGAAGGGATGTAACATTTATTCTGGTAACTGCAACAGAATATTTTATTGAATATATGCTCAACAACTAATATGATGTTTCGAATTTAATCAGTCTTACAATTTAAAATCTTACTTTATTTACTTAATATACCATACAATCACATGTCAACATTTAATTATACAAATTGAAAAATTCCCATCAGTTTGAGTAATGTATATTGAAAACAATGTTTAAATACTCATATATACACAGCATTATGTCAATTTGTCTATGAAATTTTCTTTGCATGTGGTTGACTTTGTATTGACGTATTCAATATTTAAAAATGGCTCAATAAATATGTTAAAAGGTTTGCTTCCCACTACCATTGTTTGCTATGTCAATGCAGTGTGTTAGGTTTCAATACACAAAACAAAGAGAGTTTTGTTTGAACTGACAATATTAATGTAAACTGTAGTATTACAATTTTCTGTTCCACAATATAATATGTGTAATTTATGTATAAATTGTGGCTATAGCAATATTGAAATACAATAACTTATTATTTTTCACATTGTTTTTGTTGTAAATACTTTTTCTTCTAACAGAATGTTTTAATAAACATCATAGTGAAACATTCATTGTGTAATCCTTCAAACTATAATACAAATTCTTAACATTATTTCTTGAATTCTTATTATCCTATTCTATTCAATCAATCAAGTAAGTCTTTCACACATTCGATCGCAATTGTTTTGTGTAATAAATCTCCAGTCATATAAAACCTTCAAAAGTTAAATTTTTAAATTATTCATGATAAATGTGGCAACAATGGTGTATATTACACCTGAGTTTTATTGCATTTCATTCTACAAACCCAGATAATCAATATCTTATGAAGAGAATTTTTAAGACGAAAGAAGTATTTATAATAAAACTCAGGACAATCTTCTTGAAGAATGATAACATAGAATTCCTTCTATATGAAATAACCCAATCTTGTATCAATGTACTCACCTTCATCAAGTAACCTTTCAACATGTAAAAAAATACTTGGATAACTTTGACATTGTTTCTTATCTTTTAATAGTTGTTGAAGATAGTTGCACCTTTCCTTTGTTTTGCTGTCAGAATCGTGTGGCAGTGATTGCATAAGTGCTTGTGTTGCACCTAACAATGTGTTTGCGCAAAAACCATTTGACCTTGATGTGCTACTTTGTAGCTGGCTTATTTGACTATTAGTTGAATTAAAAGTTTGGATCGAGGGAGCCATAGAAATTCTTGACAATGGCTGAGATACTGTGCTTGCAAATCCATTTAATGGAACCATGTTTAATGCCGCGGATTGTGCAGGCAATGTTTGCGAAGTCATTGAATTTGTCAAATATGCAGTCTGATTATCAAATTTAACACCAAAGTCCGTCAGGGTTTGTGCACCAGCAAGATTCATCAGGCATTTGAGTTGAGCAAATTTTTGATAAAAAATACTAAAACTATTAACACTGTTATTGGTTCAAGAATAAAAATATTAATTTCAATAACAAAGAGAATATCAAAGAGTTTCAATATATGCCACGAAGTTAATCTCTTTATTTTGACAGTCCTGGTGATTTATGGATACTGTGGGACAAACACAAAGACACTAACAAGCTAAATAGGCCCATGAAAAATATAGCTACAAAGGAGGCTCCAAATAAACCTTGACACAAATGGGCTAAAAAAATCATTTTTTAAATCAGTTTTTATTTTCTTGTCATGTAATAACATCTACTAATAGTAGAACTCTTTTTTTTTCAGATCACTTTGAGCTTTCAAAATTCAACTTTTCACTCAAATAAATTAGATTGGATTCTACCACCTATCAGAAACTGTCTGTGTTTAAAAATAAGTGAATATAATCTGAATTTCTATCTCTCTCTCTCCAATTCCTAATTACCCCTACTTATACAGAAATCTATTGTAAACAATCAAATATAAAAACAGATTAGGGATTGCATTGTCATGAAATGTCATGGGAATTAGTAAGCCAATAAGTATTGAACTAATTGGCCCCTAAGGTGGAAATTACCATATTTTTATACAAGAAGCTGAATGGAATCTATTGCTTTAATAAATTTCAAAATTGAATCACTGTTCAATCTAATTTTCATAATTCATTTCATCTAACCTCAAAATTGACTTAATGCTGAGATAAATTGTATATAAATCTGTCTGTATGTCTACACATTCCTGCATTCCCAAAACATCGGATTTGGATATGTGATAATATTTATAGTCATATAATATTTACATACATATAAAAGCTGCATAACTGTTTTCTTATACTGCTATATGAATTATATTATGGCATTATGTTATGTTTTTTTCTGAGCACCTAAGAATTTTGATCATATATCTGTCTATAGTCAGATAGTAGAATTTAGATGATTGGTTCAAATCAACTTTGAATGTCTAATTGCCTCTGATCCTTGTACTATTAATTCATTCTTCTAAATAAATCATTTTATTTTTGGGTTTAAATTATATTCATAATTATAAATCTAAATAATTGTATACACTGCAACCTGCTCAGGCACTGAGTTACCGTATGCTAAGTACTGTAGTACACACAGCTCAGGGCAATTTCTGAGTTTGATCAGTCAGTCCACTTGAGTTACTTTATCTCTGTTCAAGAGTTCTTCAATTACAACTGTTTTTATCATTACTAACATAGTATTAAGTAACTTAATACCGCATACTGGCATACGAAAGATGTTATATGACTCTTGTCTTAAGGCTATCAACACCTGAGGCTAGGTTGGTTTGTGCGACTTTCTCCTGCGTCAGAACAACCAAGTTATCTTGTATTTGCATTCCTGTGGTAGCTATAACATGATAGAGCAAGCAAATACCACTTGAAAAAACTACACGCTGCAGAGTACGAGAGCGATAAATAGGGCAGCCACAAAGATCTCTACCGCATTGAAAACCAAAGAAATGAAAAGACAGACGGGTCACAGCAGCATTCAGCATCGAGAGAGCGAACATTGAAGTATTGTTTACATTAGGTTTACGCTCGACTGATTCGTCTCCAAGTCTTTGTTTCGTCATAATTTATTCCAAGAATATCATTTATTAAATAACATGAAATATTCCCTACCACGGTATTAACATTTAGTAGTTTATATCTTTTTAATCACAGCGACGTGCATTAAAACAGATGACAAATTCATCTAATCTCATCTACGTTCCTTAGATTTAAAATAATCAAACACGCAGACGATTTACTACCTAGATGAATAGCAATGCATGCTCATGTTATCCAGATACGGAGCGCATAATTAGCTAATGCATAAATGGTAAATGTGTCCCGTTATTTCTTGAAAATTAACAGTTCTGTCACACAGTTTTCGACTACCAATCTATGGTTTAAAAGAGAAAAATGTCATATATATTCGAGTCTATTCTATTTTACCCAAATAGTCGAATATGGTGATATTGCATCATTTTGCTGGTGTAATTAATAACCTTCAAAAATTTGTCTTACCTTCGTCTAGTATTCTGTCAATGTGAACAAACATTCCGCCAAAATTCTGAAGCTGTTTCTTATCTTGCAGTAGCTGTTTGAGATAAAGACATTTGTCTCTGGTCTTTCGTTCTTCGTCATTAGATGAATATGAGGCCGTGTTTGTTCCAGGGGAGCATATTGGATTGTCATTCGAACTTTGAGTTGATGACGAACTGTCCATTGAGCTAATTGTGCTATCACCTGGTCCTTGCTTGGGTAACATAGCGGGAATAGAAACTGGTGGAGGTAGTATAGACCCTGGTTTTCCGAGGACAGGGTTGTTATGGAGAAATTGGATTGGAGGTTGCTGCGGTGGCAAAGTCTTGACCGACTCGGTAAACCCTTGTCCTGGGAGCTGCTGTGGGAGTGGGTTAAAAGTCCTCACATGTGGAAAATTGATGCCGGCTGTGAGGGGCATAGGGGGATAGTGGTTTATAGCCTCAATCTTGTCAGTTGGGTGGATCAATACGTAAGAAAATGGTGGTTATGTAGTGATTTCGTCTTTTGTTAGACTCTGTACACGTATTAAATGCAAGCTATATGGTAGTAAATGAGCTGTAAAAATGAATATTTAAAAAATAGGTCAACGCTTTATTGGAAAAAATTCACCCGATAGGCCGGAAAAAGTAGATAATTGCACCTGGCTACTTTTTGTCCTCTGCTGACTTCTCGTGGATTGAGTTTCATCTTGCATCAAAATGTATACCTTCATTTGGATCATATTAACTAACATGAGCCAACCGTAACGACGTACAAGCCCTACGTGACAGATATGTTTCTGTCATTTTAAAGCTACGGGTTTTACCACGAACTTGTACTGGAACGCATTTTTTCTATCATTTCGCAAGAATGGTAAACCAAAGAATGCTATTAGAATGAAGTTTTCTCATGATTACCCAACTATGAAGCTTCGGAATCGAATACCTTGATAGTGTTTACGAAAAAAAATTTCCGCTTGGTCTGTTATGAAGTAAAACGCGTTGAAATTTATTTGGAGACTGATGATATGTGTTGGGAATGGTATTTTAACGAAAAAATATCGTGATTGCAAAGAATAAGTATCAAAACACAAAGTATTCACTGCTCCATTTTACCGAAAACTTTTAATAGCGTGTTCTGCCATGATATTTCACCTGAATAGGTAACTCTATGAATATGAAATATTTACAATCAAATGGATATTCAAGATGGATTTTTAGAATATAGGTGAAATTTCGTTATTGATCCTTTGTTCATTAATCAAATTTTTGATCTGAGGATAACCCGAACTTAGCTATCTGTGACCTTTTATTCAATTTGGCCAACGCGAGTTTGTATATTACGTATCTATATTTTACCAACAGTTGAATTGTGAATTAATTTTTTCAATTTGAATACGAAAAACTAACAAAAGTGCATTTTGTATCAGACAGCATCATGTCCCTAAAACTATTCGGAATTCTCTAAGCAAATGTGCGTTTGAGCGACTGATGACAAATCACCATCTTCCCGCCCCAATAAATAGTTAGTTCATTTCATAAGAATGATCTATTGTTATACGTGATTCTACCTTTCGAACCGTCATGCACGACGTCCTGCGACACAAATTTAGGTAATCATCCCATTGACGACGGATGAAATTGCAGGCTTCGTTTTGAATATTTTCCAGATTGTTTTGTCATATGTATAATCTTTGTTTCCTGACACTAACAATATATTGTAACTTAAGAATATATATATTTCGGAAGGGAACGATAGATGCTCAAATGAGATGAGGGTGTTGCACAGATTATATATGGTACCACTTAAATCATTTTTAAACAATTCACTAACAGATTACTATCAAAAAGTTGGTATTTATCAAAAGTTCCATTAAAATAAATCGATTCTTAAAAATATAATATGAAATTGATTCAAACCAAATCTCTGTTCCTTAAGTTAATTTCGATTCCTTTTCTATTGCGCGTGCACATCAATAATACCTCTTTATTACTTTAGCACTCGTTTATAGATTTGACATTTAGTAATTTTTAAAGGGTCAACCACGGGGGGATAGATAAATTATGCTCGAAATAGGCGACTTATATCCGGTTCATGTCAGGTTTGCGTCAAATTAACCGGTCACTGATTTGTAACCAAGATGGCATAAACTACGATAAATTCCATAATATTAGCATCGTCTTTTGTATACACCCCGAAGGCAAGAAACGACGATTCTCGGCGATAAACTTTGTTGATGCTATCTGTCATAATGCTCAAACAACGGGCCTCGTTATTGAGTCGTCGATATTAAATTATGTCATCCAAGTTTTCAAAAAAATGCACAAAGATTTATAGTCTATAGATCGTGGGGCTTTTCATAAGATAAAATATAATTTATACCTAATTCAGACACCTAATACGCTATAGCAATATTCGATATCGTGTTTCTGTTATGATGCAATTTGGCATCTCCATATCTTCTTACATTACCACCAATTCGAAAAGATTAGTTAATATGCGGCGCCTTTCAATATCCTAATGCGAATATTCCTGATTCTGATCTTCTAATCTCGGTAACTTATTTCTCGAATTTCAATGAACAAACAGATCCATTTTATGATATCACAGTCTACTTCTTAGACGTCGACTCAACTTATTGCTAAAGCAAAATTCAACAATCTATAGAAAATGTCATGTCTAAACAATCTATGAGGTATAAACAGTTCTCGTTGCAACTTTTGTTATAGAAAGTGTGTCCCTTTTTACAAAAACTAGGATTTCTATTGCGGTGTGTTCTGATTCCTAAATGCAAAATTTGTCTAACCATCTATAACAAGACTGCCCAAGATTGAAATATTAGGGCGCACACCGGGGAACAAGATGCAAAAAATAACACGGTAGTTGACAGTAATAATTTAAACAAAAACACTTAGACGAAGCCCATTTATTGCTTCACTAATTTTGTACAAGTAACGAAAGACGACCACTTTGCGCTCTATCTACTTTTTCCCTTTTATCGAAATTCTTTCAAGCCGAACGCAGGTATTTTTGTACGGCGCGAAGATTGCAATCGGTATGCGTGAAATCTCTTAAAAATAGAAAGAAAGAGAGAGACCCGTGTATTTTATTGCGGAATTTCATTGTTGGATGCTGTCTGTTTTGTTGTTCGCTGATAGGTTAAAAACGAATGGACGGCACCTTTCTTAGATTAAAATTCCCTCTTTGCAACTAAGCGTGATAGGTAAAATAAAATAACTTGGAATAGATAACTAAAAACGTAGAGAAAATTAGGTCTTTGTTAATCGAATGATCTCTCCACCTATAGACAATCTGACCATTGTTTGCTGCAAAATTAATTTACGTTGCTTCTGCAACAACAAAATCTTGCTGTATGGGGATTTGAAGATAGCTATGCAAGAAACGTAGCATAGTTTTTATCCTCAATCTTAAATAATAATATTATAGATATTATATCTTAAAAAGTTGGAAAGAGGACAATTCAATTCAATGACTATTTCTCGCCTTCGCGTATTTTTTCCAAATTTTCTATCACTTTCCAAATAGTAGAAAATTGTAATGCTTCACTAATGCGCTTTCAGAAAAAATATATACATTGTTCGTCATCAATATGATGTTCATCTACGACACGGGTCGACAACTATTAGCATTGAAAGAGCCATTTGGCATCTTTTCCGTAAAACCCTAACCCACTCTGAGCCGCAACATCTACTCTAATATCAGTGGCTTCTAAAACCCCCGGAAAATTGCTTATGATGAAATATTTTAGTTCACACTAAGAGGAAGGCAAATAAATTACGAATGATGCAATAATTCAGTTTACGAGAAAATGAAAAAAACTTGGAAAATAAAAAGAAAAAGTTTGTTTTGACAGATTCGAATCACCTTAATGCGATCTATTTTTACCGCTCTCGACTTATACCGGCTGTGATATGTAATTAGTGAGTTGTAATCGACTTTATGCCCCCAATTTTTTTTGAATCCCAACTGCTTCTAACAAAAATTTGCTGGACCCACTTTGATTCACGGGAGCCAGAGATCCGAATGCGGCTCCGGATCAGGGCTGCCATATTGGCTTTTTAACGCGTGCAACAATAGCAAGCTTTACTACTCAACATTTCGATTTTTGCTTAAACATAACCAATCAAAAATAAGTCAACAATGATGATGCTTTCAAACATGTGATAATCGCCAACACTTCAAAACAATCTCTTCAAAATAAGCATAACAAATATTTTTTTAATAGTAAAATATATTTCAAATCTGTCAAATCATGATACTTTTGTACTTGTTAAAATTGTTGACTTTTTCTGTCTTGATCTGCCTTTTTTCATCACTTGGATCTGACAATCCTACTCAGAAGCCGCAGGTTGCCGATCGCTGATCTACGCCGTATAGATTCTACAGCATCAAGGAAGATTTCCTAGAAGAATATGTAAAGATCGCAACCAAAAGTATTTATTTTTAGATTAGTTGGTCAGCAGGGCGGGCATTGATTCTTGATACTGCATATTCATATTTCCATCCAAACGTTGTCCAGTTTATTTCAAGATATATGATTTTATTGTAATATAAAAATGGTAATCAGAAATGATAATCTGAGTGATACAACTGACATGCTAACGCTATGAAAGTGTGCTGATGTTGAATTCTCAATTATTGGACACGAAGTGGACATAACGATCGTTTCAATAGTATGTTGTTGTTGTTCTTTGACACGTTTTTAAAAAGTCGCTTTTCTCTTCGAATACTGGACCTATTGCTTTGAAATTTTCAGTGGTTGAAGATAAAATTTTTCTCCAGAAGGCTATTACTTTTTTTTTCGCTATGACGTCATCAAAATTATTGCCATTGGGTGGCGCTACGTGTCCATATATTTGAGCATAGCTCTCTTGTTGTATATATGTTCATTGCTTCGTACTTCGTAGTACAACAAAATTGTATTGAATTCCAACTAAACTATCAAATTACTTTCCCACTCCGTTCAAAATCTAACCGCCCACTATAAAACTTCAAGACGTCATTTGTCATAGATAAACTGTATATTTGTGTGAGTAAACTGTAATGTAATAAACACTGCACAAGCCAACCAGAATTAAATAGTAATTAAATTAAGTTCCCGGTGTGAATACACTCTCCTGGAGACTTTTCAGTCAAACAACTTCAACCTCGTGACTGTTCATTGTTTGCATATGATACATAGAAGTGGTGACTTTGGCAATAAAATTCGATGCTTTTTAACAATATACTTTGAAAACTATATTATAGTTTACTATTTCACTTGAGTGGAAGATAGTAATAGTAGCAACACCTCTTCAAATAACAGTGCATTGACGTATGGCGCTAAATGAGCGTCCTTTATATGTCATCAACTTCTTCGGCGGCGAAGTACGTCATTTTTTCCATAACCTCTGTTAATTCAGACATTTTGTCAACGAATAACGTGTCCTCTTCTGCTGAAATAACAACGTTTTCGAGTTCCTGTAAAGCGATTTGAAATTCTTCTGTAACGTCATCGCCTGAAATTTATAAAAGAAAATGGTGATGTACGTCCGTTTAATTGTTAGCATGTTATGTCCGAAGAAATACCCTTCAGAACCCAACAAACAGTAAGGGTTCAAGTCTCCGAGTAACATAGCATTGAACATTATTTTTGATAATTTGATTTCAATATTTCATAACCAATAGGCTATTTCATAACCTAAGTTTTGGACTCCCAGCCTTAGGTTCGAGCTAAGCTCGCTTGAAATGCTCACGACTATTGCTGTGCTCATTGTGTTGTTGTCCATATTATAATTGTTACTTAATCTTAGAAGTTTTTGATTTTATCGTATCTATATGAAAACAAAATGCATGTGTTTTAGATAAATTTCGCGCTTGTTGTGATGTACGACCAAAGTTAACTTTAATTGAAAAAATTTACCTCCCGATGAGCTCAGTATTGTGCGCAGTGGAGATTTTTCTGATGCTGTATGCTTCGTAGGTGTGGCATTTGCAGATACGTCGCCAATTGGAGGAGGAGGAGCAACAAATACAGGGTTACCGTTCATGTCACGCTACAAAAGTAAAAAATAATAATAATTCAAACATCCGCAAATGACTAATTTTTTGTAAATACTGCAAATAAAATTGAACTGAAGAAAATAAAATTAAGGAATCGCAAATAAAACGTCACCCGCGATTTACTACTGAGTCATCTCGAACATAAACTCTAATTTGAACAATTTGGTTCCAAGTGAATACGACACTAAAATACAACTTCAAGCTGAAAGCTTGGTAAAGCCAATGTTCCAAAAAATAGATTTCCTCTCAAATCCCAACAACCCACGTTTTACAGCTTAGTTCGCGGTTCTATACAGCCACCAAGCGATTGTCGTACACAGATGTCCAACTAATAACCTATATATATATCTAAATATTTGACATAAAAGCAATGCAGTGTTGTAGGTAATACCACGATGGGATATCAGCACACATTAAAAAATATCTGTGTTCGTGAAATGACGTTATTCCTTCGAATGAAATCAGCAAGGAAATTTATTAGTTATATTCAACGAGTAGGCTATTGCGCACTAGATTTACTTCACGGGGTCATCATTTTATTGGCCATCTAGATTAGAACATAATTCCAACGAAATTTTTACATCCAAAGTAAAATTATAGACTTGTAATTACCTGTATTATAGGAGTGTAATGTGCAAGCATATTTGACACGGCTTGTAATGTCTTGAGGTTTATATGAAGTCCCGATAAACCTGTGTTAAATTTAAATATTTCAAACAATGTACATATATATATCATAGATTATCGCAAATTATGTGAATTAAAACAAAATAATATAGATGGAATATAATAATGGGTCAATATTTCAAGCATTCTCAACTTTCTCGTATTAAATGGAGTAAGTATTCGATCAAAGATGGGATGTGAAGATTTCCCAAACGGCTAACATCCAGTAAATTTGATATGTAGATCTTTTTAATCAGAAATTTCACGTACGTGCTATCGAGAAAGGAAAATTGAGTCACGTACTATGCTGTTATAACAAAATTTGAATCGAGCAAAAAATAGTGCGTAACAAAATCCAACACGCGTTTGCAGGCCTTTTTTGTTTCAGTAAATAAATTTCGAATCAACTTTTAAGAATTTAAATATATGGCAATATAAGAATGATTGCCCCAATACCGGTAGGAAACTATCTACTTCCGACTCCGAATCCGCATTACCTCACTGTACAGTCAATTTAGTAGTAAATAGAATCTATATCCGACATTCTAATGCTACGTTTTTGGTTTTCCGACTTCATTTCATAAACATTACAAATGAATTACTTACTGCCAGCATCTGCATCTTCGTCGTCGCTATCTAACATAATACACATTCCGTCATCGTCGTCTTCATCATTAGAATCGTCGTCTTCATCGTCAAATCTCTCATCGCCGGATGATGCCGTGAAATATCTGAAATCGTTTATTACATACCGGTGGGTAATTATTAATTAATCAAAAGCCGACGTGAAAAAAATCTGGCAACTACATGTCAGCTGATGCTGTGAAACTGCGCACAAGACGCGTCTTGAATCAGATGACTTCCATGGTCAGAAATTATTGATTTGTTTAGGTAATCAATTGTATTTGTATGGTGTGATAGATTTTAATCGTTTGTAGCCAGGGGCGTATCTAGGGTGTGGCAACCATGGCTCGTGCCACGGGCGCCGTTTGAACAGAGACGCAAAACGGCAAATAGTTTTAATCGTAAAATGTTTGAATAAAATAATTTTAAATAGGAAATAGTCGAAACTCGTATCTTTACTCAAATAATATAACGTACAAGTATATCAATAACAGTCGTTATAGATTACCAACCAACCATGTTGGGGGCGCATTTCTATGCCTTGCCATGGGCGCTATTTATTATACGTAGATACGCCACTGCTTGTAGCAATGTACAGCTAAATAGCATAATTATACCAAAGCAAATGGCAACTACACCTCTCAAGTAACGTTAACAATATTTCGGCCTACTTGTCGTATATCCCTCGTATTAACAGCAAAAAAAATTTCAATCATTTTTGTTTTTAGCATGTGGGGTTCAATTATATATATATAATTCCATTGTCAAAATTCCATTACATTTATTTATATTTTAATATGTAGCTGACACACAGGAAAGTGGTTCGTAGTATTCCCATAACAGAAATGGGTTTCGATCGCCTTGATAAGTCTTGTATTATATAAACAGAGTTTCAAATTACTATTTTGATTACGTGACTCCGTGGAAAAATACCATAGATGCCCAAATGACTGTGTTTTCCACAATGTCAATACCCGATATTGGCCTACCTGTCTGCATCTGATTCTCTTCTGTCTTGTGATAATCCCGGATACAGTGTGTTAATTGACGACGATATTGTTGGAAGTCCGTTGCTATTTCTTGTGGGCGAGTCAACAGTAATTACAGCAATATTTGGAGAACCCACTGGCTTAGAAGGCGATGGTTTGATATGACTGGTTGCCATTATTTGGTGAATTGATAAAATATCTGAATGTGTAGTGACAGATGAATCATAAAATTCACGCAATAGTGGAGAAAAAACGAGACACTCGTCACTTCGTTTGTTAAGCTCTAGCATGGAGAAGTTAATCGCCGAAAAATCCCCGTGGTGATAAAATTTTTATCAAAACTATGAGAAATTGGGGTTACACAAAGGGGCCCAGTAAGTGCGGAGGCAATTTAAATTATATGGAAGCAATAATTATTGTTCAACAGTACACTTTCATAGTAGTCCATCATATTGAATGTCGATAGGATCGGAAGTTGCAGACTAAACTGTTAGCAACCTGAACAATCCAATAACTGCAACATGAATTTAGTTATATACATATTTATAGGTGACCGTACATTTGAACCCATGCGTATATCCACGGGTTCAATCTATATGCGGGTGCTAAAACCCATGGGTTAGGGTTAGTATGGGTTTAACTATCCGTGAAACAAAAAAAATTCCATAGGTGCAATAGCATACAGGTGCAATTGTCATGGGTTCAAATGTACGTGGGTTCAAATGTAATGGAACCAAATATATATTTGTAGTGAATTGATTTTGGGTCTATATAGCTTACCTTTAAATATAGTTTTATCTTAAAAGCATTTTAACTCGGAAGAGCCCGGTGAAACGCTCTGATATATCATGTAGTTACATTCCATTGAATTCGAACTTTAATTTAATCTGCTTTTTAAATAGAACATGAAATTAATATTCTTAGTTTGTTGTTCAGCAGTCTCATGATTCCCATAGGTTTTACTCGAAATGTAAGAAGTGCCCGCAGTTACTACAAAAAACTATTTACCGTGTTTCCCCGAAAATGAGACTGGGTCTTATTTCAATTTTCTTCCGAAAAATAACACTAGGGCTTATTTTCGAGGGATGTCTTATATTTTCACTTATCAAAAACAAAATTACAAAGCAGATAATTAGGAGATTTTCAAAAATACAAAATATGAAAACCGATATTTATTTACTTATAAATAACACGATTTTGTTCAAAATAACTTCAAAACATAGATTATAATAGGGTAGGTCTTATTTTCGGGGAAACACGGTTAGTTAAACAGCTGGCTTAAACGATATTTCTAGGTGATATATTCAGAAGTACATTCAACTTATGGCATGAATATTCTGTTTTGAACTCAGTTTAAAGCTTACACAAAATACACACTATTACAACAAACTAGACCAGAGTGTATGTAGTCAATTTCGAATACAGCTGTTCGTGTCATCACAGCGATTTCTCTGCAGGAAAAAGCATTTGTCATAGGATGAAACTGGCTGACCTCTGCAGCAGAAGAGTTTCCACGAATTGGAGAAGTACTTTTGTAGTGACATTACTATCCCTGTAAATTCTAAACAGCATAAGGCTATCTAGCAGTATTGCTTCACATCAAAATGAAACTTAAATAGGTAAAAATACGTACACAAATTTTGTCGATTGGCAGCAAAATATACACAGCCTATAAATTTACCTTTGGCAATAATGAATACAATACAATCGGCTAATATTGCCAACCGAATGTATACAAAAAAAAATGGCCGAGTCCAAAGTTTCCTTCAATTTTTTAGCATAGATATTTTTCAGAAACACCAAACCTCAAGTATTTACCAAGTACGTGAAGAAAAAGAAGATTTATACCGCTAGTATGTTACACAAATCTATCAATTTCAGATCCTTTCAATACACCTGCCAACAGCTAAAACGTAGCGACTGCTATTAACTGATATTTAGGACGAAGTCCATATGGCTAGGTAAAATAAAAGCTTATGTAGACAAACAAAGACGTTAATTACCGCAATAAAGAGCAATGTAGGGTCATTCGATTTGATTTATGACTTTCAAATTGGACTGCAACGCAAGCTATAAAACACTTTCCGAATCAACTGACCTTTCACAATTCTATTCCTCAACTGAAGGATACCTTACATGCTTACATATCTTGGTTCTTTAGTAATACATGGACAGCATATGAGTGTGGTTCTCAAAATCTCTGTTACATATAAATGAAAATTGAACATCCAAAACACTCTTTTGGTCATATGATACTTCCATATTAGCCTATTACGTCTTCAGTCAGCCTGTGTCGCAAATCGTCTGACAGCAGTCTGATAAGGAATATGTATGTCTTGCTGCTGCTGTGTATATAATAACGTTCTGCTGGCTTTCATTTACGTCATTATAACCTCTTCCGGGTTGCGTTAAGTTTACTTTACAGAAAATGCAAATCAAAATTGTTCTGCTTCTAAGATAACAGCATACTTCTCAAATCATTCTCGTACTATTCAACAATGATATCCTAAATGTTTCAGTACAAGTATATCAGTACAACACGCTCTAAAGGATATAAACCAATGACGTTATTTCCGTTTTTAAAGCCATATTTATGATATTCACATGCACTGAATACTGGCGTTGATGTATCAGCTCCTATTGCTTAGTTGAGTAATGGAAGGCTGGCCGAACATGATTCAACCATGTATTGCGTCCATCGGAGGAAAAATTTCTGCCTGGAAAGTACACTAGTTAAAATAATTGAGCAGCACGGAAAATTTCCAATTATTCACGTGAATACAATTTCTCATTTACAATGCATTGCTAAATGCGAGCAGCTGCAATAGTCTAAGTTTACAACAAGCATCAGATAATTATTGACCTATCCCGAGCACACCCAAGCAGCAAATCAAGTTGCTTGATACTAAGCGCTTCACCCACCGCCGAGGAAAAATCTTGTTTCCGAACTGGCTATTTTAAGTTATACTTAATAGACCCTGAAGTTAATTTAGCTAACTTTGGGTAGCCTAATACATTGGTTGAATGGAATTCGGAAATTCATTCAAAAGTTTGATATGCAGTATGCACTGGCATATGTTGGCAACAATGGTCAACTGTCTATATATTTATTGATTATTCGACACACGTTTAATGACGTAATAGTGTAGGACGCGCCGGAACTGCTTCTACAGTAGCATGATATGATGCATAGTTCGATCTCTCTAGCTAGAATATGTATGAAAACAATCAGATCACTTTGTGTCTCGCTTGAAGAGCTAGTATTCAAGCGTGCTTCCAAGCAAAATAACTTCGTTTTGAAAGTAATAAATATTCACTTACGCCAATGCGTAAGTCATGATCAGTTTCATTTCCATGTGACGCAGGCATTTGAGATGAACTTTATCAATTGTACTCTCCGCCCTACAGAGCGCACTTGCTGCCACCTAGCGACAAATACTCAAGGTTAAATGGCTTTGCCATATTAATAAAGAGATGATACCAGACAAGATTCACATATCCTGTGAAAGAAGAAAGTCGATAGGACGTATTAATCGTGTGCTACGAATGGGAAACGAAAGTAGCTAACCAAAAACCGTTTTATATGCAAGCCATTCAACGCTGGACCGAACTGCAGTCGACCAGCGGATACGATAGGCAATCCACCATTCATCCCAAGCATGATCATCCCAGTAATAGTTGAATCTGCAGGCTAATCTGCGGAGCGATGGCAGTCGTGTTCCTAACACATAGCACCAAACTGAGCGATACTGAACTTGGTAACCCAAACACTTGACAACACAACCAAATATTTGCAAGCTTCAATTTTATTCACTTTCACCTATATGATTACTACATGAAACCCTGCATGTTCTAATTTTCCTCGCAGTAGCTCAGCTCTGATTTGAGGCCTATGTATTGTAGCAATTAGTGACATCTTTGTTTGGAAAGAATATGGTTCAGAGTTCGGGAGTTATGGCAAAAGTGGTAATTTGGAGATTAGGTTTTCTGCGAAAGACGCCTATTCCGTTGTGTCGAATCGTAGCATTTATTCTGTATGTGCGGGGTAATTGTCTTCGCAAAATATTGTCGTGTTTTTTATGCGACCAATTTATCCAAATTATAATTCTAAGTTCATGTAGATGATCTTAGTTATTTTTATTACTCACAAGTTACCGGCACATTGACAATATAAAAACAGTTGGGAACATCATAATAAATACTGCGCATAAAAAGTTCATGAGGTATCATTTATTGGCCCAGCGAATGTGTTCGAATTTAACTTGGCAAGATTTAAAAAGTTCGGAAAAGTGTTGTTTTTGGGAAGTGAATCGCAATATTTTTTCCACGTTAAAAATACACTGGAAAGAACGCTCGCTTGTTTATGAAACTCAGCGACATTGTTAGCTGTGTTTAAATGTTGCGGTCTGTTCTCTCCTATTGCTTTGAGTAAGAGAGAAAATGCCCCAACGTCCGGGAACACAGGCGTAGTGGAGCCAAAATTCGGGGCTACCTGCCTGTTGAAAAACGGTTGCAAGTTTGTCAGAGGAAACGATGGTATGTTTTTGGCTTGCTCTGCTGCTGTATGTGACTGTACATCTTGGATTTTCAGTGTATCATCTACAGATTTCCCTGTATGTTTCCGATTCCGCCGTTTCTCTAGTCGTGCCTTTTCACGCTTTTCAATTTCCAGTGGGTCCATGGGTTCTCCTGTGATATGTGAGAGATTCAATTATTTTCCCGTTATATTAGAAACCGTGCTGCACCACGTCGCAGGAAAAAAATAATTACCGTCCAGCTTTTAAGATCGGTTTGGCTTACTTGTAACGTTTAGTATAATTAGTAATTAATAATAAGGACCGAATACAAGAAAATATAGACGGGCTACTGTATATAAATACAAAATACTGTATATAAATATTTTGCTAGCCATGGAGTGGCATGCGAGTCGTTTTAAAGTGTATTTTTATGTTATTGTTGGGACAAAACAAAATTGATGTTTCGCCGACTACTGAAATCAGATCTTAAATTGATTAAAGGTAGGATTCTTACATAGGCTACACGGCTATTACTTTTATTTGCTATCAAATTCTCAAGTTTTCAATTAGCACGTCGTTATCAAAATATTCGGCAAATTGTATAGAAAATTAAATCCAAGTACAAACCTGAGCAAGTCGTTGGTTTTGCATTGTGGGGAGGCCTCCCGGGCCCCTTCTTCGTGTTTTCACTTTTTCGCCACTTAGCTCGTCTGTTTTGAAACCACACCTGGCAATCAACATAAATTGTTACTTTGTTTGCTGTACTTACAATTCTCAAAAAAATGTAAATAGAAATACTCATTCCATTGTTTTAACTGTACAAAATGGTATTAGCTAAACGCATTCAACTTCATAATGTTTTTTGTGCCAGTTTATTAAAAAAACATCTCGTTACAAGTAAGTGAATATTATACCTGTACACGAGATTCCATCAAATCAAGACGATGAGCAATTGCTTCTCTGACATAAATATCCGGATAATGAGACGTTTTGAATGATTTTTCTAATTCTTCGAGTTGCCAACTATTAAAATTAGTTCTGATTCTACGTCTCTTACTTTGGTTCCAGAAACTCTCTTGGTGTTCTACAAAATTTAAAATTAATTTCAATAAAACGTTAACAATAAGTGAAATAAAATTTCAAAATATACACAGACAACTTTCAATAAAAGTTCTTACCTTGCGAACTCTGAGATACAATTGGCAATACTTTCATCATTGTATTGTTTCTGAATCCGTTGAACAGTTCATTCAACTAAAATATAAAAGATCTTTTTATTAGCTCAGTTCACAAAAAAGTTCAAACACAATATTCTATGATATAGGTTATGACATAAATTACCAAATTATTTTTTAAATATTGTTCGTTTTAGGATAAATTGATTGTTTTCTATAAGTACTTCTGCTTGTGTCATGGGCCTTTCAGTACTTTTTATCTAGACTTGAGAAGTAAAAATTGCTTGAATGATACGAAGTAAATTGAATTTCTAGATGATGTAGTTCTATATAGCTAAAGAATCTAGGATTAAAATTAATAGCAAATTTATTTTTTGCTTACCTTCGAATTAGGATTTACCGGTAGAGTTTGAGGTAGAAAAACAGGAAGCATAGGCGGGGATATAGTTTGCCGTAACGGGGTTGATTTTTCTCGGTTGTTTAATATTTCATCTATATAAAAACTAGCATGATGTCGAACTTCATTTTCCACTTTTGTTGTTTCTCCAAAATCACTTTTGCAATTTTCAATCGATCCGACTGACAATTTACGGGACATACTGATTTATAACTACTTTTTATTAAAAAAATCTCAACTCAGCTGTATTCCAACTAGGATTGCGTGTGAAAGCGATAACTTGCTAAGATCTATCTTCTTATATAAGTATCGACAACCGATGCGTAAAAAGAGATATCGACTTGTTATATTTACTTAATCCGGTATTTTGTCGCCGCCGCACTTTGATTTTTAAATCTTATTTCCACGCGTCCTGAATTTATTATCGATATATGCATAAATAAATAATATTATTATAATTGCTAATCAAGACAAGTTTTACACTCAATATTAATCCAGTTGTTGTATATTGGAACAATATTCTTTGTTATAAACGAAAACAGAAGTCGAATAAAATTTTTATGAGGAAGGAAACAGTAAACTGGGAGAGTTTATAATTTGGGTAAATGTTTGCCAGCGAAGTACTCAAGACGTTTAACTTATACTTATTAATTTAACGCATTATCTTTCATTATAAATGTGTAAATTAAAGCAAAATAATAGGCGGCTTAAGAAGAAGACTTCAGATATGTTTATGTTTTCGAGTGCGAGAAAACATGAATCGTTTAAAAATTTATTTTTATTTTTACGACAGCAACATCGCGTTATATTTACATGGATTCCAAATACTAAAATAAAGATACAATTACTTCATTTCACGAAACTTTCAAATAGACTATGAGAAAAAAAACATAATACACCGTTTTCGAATTACTTCACAATTAATGTTTGTCAGAGTGTAACACCCACCTACTCTTTTTCCTTTGTGGGGGGGGGGGGGGGGGGTTGCTGTTTCTAAACGGATTGTGCTCTAGCTCGTAACCCTTCGTGGTAGTGAAAAGAAAATTGTTGAACATGATCAACACAGTCGTGTATTTAAATAGGAATATCGTTTTAATTACTATTAATTTAATTTAAAGCAACATAATTTTGTAAACAAAATTCTAATTGTCAATTTTTCATTGTGGTTTCGGTTTGAATTTGACATCACTTACAACTGACTAAATAATTCTTTGTTTACGAATATTTTTATGAAGTTAGTAGTGCATTCAGGATTAAAAAACAAAACATTGAAAAAATAATCAAAGTGATGGAAGACAGACAATAAATGAAAATAAAGAAAACATAACAAACTTCACGAATTTATTATTACACAAAAAAACATTATTATATGTAGAGTAATCTTTTACAAATTGTTACTTACTAAGATATCGTGTAACGTGGGGGAAAGAATCATGTTTCCCATGGATTTAAAATATTGAAACCCATAATTTAATCTTTTGGTAATTTCCGGGGATCCAAAAATGTTATATTTTTCATAAAAAGATTTTTGAAAAAACATGACAACGTTGCGTGTATACCTTGTCGCGGGTTATTGTCAACAAATAATTCGATTGTGGGAACGCTCAGATTCAGTACTAAATTAGGGGTTATGCCCAATCCGTGTAACTAAACGGAATATGTCGGGGGATTTGTAGATGATTGTAAGTACCCCTTCGTACAAAGTGATTTTTAAGCCTTTGGATTGAGTTAAATTACACTTTAGTGCGATCGACATTATTTAAATCATTTTTCATCTTTTTGAACATGGTTCATAGATAAATCGGAATTACTCGAGGTATAATAATTTCCAAGGTGGTCAATTTTAACTTTAAATTTTAAGATCAATCTAATAAACGTGCTTTTATTATGTTAGACCAGCACAATAATATGGAATACAAAGTGTGGGAATACAGTATGTATAACAGTAAAAAATGAAGTTAGATAAATTTATTTTCAAAAAAGTGTCCATACAATACGCTGAACTTTACAATAAAAACATGATGACAAAGTGGAGAATAAAATAAGGATACTTGAAAATCACATACACGTAGTACAACAGTTCAGTAGAAGAAACTGGGACACCATAACATTGAGAAAGCGAAATTAATTTAAATGTATATATATGCAATTTGGTTTCGCTATCTAGGAATCGTCACAATCTTTGACAGTTTTGATTTCATTGTCATTATGTAGTTATAGCTATACCTTAAATGTGTTTCCCTTTTCGGAGTTGTCATAAAGTGTTTTCAAATTATTCCTGAGCTTAATTTGATATATCAAGTCAATTTTTCATAAGGCGAGAATTATTATTCCTTCCAGATAGTCTCTTAAGTGCCGTGGAAATTGAAATCGATTGTTGTCAAATATAAGATGGAATTAATCGACAACCGTCCAGAAATTATTCATAACCGAAATTGACACAATTAAGGGTCGAAATTCATCAATTTCAATTCATATTTTAAAGGAAATTATAATTAAATGCATGCGATTCTTCTTATCATTTCTTTGTTTAATTCATTTTACCAGAAGTCCCTGAAGGAGCTCGCTTTAATTGACAATTACATGGCCAATAAATTATGCAACTAAAGCGACTATCGCCATATGCGAAAATAATCTTCAATTATAACGCGCATATTTATGAACAGACGTTGCTTGTTGGCCATACTTGACGCAGTATAAAAGGTAGATATCGTTTATAAATACACATATATGTGTCACAGTCATTTGATTAGTAGCATGTATAATAAAACAGTGTAAAGATTTTCATTTTAATCTCATCATTTGTCATATGTGCATTAAAAATATCAAATTCTGTAAAGGCTAAAAAGTTTCTACTCGTTCTCTGGAGTAGTTGTTATTTAAATACACAAAGTGAGTAATTGCAAAATTTGACGTACTTGATTAACTAGTTTAGTAAGATTACGAATTTTAAGATTTGTAGAATTATTAAAATGCGTTACGAACTTATCGTTTCAGTGCGCTCGTATTGCATATAGATATTTTAAATTTAAAAGCTCGGATTCGTTCTACAGAGAAAAAAATCGATCGAGAACCGGCGGATAGCAAACCATTTTCACAGCAATATTGCCGACAATATTAGTTTTTTTATCAGCACCACTTCCAAGCAGAAGTGATGAATATTTTTTTACATCAAATGTAATAAAATTCAATTTTGTTTTTTTGTAAATAAAAACACTGATTTACTTATTACGTAAAATTCGATATGCAAGACATAAAAAGTAAAGGAGAATATAAACATTATGAATGTTATACGGAATCTATATTCAAATATTGCCATTATTATGTATATTTTGTTATTTGTCATTTCCTATGAACATAAAAGTTATGTTCCAAAATGTAATAGTGAGTAGTGACTATCAGTTTCTCAACACGCTGAATGAATATTTCACGTTTGAAAAGTTAAAAAATTTAAATAGGTCAAATAATTGAATTTGTTTAGATTTGAAAAAAAAATATTTAAATCAGAGGTCGGCAAACTTTATGTACTTGCGGGCTAAATATATACATTTCCGGTAGCGCGCGGGACGCAATATTTCCGCCTTCGAACAATCGCCATATTTAACTTCAAATTATGGCGCATTCGCACGTTCTATTGCTGCGTTAAAAGACTGTCACAACGAGATGTGTATGTGACCTTTTTCAATATATTATTCAACAATACATTGTTTTTATTTACTCATTATCAATGAGAAAGATGATGTTTTTATGTCAACTTGCCCGCGTTACGTCGTCCAAATGACGATCTAACAAGCGAGTACGAAATTTATTCTAAGAGCAATGCATTTTAGATAAGGCTGCTTGCTCACAGCAATATTTGCTTCCGAACGTGCACTTTTGCACTGTCGCACAGATGAACTGTGGCGCAGTCCCGGGTCTCGGGGTCGAATTTTCGATGACACGTTTCGTAACGAGTTTAACATTGAATCCCTTAATAACTTCGATGCTGACTGGGCATATCGAGCAAACTAAATTATTTTTCCGTTCAAGCACTTTGGAATGTTCGACCCTCGTAGCGAACTTCCCTCCGTTTCCCAGACATTTTTATTATTGGAAATCAAAATTAACTCGAACGACATACAAATGATTCTACTTATTACAAAACAAGCACCGTACAGCAGCACTTGTTACCACATAAATCGGTGTAGAGACAATAATAAATTTAGGATTAATTTTTGTTTTATGTATTGAATCGGGTCGTCCAAGGGCCGCAACAAATTAGCTCGCGGGCCGCAGTTTGCCGACTTCCGATTTAAATTAATTAAAAGTTTTTATTCTTATAATCGAAGAATTGGTATAAATTGTAACCATATCCAGATTGCTGTTTATATCAAATACTCAAATATTTGAAAAAATGGAATGATTATTACTTATCGATTTTAATCGGTAAGTATGTTGTTAGGTATTTGTCTGTCTGTCTGTTAGAAGCACGCGATATCTCACGAATACGAGATCGAATCGGCTACAGATTTTGCATTTGCATTCATTCATCATATGTCGTACCAGAAGCCTATTGAAGCGAGGTATTAATTAATTAGTGATGGGTTACAAGGTGTCACTATGGAGTAAGAGCGCTGTTTACGGGGATCCCTTAACTTTCGATCGATAAGTCTTCGGTCCCTGACCGATATTCTCGTTTTATTTCTCGGTAATGTTTTATTTACCAGTAATTGGGCCATGCCCCCCATCCACGCGACTAGAAACGTATAACATGATGTCGGGTTTTTTGGTTTCATGACCTTTTATCCCTAGCCTTGATTTTCTTGAATTGTTTTTACATCCAAATTATTATCCAATATACTCAGGTGATTACCTAGCTCTAGCGTATCGTGCATGTACCTGAACTTCCGTATTTCAAGCAATTTTAAAATTTACTTGTGGCGTCATAATACATTCACATGTCAGTGGAAGGCCTATTATGACGTCGCGATATATTTTAGAATTTAGAGAGTAATTAAAACGTCACTTTAAGGGGGCCTCACGAAATTTCTTTCATGCTCAATCAAAAATTGAATAACTATCTATTCAATATGAATATTCAATTGAATATGAAAAGTTTTAAAAAGGGAATTAAGAGGTAATTTGTTTTACTGATTACATCGAGCAGAGCGAAGAGATGTGAAGACGAATTCCAGCGCTCGAATTAGAAACTTGTTTCCTTTGTGTCATGATTTAGGTGTATTCGGTTGGATCTGTTTACCGATTGGCACTTTTTTGCTTGGTTTTCCACCATTAGAAATGAAATTCGTGTCCTTTTCTTATTACGATGAAAGAGTTTTTATATACCAATTCACGTTTTCTCAGATTTTTTTTGTGTGTTTATTGTTTTGTGGTGCAGATTGTTCGGGTTATACAAATTCGATTAAATTAAACAAATACTGTATCTCAGAGTTGATGCTGACATCTGATGACCAAATATCTAGGATTGTATATAGCATAAGGATAGGGGCGCCACAAAAGAGTTGATATAAACAAATTGAGTATATCAATGAACGATGGAGAAGTGATATCGCAGACACAATACCACCGCTAGTTCAAATTCTCCCTTCATAACAAAAAAATGGGCACTGGCTACGCTCTTGCATGTCACTACAAGTATTCAAGATTTTAATTAATGAGACTAATTCTAAACAAGTTTTGCGCTGCGGTACATATTTACGGAGGCTAACTTTTCCTATCACCACAAGCCTAGTCGTTGCAATAAAACAATATTCAGTTCAACTCAACGACTAACATACCGGTTCAACTATTGCATAAATCAAGATGGGTTTTTAATCTGTCTTCTACAGAATTTGTCACCATATTGGAACGCTAGAGAATGCGAACAAATTTTCGGGGCGTCTTGACTTCTACACCAAGCCCCTATTATAGTCCTAACAAGTATGCGGGGAATCAAAACTCGGCCTAATTTTTGATCAGCATTTGTACTAGTGTCATGTCTTATAACATACATTAATGCCTTTATTAGTGCTTTTTTTATTAAGCATGAACCCATACTGGAACCCAACCAGCTATAAAATAAAAACTGCCACTCTTGTCGTTACCAAACTCCCAGCAATTGACACCGTATCAAAGCTCTTGGCGCTTCCACAGAATCCCTTCCTCCGAGATGCTATTCGTGGATCCGCATTTACATTCGCGATTTTGATCAGCATGACTTTGTACTTGTTCCCTGTCTGTAACAGTGACTCACAGCCTTTTTTTTCAAGCGACCCCAATTTAAAAATTTATGGTCGCAAAATTACATAACTAATATGAAACAATCATTTTCACCCAACATTTAATCATCCCAGAAATGAGAAAGGTGGGTTTGTCAGCCATGAGCATGCAAAATAGATGCCGCCAGGTTTTTACGTGATGCTTCCTACATATATATTGAGCTTCAATACCAAATAAATAATTAACAAACAAATTACTATAGAAATCAGTATCTTAAAAAATAAAGCAACCCGAGTGGATTTTTACTATCTTATAACATCCGCTAATGCATTTATTCATTCTAATTGTCAATTATTCATAAGCATACTGAAAAACGACTAACTGTGACTATGACTTTTATCTGGAATCCAGATAGTCTATTTGGTTATTTATAGACTCCCTACACCCCAAAAAGTGAAGACTTGGTAGCTGGAAGAAAAATTATTGGACAGGTTGCCGAGCGATCGCTTTGGTTTTTGTGTTTACGGTCCTTCGTGTTTCGACTCTCCTAAATTTGTCTACATGGCTCTCCATAAAGGTTACAATGCGCTACTAAAGCTCGGAAAGATACAGGTATGTTAGTCGTTGGTGTAAACTTAGGAAACCCATAGTTCCGTGACTCATGTCTGCATGTAGCCATTTCTTATTTCTTGTAGGCCTAGTTGTAAATTTGCAGATTTGGTTAGGTCAATTTCGAACTGTAGACTACTGTTGTAGGTATATTTGGGACCTTACTGCAGTACAGCCTTATTTGTTTCCCATCTCGATTCGGTAATCATTATTTTTTATAACATTAGATTATTTGATAACCTGTTTTATTGTTTATAAATCACAGAAATAAAAATATAGTTACTAAACATATACTCATTGTCACAATATACTTTGTTACTCACTCATTTTTTTGCAAACATCGAGTCATTTTAACGAAAAAGTTGTGGTTCGAAGATAATTTAGTGCAAGTCTTTAAAATAACAAAAAAATTTCTGTGCAAATTACCAGAACTAGAATTACTGCAGAACTAGATTAAACTTGTATTCAAACATCGAAAATTTACTTGATGAGCAATAATTTAAAATATGCCATCATGATGCGAAATTGAATGTTGTCAATACACGATTAAACCTTAGTGTGACTTTCTATTTGATGTTGGTTTAACGTGAGATGTAACTCATAATATCGATATGACTCGTATTTATCAGCTTACTGCAGTACTGTTCATAATGAAATTTTAGACTTGACTTGTGGATAAGAACATAAGCGACTCTAATCAAATTTGTAGCTACGCAGTTTACTGGTTCGATTCTGTTTGGGACTCGTATTTTAGAATTTGTGGAGACTCCCGACTTAACTTGATATTTCGATGTCTGGTTTTGACTCTCAACTATGGCTTTAGGGCGGGGTGCCTGCGGGGTGGCAACAATGCTAGGCGAAAAACTTTTCACTTGACAAGAAAACTCTAAAATCTTTAAAATCTACCAGCTAAATTAACACTATAAATACCACTGGAATGATAAACAAAGAGCCATAAGTGCTGAAAGCCTTCAGAAAGTTTGAGAATCTCTGCTATACAGCCATTGTCTGTTTGTAGCCTATAAGTCAGTCTGAAGTCAGGTGCAGCATAGGAATTGTTTTTGTAAAAACAGGTCTAAATATTTATAAATTTGTGTACACTATGTTGGTTACCATTGCACTTACAACTCGATCCAGAGCTTAGGGAATTTATTTGATGACTGGTGGGTTCAAAAGAAATATATTTATATTTCCAGCAAGGAATATTTTGCTGTTCTCACCGCTATGCAAGTGAAGCAACCTTATCAGTCAAACCATTCGACCTACACAAACTTGAGACTGGTCCTTCCACAGAAGCACATATCACTAGGGATGATGCCTTGAAATATTATAAGTTAGTAGAGAGTTAAATGTACATTAATGATAAAACATTTATAAATGTATTCAAAGAAAAATTATAAAGGCTTCCTGTACCATTAAGTTCATGCATCGGAAAACAAAATACTGGCTAATCCCACACCTGTCATGGACTGGTAATTGCACCAGAGACCAGGGTTTGCCATGTGATTAGGCCATCTTATCGACTTTCCCCCCTCGTCTGGATAAATATTTGAATCCTATCTCACCTCTTCTTAATTTGAACTACCGTATTTCTTGTGACACACAAAAATATGGCCTCTCTTGAAACTTCACACAATGCTTATTTGTTGTATGGTAGACTTATTAGGATTTTATGAATTTGGTTTTTGATAATGTTTTAACATTTTCATTACTGTTGAATTAATAAGCAAATTTTTTTCTTCTTTTCATTAAACTCTCTATTTTTTTAATTCAGACAAATGCAAACTATACGGCGCATGGAACTTAAAGCTGATCAATTGTATAAGCAAAAAGTCATTCGTGGATTCTGTCATTTATATGATGGCCAGGTATCAAACATTATATCAGGCACTAAGACATATAATATAATATTGTTGTAGATCTGAGAAGTTCATTGTACTCAGATTCGTGTCAGTAACTTGAATTGGATTTTGAGTCAACTCCTCAACTCGAACTTGGCTTACCACCAGAGAGAGACTTACTTTTAGATTCAAAAGAGTTTTTTGCAAGTCTTTGAAATAGATAAAAAAGACTAATCTAATAAATTAGTAAGACCAGAGCAGTAAAATTTGAATTGTGTGTAAAACTTCCAATTTAAAGCCAATACAGCTTTTAAAAATGAAGTTCCAATGGTTTAGTGGTTTACGAGGAACAATGGATTCATCATCATGCGGGGGTATTTCTGGTGGATCTTACAGAAAATATTCAAGTGATTATCACTCACGCATCTAGACTGAATTGGTGTTCTTTTTTATACGACACTTGTTTATGTCTTTCACTCCAAACAAGGCCTTATACAAGCAGTCACTGATTTGTAAGGAGCTTCTATTATTTGAACGAACTGAATTTTTTCGTTTCGGCATTGCCTACCCAATTTCTTACACCCTGGTGTGGGATTTGAACCTGACCCGAGCTGTGCAATGTGCGATATCGAAGCACTTTTCTCATTCTTTAATTGCTTGACCATTGCTGTCCTCCTAATAGACATTTCCTTGCTATGGATGGCATATTTGTTTTCACATACGGTAGTAGTGGGTTCATTCCTTTGACCTGTAAAAATTTGTTCCCTATTTATCCAGGAAGCATGCTGTGTTGGAATTGAAAGCGCAATAAAGCCAACCGATGACGTTATAACAGCCTATCGTGCTCATGGCTGGGTGCATGTTCGAGGAATCTCAGTATCTCAAGTCCTTGCTGAACTATTCGGTATGGATATATTCTGTTTCTATATTCTTCAAGGTGTTACTTGGAAGTGATGTGAATAATAATAAAAGAGTTGCAACTGAATACATGAACTGATGGATTAAAATCTATCGTTATAGTTAAATATTTCCATTTCTGGACTTCTGGTTATTTTAATTTTCGATAATTTTTATAGGGAGAAGACATGGTTGTGCGAAGGGAAAAGGTGGATCTATGCACATGTATAACTATAACTTTTATGGCGGAAATGGAATTGTCGGTGCACAGGTAAGAAAAGACATTTTACTTTAATTGAGAGTATTCAAACTCTAACAAATTGATTAAAATGTTTTAGGTACCTCTTGGTGCTGGTATTGCACTTGCTCACAAATATAAAGAAGATGGTGGGATTTGTGTAACATGTTATGGTGATGGTGCAGCCAATCAGGTGGGTAAATGATGCTTTTATTACATGAGTAAATAAGGTTGAAATGAGCAGGATGATCCAAAAACAAAACTCGGGTCAATTGGAACATATTCTAATCTAGATAGAACTTTTGTGTAAAGCATCCCAGAAAACTGAAACTTTTGGATACAAGCATACACAAACAGAAGTTTGAGTTGTAAATAAATTTTCCCAATTGTCGTAGAAGTAATTAAGAAGTTTATGTGTTTTGTTTTTGTTGGGTCACCCTGAAAGATGCGTTCAAACTTTGTGAAATAATAATCCTGGTTAAGTGGTTAAGTGGTCAGATAGCAGGCCCAGCTGGCCTTTAGTCAACTGTACAACATCAATGATATATAGCAGATTGTAGTAGTAGTAAATGTAATTCTATTTTCGGCTATTTGTATCAGATCTTCATAATTTTTACTTTTATTTTCTAGTTACTTCTTATATTAATGCACAGTTTGTTTACCTTAGTTCAGGGGTTCTCAACCTGGGGTTCGCGAACCTCCAGGGGTTCACGAGAAGATTTTCGGGGGTACTTGAATGACAGTCGAGCTTTTGTATGTTGCTATTTTTTTAGTATCCTTCATTACTACTAGAGCAGTGATTCCCAACCTGTGGTACGCGTACCACTAGTGGTACGCGAAGGTCTTCCAGGGGGTACGCGAGCACATTCTGTTTTTTTTTTTTCAATCGACGATAGTTCTTAATTAAGTTCTTGCGGTGCTTTTTTGAAGGCGTCGTGGTAAGGGACGTATTTTTTACTTCTAGTCATTGTGACGTCATAGAATGTCTAAATGCATGTGCGCGTCGCGAGCGCTGGATGGTACTGGTAACACACTACGAGCTAGTCTAACGTGGTAGTTTGTTTAATAAGGAAGGTTTGTCACTGACAAATTTTCATTTACTATTGCGATAAATAGTATTTTTCATTTGACTTTATACCATGCCCAAGAGAAATTACGATCCAGATTATTTAAAATACGGTTTCATCACGATCGAACACAAAGGAGAAGTTCTACCGCAATGCGTGGTCTGCATGAAGACCCTTTCCAACGCGTCCATGAAACCCAGCCTGCTTCCACGTCATCTTAGAACGAGCCACGCTGATAGGAAGAATCGAGATCAGAGCTACTTCCGGCGACTTGCGGAGCAAATGAAGCGGCAGCGTTTGGACAGAACTGGCTTATTCCACCAGAAGGGGACAGAGATTGTCAAAGCGTCGTATGAAGTCGCTTTCTTGGTGGCTAAAAGCATGACAGCTTATACCATTGCAGAGTCTCTCATAATGCCGGCGGCAAAGATTTTGGTCAGACGTGTGATGGGAGAGGAGTCCGTGGCAAAGTTGGACAGTGTGTCCCTCTCTAACAATACTGTAAAGCGCCGTATCGAGGAGATATCAGTTGGCATAGCCGATCAAGTTACTGCGGGAGTAAGAGCTTCAAAATTTGGGTTTGCAATACAGGTCGACGAATCTACAGATGTTTCGAACTGCAGTCAACTGCAGTAATCGGATGCACGACAGATGGGGCTCCGTCCATGCTTGGTCGAAAGTCTGGGTTTCAAGCCCATGTGAAAGCCGTATCACCAAACGTCACCGGTGTACACTGTTTTATACACAGATTCGCCCTTAGCGCCAAGATACTTCCACCGAAGTTGTTATCGTGCTTGAACCGAATTATTAAAATTGTAAATTTTGTTAAAGCGTCAGCTCTAAATAGTCGCCTGTTTAAGCTGATCTGTGAAGATCTCGGTTCCGATCACACTTGTCTTCTCTATCACACAGAAGTGCGCTGGCTCTCCAGGGGAAATACAACAAAACGTCTTTTTCAATTGAGGAATGAACTACTCGTGTTTTTACGGGAGAAAGATCACAAGTTTCAGAAATATCTGGAGGATGAGGGATTTGTCATAAGATTGGCTTACTTGGCAGACATTTTTGAAACCATCAACCGTTTAAATTTGTCATTTCAAAGACCAAGCTGTACTATCGTAGAGTTCATTTCAAAACTGAGAGCGTTTGTCCGGAAGTTGGAGCTCTGAAAAAATAACGTAGAAAGCAAGCAATATGGAATGTTTACATCCTTGACAACCCTTCCCAGCGCGCCCAATGATGAAGTCTCCCACGAAATCGTTGATCACCTGTCACTGCTCAATGCCGAATTGAGGCATTACTGTTCCGGATGTGCCTACATAACCGATCCATTTTCTATTGATCCAGCCGACCTGCCTGTCCGGGACTGGGGAGCAAGAGGAGCTCATAGATATCCAGACTGCAAAGACGAAACACAAAGAATGTTCTCCAATCAACATCTGGCTTAGCATGGCTTCCTCATATGTGACGCTTGCTTTTCGCGCTATTCCCCAGCTGTTAATTTTTCCTTCGACGTGGGAGTGCGAGCAAGGGTTTTCATTCCTTATGACTATCAAATCTAAGAAACGAAACAGACTCCTTGAGCCAATGCATGACTTCCGATTAGCTGTGAGCAAATGTATGCTACGCATCGACCAGCTCGTGGAAAATAAATAAATGCAGCCATCGCATTGAATGAATTGATTGTTTTTATTTAATTATGTTATTCTTCTTTTGAATAGTGGCGGAAAAACAATAACATGCACCACATCAATCTTGGCTGATGCGGCCTAGTTTAATAGAATTTGTTGTTACACTTTGCATGAATCAAATACGTTATTATGACGTCACAAACGGTGAGAGATAGCTTTTCGCGCGCATTATTTTTGTAGGTGGTACGCGAGCACTGCACTAAATCCCGAAATGGTACGTGGGCGGATAAAGGTTGGGAAACACTGTACTAGAGGAAAATGCCCATTGAAACTAGACGTCAATTGAAACGTAGATTTTCCCTGATCTTGCGTTGTTGTGATTGTGACACAACAATGTGAAATTCAAGGCTTTAGGTACAAACTGTGAAATCTCTAAAGACAGCATGCTGCGAGCATTGGAGAAGTTATCATGCTTATTGAAACTTGGGAGAGATTTTAAGACTTCATTAGTTAGGCAAACGATAAGGGCAATAATATCAGCAAGATGATTTAATTTAGTTAGATATGGTCAATGAATTGGTGTTGCAACAAATTGTTAGTCAATATATCACAATTTTGTTCAGTGTCTGATTACCGGGGGTTCGCGTTGATTGTTTCGTGACTCGGGGGGTACTTAACAGAAAAAAGGTTGAGAACCCCTGCCTTAGTTGATTATGTTTAGGCAATGTTTTTTATTTATTTTAGGGTCAAGTGTTTGAAGCTTTCAATATGTCAAAATTATGGAATCTCCCTGTAATATATGTCTGTGAAAATAACAAGTATGTATGGAGATTTAACTGATAATTTTATACCTGCAAACTATCATATTCAAATAATGGTGTTCTTATAATATGGTATTTTTAAAAGTGGAACAGTGATTACTGATCTATATATAATGCAAAGTTCTCAAGCTCAACTAGTTATTATCAGTTGGGTCACGTGAAACACTAGCCTATCTACCTTTCCTTGCCTATGCAAGCAGTTGTTTGACCATACTCAAAAACTGTGAATAAAAGCTTGGCTATCATGTAAAAATTCATATAATATTCATTATTCTGAATTTCTCAATATGGTTTTTCCAACTACTTTCCACTTATACTTTGTTTAATGTAGGTACGGGATGGGAACGGCTGTGGAGAGAGCAAGCGCAAGTACCGAATACTACACAAGAGGAGATTACGTGCCTGGTATTAAGGTGGATGGAATGGATATTTTAGCAGTCAGAGAAGCAACTAAATTTGCCAGAGAATACGCAGTCGAAAACGTATGTACTTTGGGGGTTTCGGTTATGCAAGTATATTGGGACATTATAATATTGTAAATGATTTTATTACACAACAGAGCATAACCATTACTGGTTATGAATAATAGACTGTGGGAATCTAATCTAAGTCGATTTTTTTTTGTGGATTAAACACAAAATTACATTCTGAGGTGGTTGGTTTGTTGTGTGTGTGTACTATAGTCTATGTCAGTGGTTTCCAACCTTTTATTTCAAGCGACCCAAATTTTTTGAAAAGTAATTTTTGCAACCTTTCATATATTAGCACAATTAAATTACTGATATGAACATTCCTTTTTACTGAAAACGCTGTGATTGTTTGCCACAAGCGAGTTATCGAAATTGTGGCATGGCCATACTGAAAATAGATGTTGTCATGTTCTTACTTTTTAATGCTTGCCACATATACAATCACTATTGAACAACACTTCAATGTAACTATAGAATAAACAATTGAAATTTACCAAAAAATGAAATCAGTGACTTTAATTATGTTGATAAAACAAGCGACCCAAGAAAATTTTTAAAGTGACCCAGTTTTGGGTTGCGACCCAAAGGTTGGTTGGAAAAAACTGGTCTATGTAATGTCATGGGTGCATTCAGGTGTTTACTGGTTTATTGATTTTTATCTCTTGGGTTCACAGGGTCCTATATTAATGGAACTGGCAACATACAGATATCACGGACACAGTATGAGTGACCCAGGAACGAGGTATGTGAATAAAACTATGGCACTTTGGTTGAAGATATAGATTAGTGGTGATGGATGTCCCCAATGTCTTCAAGGCCGATGATCTCGAAATATAGTAACAGTATAAGTATGGTTAGTATTACTCAACTGCAAAATTTTAAGTTTCCCGCGCTCCAGAAGTGAGTGTACCAATATGGAGGCAACTAATTTTGTTCGCCTACTTTTCATCAAGTTGTGTAAAGGAACTGATTACTATGGGCAAGTGGTATATTCACTTGGCTAACACAGACAGTCTCTAAACTCATAATAGAACTAAAATGAGGAAAATCGGAATGAAATTTTGTAAAGTTGCAGGTTGTGCAAAGGAACTGATTACTATGGGCAATTGGTATAACACAGACAGTCTCTGAACTCATGATAGAACTAAAATAAGGAAAATCTGAATGAAATTATGGCCTAATCTTAACCTGGTACACACACTACGGCAGTAACCAGTTTTCTCCCGTATATCCCATTTGCCCAAGATTTTTTTTAGCCGTAGGCTTGGTGTATAGTGCTTAACGTGTCGCAAAATATCAAATCAAGGTATTTTTTATCTGAAATATAAAATTTTGCTCAAGTTCTTTTAAATTTATGCAACCCAGTTCATGTCAAATCTTCCTCACCGAAGATGGAGATCATCATACATACCAAGATAAATTGCATCACATTTTTGTTAATAAATAATTATATGTTTATATAATCAAGGAATATACTGGTTTTTAGTTATCGAACAAGAGATGAAGTAAAAGAAGTTCGAAGTAAACTTGATCCGATCACAAGTTTCAGAGAAAAAATGATCAAAGCTGAATTAGTTACCATGGACGAAATTAAAGTGAGTTTTCTGGAATGATTCTCCCTGCTTTATTTAGTTGTTAAGGTTTCTCTTTTGAACACTACCTATTCTCCTGAATTCCACCAATTCTTTTCAGCCCAATCTAGCTAGCATATTAACATAAATATCTCGCACTGCCTGTTCGTTATTTAGAGTTCAATGTAGGATATGATAGGATTTTAATATTTATCCCGGGCAGAGGAAAGTCGATAAGAGGGCTTGGCTTGGCACGATGCGCCACACCGCCAAGCTGTTAGTTCACCATTGCTACCATAATTCCAGATGGCTTCAAAGTTTACCTGCTGTGTGTTAAATTTTAATTTTGTTATGCGTATAGACAATTGATAAAGAGATCAAACAACACGTTGAAGAGGAAACTGCTTTAGCGCTTGCTTCTACGGAACCAGACATGGATCAACTCGGTAGCGACGTTTACAAAACGGATGTTCCTATCCCCATGCGCTCCACTAACAACTTTGAAAAAGTACTCAATCTCCCAAACATGTAACTGTGCCCGACAACTTAGAATTTTATTAATCATACTATATTTAAGTTATTTTACCATGAAAATATTGCCAAACTATAAAACCCAATTCCCAAGAAATGGCTACACAGAAATTGGGTCTTTGTCAAGCATGTTTATAGATGGCCCATGATTAATGTAGATCTAAATTAATTTAAATTTTACATTTCATGTTCACAAACACGATACACAATAACCAGTGGATATCAATATACGTAAAAGTTTCAAGTCTCCCTATGAAAAATTTATTATTGTACCATGGCCATGGCTTAATTGACTACTTCCAGTCAAGTTTTAACAATGTGATTTCTTCTTTGATACTCTAAGATTTAATGAACGTATTGTTTTTTCTCCTTTGGAAAGAAAACTTTGCAGTGGCCCCAATGCCAACAATACACTCTATAATGTATAAGTTGTGATTTACTTTTGTTTTTTATGAGGAGTTTTGGATAGGGCGGGCGTACGTATATCATTCAGCAAATGTAGAGATATAACGGTGTCCAAAAAGTTTTCGCCCGATTATAAAGTCTTTATAATCAAATGTTATTTTTTTTTAATTTTAAAAAATATTTATAGTCGACCTGTTTCTAATTGGATGTTATAGATGTTGAATGTTGTAGTCCCCATTTATCATAGTCATACAACAAAATTTATTCAAAAATGCAATTGGTAATGCTATGAAATCGGGCGGAACTTTTTGGACACCCTGAACATTGTAAACCTGATTTTACAAATGATTAGCTACCTTCAGTTAATTTGTTGTTTCAGGGAATTTCAATCCTTTAAATACAGATTTGCACTGTTCAACAACTTTACAAAAACGTTATATTTCCCATCATGCATTCTACAATACTGATTACAATACACCAGGAAATTTCTATTCCTTCGCTATAGATTTGCGCTATTCAACAACTTCTTAAGAAGGCTCTACTTCCCATCATGCATCATATTTTGTTTCAAATAATTTTAAAGCACGCACATGGATAGAAAAGTGACCCACTTCACATTCTCGAGTATAAATTCGCATTTTAACCTGTTTTTTTTGAGCCACGAGGTGTAGAAACTACGACCTCCTTCGACTTCGGCATTCCCGCGAGTACGCTGTTCTTTGAAGCAAGTTAAAGAGCGGTCATATACGATTATAAATTTTCAAATAGTGTACAATACTGCAATGGCATTGTATTGAAAAAGTAGTACGTATAAAATCAAAAAAGTAATCAGCGTTTCTATAAAATAGCATCTTGAAGCTGCATTGTCTCCGATTCTTCACGCCGCCATATTAGCAACGATCGCCGCAAAGTTATTCAAATTATAACATTAAATGCAATGTTTTGAAGTCTTCTTGCTTATTTATTTCTTTTTCCTTTGTTGTTCTGATAAATGCATTTCTACAAAAAGAATGTTAGTGGGTAACGTTGTTACATATTTCTTATGGCTTCAATTGCCCAAATTAAACGCCCAGGTTGGGACTGAAATCGGCCAAATATGGACGAATAAATTTGAATAAGGTAGGTATGGTCAAGTTTTTTTTCAGCTAGTAAAAATTTGCTTGCAAAATACGAAGAAAATAAGAGTACAGTTTTACTGGGGAAGGAAAGACGCGTGTAACCAAAGCTGATGATCAAGCGTTGACAATCCAAGGTTCTAATTTTTAATTCGCTTTTGAGCGGTCGAGGATTATAATGTCTCGGAGTAGCCTATTGTTAAAACGTGAATACGGCGTTGGCGTCATTATTATTCTACGTCAACAATATTATATGTTATACATTTTTAATTAAGTAAATTTGAACCTTTTTTCCCATGAACGGTTGTCTTTTAACACACAGTAACGCTAGCCGACTATGGTACTGACAATATACCTTGAATCTGCTGCATGATGATCGATACTTCCTGCATTCCCAAGTTCTTGAAACCACCGATAAAAATTTGGTGTAGTGCAAATCTCCACCTTTTGCCATTAATTTCATAAACTCTTTCCTTTTCATCAAATATTTTTTGAGCCATTGTTCTTTTTTAACCTTATGGTAACGAAAGAAAAAATAAATCTAAGTTGTTTTTAGATAAAAACAAACAAGAAAGGTCGCATTGTGGATGCTTCCGAATCCTTTTATCCGTTTATGGTTGTTTAATTAGACTCCGTGCACAGCAATAAAACCCCATATATATATATAACGTATTTCTTCACACGTAGGCCTACGTGATGGATCAAGCAACTGCTCACTAAATTACTACATATGTTTCCAAAGGACGGTTACCGCCTTTGCGCCTCCCACTTTGTTTAATTTAAATTAATAATTAAATACCAGTCCTAAGTATATATTATTACAAAAAGCGAAACAAAATTTAATCAAAACGATTTAATAAAAAGATAATTACACAGGTTCGTATCAATTTAAAGTTTTTTAATGTAACCATAATTCTAAATAACCGCAAATTTAATGGTGAATTTCATGATTGATTTCAAATCGAATGATGTAATGGGTGTTTTTCAGAATTGATTTGTATATTGTACATTACGTCATCCGAGAATGGTGCTCCCAAAAAATGTGCACCAAGATGTCGCATAACCTGAACCCTAACCTGGTACACATACTATGTTCAGATTGTGCGCCATCTTGGTGCACATACTTCAGGAGGTCCCAAAATTTTGCTCATAAGTTTACTACACATCAACTGGTATGTCAGCTGAGTGAGAGGGCGCGCGTAATATATATATATATATATAATATATAAGATGTGATATTACATAACACAAAAAAAAACATACAAGACCAGATATAATGATTGGCCAGTATACAACGATTTGTATCTATGTTAATTAATTTATGCCTTGCAACTGGTAGTATATACACTTCTTGCACAATCGCACAAGACAAAACTAAGCAAATGTGATGATTTTAAACAGAAATATCACATTTTAATTATGAATGAAATTTATTTTCATTTTCATTATGAATGAAATTTATGTTTTTAGAGTCTATCATGCTACTATGAACATTGGTATTCTACATTTGGCACAATTGTTATCGCACAAATTTAAATTTGTTGGATAAAGCTCACTTTTAAATTATCATAACAACAGAATACTAGATCGTCGGTGAATACTTACAGCATCTTCCATACAAAAATCTAATTTTATTGTTTTTGATTTCGCTGACATATATGACAATTTAACTTTTTGTAAGTTGTGTGCTGTTTTAGTTGTAAATTTTCCTTTAGTTTTGTCCCAATTCACATGTGGCTCCTTTCCCTTGCTGTCTTTCGTTTTTGTATGACATCCTGAAAACAATATAAAAGTGTTAACTACATACTCACCCTACCTGACAATGAGCACTAACTACTACAGAGATAGGAAATTAAAATAAAAGTGATTTACAACGCAGCAAAAGTTTCAATTCAAGGCAAACTATACATTTCATACTATAGCGCAAGGCTAGCTTAGCTACTCAACTATTTCCACCAAAAATCCCCGCATAAAAAACTTCAAAATTATTTGGTTCCGGTCTTTCCAGGAATTATATTTCGGCATCCTGAAATGCGCGCTTCCTCGGCCGGATAATGATTATTAGATAATCAAGATTGTTTATTATGGTGTTATAGTTCTTTTCATATTACTCAAAACTATAAAAGGAAACTTCAAAAGTGGGCTAATAATCGAAAATAAAGAATTAGGTGCGGTACGAATCAAATAATCGAAAGGTCTGGATTCGGACCGCCAGTTGAGTAGCCCTGCATAGTGAGATAGAAAAGTACACTCGTAGACTTACCTACCTGTTACATAACTTGTCGTAAATATAAGAAACGCCACCAGCAATTGTAGATTATTGCTTCCAAACATATTTGTCTAAATCTTTGCAAATGAACCCATAACACACATTGTGACAAAATCGTATTGCGCGATGCTTAAAACTTGGATATATATATATATTTAACCTTTGTAGATTACAGTGTCGCAGAACGCACGCGTTAAAAATCTAATTTTGAATGTATTTTTCGGATAGTTTAACCGCAAGACAATTATGAACCACAAACGGACGCGTCGCTGCGATCTTGTGTGAAAATTGCCACCTTACACAAACCACAATCCTACTTCTGACATACGGAATTCCCAGAAAATTCAATAAAAATATCTGTACCTATTTATGTTCATAAAGAAAATAAAACTGTAATTGAGATCAGATATAGAAACAGTAACAGTGTTGTTGTGACTATTTTCATTGAAGTTCATTATTTCTGAGACCAAAGCAAGTTACTTTTTTTCATTGAAGTTAAGCAATTAGGGAAATGGATGATCTTGTACAATGATTCTCAAACTTTCATTATCCATGCTCTCCATTCCAAAACTCTCAACACCTGTGGCCCCTGCTTTTTTGTTAAATACCTAGTTTTGCCTTAAACACGTTTCCATGAGGGTGCCAAACAACGCACTAATTCAATATACAATCAAAAAGGGAATAGGGAATACTAGGTCTGTGTATGTCTGGTCATATCGTGGGTTTGGTTAGCAAAGGACAACGCCAATTGTAGCACGTTGACATAAAATCGAAACGAATTTTCTGTATGCCATAACGGCGCGCCATATATGCTCATTATGTCCTCAAAGCGGGAAATGTGGTCTAGTTACTGCACGACTATAGGCTTCATCTTATATCTAACCACAAGAACTCATGAAAAGCTCTTGATGGTAAAATAAAAGAGTATTGTTTTTTGCTAAAAAGTATTTTTAGAAATAGTTTCAGTTGGTCTATCAGTGGCGGCGCGTCAATAGGGCCAACCGGGGCGACGCCCCGGTTGTTTTTTCGGTATAATAAAATATATTCGAAAAATACCTCAATATCGGTTGCACAGACTGTCTACACTAGCCATATTCTCCCGACATGGTTCATTTTTCGCTCGCAAAGCCTTCGCCGAACGTCGACGGGGCGACGCCGATTTTGCCCCGGTTGCTCATTGTATATCGTATTCTCTCTTTTATCTTCCACTCGCCGCGTTTGTTTTCTGTATTGTTCCGGATTGTTTTCAATCCCATGACGGAGGAAAGCGTCGGCGTACATTCTGCGCAGAAACTTGGTATAAAAAACACGAATGGTCGTGTTACAGCGAGGACAAAAATGCACTTTTTTGTTTTTATTGCCTACTTTTTGCTACCGCCCGTGACTCACGTTGGCGTAAATTTTGGTTTTAGAGATCTTCAACATCTTCAACATCTTGAAGCGTGCCAGGGATCATCAATCTTCTATGGAGCATCTGGACAATGCAGTAAAATACCGAACATTCGGAAATGTTAATATTGCAGCACAGTTGGATGAAGGACGCGCGGTTTCTATCCGTCGGCACAACCAAAACGTCGAGAAAAACCGCCATGTTCTCGGTCGATTGATAGATGTTTTGAAGTTCATTGGTTGTCACGAGCTGTCCCTCCGTGGGCACGATGAACGGGCTGGCTCTTCTAATAGAGGGGTATTTTTGGATATGGTGGAATACACCGCATCCCTAGATACAGTATTGAGAGATCATCTTGATGCCGCAACTGTTTCGAATGGGACATCTAAGGATATCCAGAATGATTTGCTCGACTCAATGTATAAAATTTATTTACAACATTTGGCTCTGGAAATTGAGAATTGCCAGTTCCTTTCGATTCAGTCTGACGAGACAACTGACATCACGGTTTTTTCGGTTTGTGAAAGATGGTAAACCTACCGAGAGAATTCACAGCTTTGTACCAATCGTTGATCGCACGGCTTGCGGGATATCGGCTGTACTGAAAGAAGTGTTACAGCCTTACAACGCGAAGTCAAAATTGATAGCTCAAACTTATGACGGCGCGGCAGTCATGAGTGGGTCGAAACATGGTGTTCAAGTTTATATAAAAGAAGATTTTCCTCATGCGCATTTTTTACATTGTTATGCACACCAATTTAACCTCGTTATTAAAAATATGTTTCTTGATACCCCTCTCGTCCGTATATTTTTTGCAAATGTTTCGGGGTTTTCTTCATTTTTTTCCGTTTCGCCGAAGCGCTCTGACCTCTTTCGCCAGATATGTAGCCGCCGTCTCCCAGCTTGTGCACCAACACGTTGGAACTTCCAATCACGCGTGGTGCAGGGCGTGTCCGAAATTAGGTCTGAGCTCATTGAGTGTTTCAATGGCATTCAGAGCTCTCCGGTTTGGGACGAACGCTCTGTGAGGGAGGCGGCAGGTCTACAGCGTCTGCTAGAAGATGGTGAGTTTTCATTTTTTCTCGCTTTTTTCTCCACAATATTCTATCACGTGGATGTATTATACGGCGCATTGCAGTCAAGGCTAATGGATGGAGCGTCTGTGCAGTCGTGTATTTCAGACTTCTGCGATGCTGTATCTCGTATCCGGGAAACAATAAAATACGACGACACATGGAGTGCTTCTTTACGCCGCGGGCAAACAACGCAGCGTTTGATTTTGTCTGCAAAGGAATGCTGTGACATTCTGGTGAATCAAATAGGCGATCGTCTGCGCACTGAACACCTTGCCGCGTTCTCTTTGATGAACCCCAAAAATTTTTCAAAATTTGCACGTCAATTTCCCATCCATTTGTTGGCTACTGTCTCCAAATTTTACCCCATGATAAACGTGGGTAAATTGGAAAATGAATTGCGATGTATATACACCAATCAAACTTTTTGAACATCACATCAACTTGCGCGCTCTATGGGTTCCTCATAGATAACACTCTAGTAACTACCTTTGCGGCGTCTGCAAAATTTCTGGACATCATTTTGACGACGCCTATTTCTTCCGCCGACGCAGAGCGAACATTCAGCACGCTGAAGCGTATTAAAACGTATCTCAGAAACACAATGAAGCAAGATAGATTAAATTCCTTGGCTGTTTTATCCATTCACAGAGACGTTATTTCTGGGATGCATGACTTTAATCAGCGCGTTATTGAGCATTTTGCTTCCAAGAAACCGCGGCGTGTTGCATATATGTTCAAGCAGTAGAAGTCTAGCAGCATATATATCTATGAGTGAGCGACGCATGTCCTTATCTTTGCATAACCTTTCCTTTCTTCATAGTAACGTTTTAAACCTTATTTTAGGTTTTGTCTCCTTTCCCGAAGTTTCTGTTAATATGTCATTGTATTTATCTGGGTAAATATTGCCTTTCCTTTTGAAAGAGGTTTCAAAATAAACTATGTCTATATTTAATAATCCCTTGACTTGGGCCGGTTTTAAAGACACTTTCTTATCGTTAAAAATTGTCGCTTTTGCCGATTGGTTGTTACCGATGGAATGGTTTTTATACTCATAAAATGATGGGAGAAATTACAGCGCTCATCCTGTCCCCGTAGATGGGGGTGACTTGGTCCCGCAGTAGCTTGCCCCGGTTGTCAAAATGACCACGCGCCGCCACTGGGTCTATCTATAGGTGACTAATAAATCATACATATTATTGACATCGGAAATAAAAAAAAAGAAAGTGCAAAAGAAGTTTCCTTCCCCGACTGGGTGGAAGGTACACGAGATTCATTTGTATATTGAAATAAAAGTTTGTGATTCTTACTAATTACTCAAAAATTTTCATATACTTCTTTAATTAAAGCATTTATAGGTACTATGATGCCTATATACTATGTGCAAATCACGACAAGGGGCCCAGAATTCCTTGCTACTGAAATTTACATTATATACTTTTGTAATGTATTTATAGGTAAATAACATTTTTCACTAAAAATTGTCTAACTGCCTTAAAAGTCTTCGCCCCACCAAATGACAAATCTGTAACCACTACTCTATTTAGTCTATAATGCTAAAAACGATTTGAAAGAGTCGTGTTTCCCCAAAAATAAGCCCTCCTCTTAAAATAAGACCTAGTCCAGGGTGGTCCAAGGTTGTTGCCTTCGCGGGCCACAAAAAAATTATTTTTGCATTGTTCGCGGGCCACAATAGTGTCAGAAATAGGTAAATAGGGCAATACAAAACAAACACTTTTATTGTGCAAACAATTGATCATTGTTTGTCATTTATCAAGCTAAAACATGCAAAATACGCCGGAAAAATCATTGAAACATTTATTTACATATAATGTAAGATTTCGAACTCTTCACAACGGAGAAGATGCTCCCGCAAATGTAAGTGCTCTTGAATATCGATGGGGTTCTCAAAGTAAAATTTGGAAAATCTCATCGCTCACATGATAGCAAAATGGCGTTTTAGTCTATATTTGCCATAACTGCTGAATGATTGATTATCATATTTTACCGAATGTAAGGTACAGAAGAGTAATTACTAATTTTTCTAACATATTAGAAGCATTTTTTGTAATACTGTTTAGGCTGGTTGCAAAACATCACCGGAAAGAGTTATATTCTCAGGCCATAACATTAAAATTTATTTATAATAACTGTTGAAATTTATTTCCAACCAAAAAGATAGAAAGCCAGTGAACAACTTGGACACTATTCAACTTCGCTAGTTGCTTCAGCTAGCCGTGACACTAATCGATTCAGTGACATTAGTGGTGTAACAAGATTTCGAAAAGATTTTCTGATTATTTTTATAACGAAACAACACCACTTGCGATTTTCGATTACCCTTCAGCAAAGGCGACGCGGGCCAGAGATAATGGTCATGCGGGCCATATGTGGCCTGCGGGCCTGGGTTTGAACCACCGTGACCTAGTCGATAGCGCATTTTTTTTTGACCGAGTCGATAGCAAGAAATCTCTCGTACACGTTGCAAGTGATCGATAATTTATGTTTTGCAGTTATGTTGAATAGAAACGTGGTATTTATAGGTAAATGGATATCGGTTTCTATGTTCTGTATATATATTTGAAAATCTTGTAATTCTCTACTTTGTAATTTTGTTTTAATAAATGAAAAAATAAGACATCCCGGAAAATAAGCCCTATTGATATTTTTCGGAAGAAAATTGAAGTAAGACCTGTATTTTCGGGAAAACACGGTATGAGCACATTACATCACCAGAAATGAAAAACTGAATTCGGAGACCATATAGGTCAGGAGGATGTCGATGACTGTTGCTGTTAGTGAGAATGAGAAAACAGATCACTTAACATCGTACAGCAATATAGTCCTAATTTTAGAACAGTTTTATTTGGGAATCAATCAGATACAGGCACATTGAGTCGTCACTATTAGCGAAAGTAGTTGGTCTTTTAGACGAAACCTTCGACTCACCTTTGTAAAATATTAACGAGAATAAGCTCGCTATACTAATCCCGTTCCATTATGTGCATAACAGCCTCGGGTCGAGGTCGCCATCGTTGTTTATTCTCTTTTTTCGTCGTTACGTTTACTGATGACATACATCTCAGCAGTTTCCTGTGGATATACCTCACACCAATATTTGTCTAAGAGATGGTTATATATGTATATTAAATAGAGGCATGTCTTACTGAAAATCAGTAACGAGTTTCTCGGCACTGTGGTGGCCAATACAATACTTGACAACAGCATAACGTTATGGTTGTCTAACTAGTAACGTTAGAAAAATGTTTTGAGAATGGTAAAAAATTTAATAGGCCAAAGGAATAATTTGCTATAGTCTTGATAAGTATACAAATACAGAATTTTTATCATATTATGCCTAGGTTCAGAGTTCTCAGCAAAGCTCTTTTGTTCAGGAGCCTACACATTTGAAAGAAAAAATTAAACGGGTTACTTTGGTATATAATTATATAACATATAAACCAGTGCTGAATTAGGGGCTCCCGAAGTATGCAAACCAAGATGGCGGACATCGGAATGTAATATGTGTACTAGGTTAGATTAGGCCATAATTTTAGGTATAAATACTACTCTTGGCTAGTCTTCGAACTGATAATAGGACTAAAATAAGAAAAATTTAAAAAAAAGTATGGCCTAACCCCAACCTGTTACCCATGTTACGTTCCGATGTCCTCCATCTTGGTTCGCATACTTCGGGAGCACCCTGAATTATAATATACTGATTCCTGTCGAGGGAAAGATTCAAATCGCCAATATATATTATAATCGATTGCTTTGGTGCATGGGGTTTACATATTTTTTTTTCATTGAAATAAAACTCATAATGTATATATGTCCTCGAAAAGTAAACAAGATAAATCTTGAATGAAAAATCTGGAAAATCGTTATATCGTTTTTTGCGCTCTAAATATAGATTCAAATATTCAGTGAGCAAACATGCCTATTAAGCAAAAAGCAAATTTGCTATCTAGGCTGATATAAGTGACTTGTAACGGTAAATGTAGAGGACAAAATATGCTGGCCGAACCATTTTTTAAGGTTGCTTGGAAAATACGGTATTAACATTTCGTACATATGATTTAGTTTTTTAGACTGTTTGCTCAAACTTTACTATAAGTTGTATTAGTATTTGTCCTGTTATCTGTTTACAACACTGCTAGTTTTATACTAATTGAGTCTTCAGCCTACTTGCATCTATATCTTCAAATAATCTGACGAGGGGCAGCAGACTATGCTTCTGGTACCTATAAATAGCTTTGGTATACAGAGTCCACGTCGTCAAGTACCACCAAAAGCATTCGATGTATTTCCATCTGAACTTTCGCCATACAGCATAAATCCAACAGGTCTTTACCAACCTTATATCAGTGTTGTTACTGATAGCCTGGCGGTCCAGAATTCACCGTATTTGATGACAGACATGGTGGGATATTCCCGCCGAAACGCAGGACAACAGCGCGTACCATCGCTCCCAATTAACACCGGTACTGGAGTTCCAGTTGAGGCCTATTCTCAAGTGACAGACGCCCATGATTGTAGTGGTTGTAGTGGCTCTACTCCAAAACCAGAAAAAGAAGATTCAATTTTATTCAGCCTACTAAACAAACCCCATCACGAACTGAGGCCAAAGACCACACCGTGTCTTAACACACAACCCGTCACACAGTTGCCATATATAGGCAACAGATCAACTATGACTCGTCGATGTGTAGGCCTACGAAACGCAGCTGAAACGCACAAAAATTCTGCCGAAATTCTTGAAAAAACAATAAGCTTTGTAAAAAGTTTAGAGTCTTTTAAAAATCTTGGAACTCACGACCAAGAGCTTCTTTTCTCCAACTGCTGGGCAGAGCTGTTCATTGTCGGAATGGCTCAGGAACAAGTATCGTTTGATGTTATCCGTTACGAAATTTCTGTGCATGCTACGGTTCAAACATCTAAAGATGTTTCATTCAATGAAGGAGAATCAGTAAAAGTTGACGAAGCTGACAAGCTGAAAAGTTTTATTAAACGTTTCACGGAACTGCAACTTTCAGCTGTAGAATATGCATATTTCATGGGAACCGTCTTATTTAATCCAGGTAAATTTACAACTGTTTTAGTCCTTCTGTACTCGAACCTTTTTAAACCGTATCTTTTACATAAAATAAACTTTTTCCAGGAAATCAATGTGAGCGGTATTATATCCGAATAGTTATGTTGATGCGTGTTTTCCAAATCCTTGCACCACCTACCTATACACGTATCCATTGTAGATTCCGACTTTGAGCGAGTTCTGGCGAATTGTCACTTACAAAATCCGAGCCCATCATTTTGAATCAAAATATGTAACCGTCTGTCATTTGAAAGTACTGATAGCTAATTTTCAAGATAGTCCATAGCAGATCTTTGGAACTACTTTTTGGTTATTAAAATTAAACGAAAATCCTCGGAAAACAAAAGACCACTAGGTTATTTGATTCATACCCAAGTTGTTGAAACACAACTAAAAAGACAAATAGCAGGTAAATCTATGAAAACGAGCCAATGTGTACAACCATACTTAAAAATTCGTCTGCATAATAAAAAAGTCTGAGCGGCTGCACAAGTAGCAATTGTTACGCCCCGTAAACTTATTGCTGATTGGTCATATGTACGGAAATAAACAAAGATAACGATGCTTGATGAAACGTCAACTGGCGTAAGTATCCAAAAATTATAAAGTGCCACTTCATTGAGTTTTCACATATTGTTCGTCAAGATACGGATGTCTATTTAGGAACGACATGAAAATTCGAATTTAAATTACAGTATTTGATAGAATTAGCTAATTTTTTTTTCAAAACTGATAAACCTCATTTTGGAATTGTTTTATTATAGCACAAAAGAGTGATAAATTTTTTTTCTCATAAATCGTTAAAGTGTATTTCTTCTTGGCGTACGATGAAAGACAAACAGTCGTCAACTGCATATTTTTGACAGCGTCAAGTTTCGAACAGGGATTTTACAAGAATCATAATATCATTAATTTATACTATCATGAAAAGTTTGCAATACGTATTTGCTGGGTATTTTTTATTTCACCCTGACGTAGTTTCTGGTTGAAGAGGTTACAAAAGTTGTGGTTGTTTGTATTTAATAATTAATTTGTTTAATATCACTGAGTCATCCCGTTCAATTGGAACAAATATTTACCGGATAAATGTTCAAGGTTGAATAAGGGCATTGGGGGGCAAACAACAGGGTAGAGAGGTCTATTCATAGAAGCACAACTCAAAGCTTATTCTTATTTCAAAATAAAAAATCAGAGCGGTAGAGACTTGTTTTTTATAGCCGACGTGGAGTCAAACATGGAGTTCTATTGCAAACATCATGCAGTCAAAAATTAATTATACTTCCTTATGTTTAAAATAAAAATTTTGGACTCAAATGATATGACATTTTCAATATATACCAAAATCTTAGATTTAAGTATTTGTTATCTAATAAAATTAAAAGCAGCTGTCAAAGAAATTATATCAATCATAACCGGACTTAGAGACCAGTTTCGGCTTAATTTTAATTTTTTTAATCACAAATAAATTTTAAAAATTATTATTCAGTGAAAAACGATGTAGCCTACCATGATAAAAAAAGAAATGAAAACTGTAGCCTACATCTTGGTGATTGGTATTTTTATTTCCAAAAATTGACTCTGAGTCCACCAATAGATAGAGCCAATAAAATTAAATCGTCATCTTTTTCAGATGTAGTTGGATTAAAGGACCGAGATACCATTGCCTCGTTACAAGTTGAAGCAATGCATGCCCTCGCCGAATATAGAGGTTAGATATTATTATTAATGTCGTGCGGTACAATCATTTTATATTTTCAGAAATTTGAAATCATAAAAATGACCAAATGTTGTTAAATTTTCCTAAAATACCAATGCAAACAACGCGTTCCCAGTCGAATGTGGACAAGTTATTAGACATTTTTATTAAAAACTCGATGATATGATGAAATGATTCGACACTTGTGTGAAAGATTTTTCCTTGAAAAAGCAATATTTTCATATTTTGTAAATCGATTTTTACATTTCGAACGTTCAAGAGGGGTTACTGGGTCAAAAAACTTCTTCGTGATATTTACGCAGTCATCACTTGATATATAGTTATTAGGTAAACATCATATATTGACAAACGCCGCTCACAGAGAGGTGACCTTGAAACAATACCGATGGTTTATGAGTTGAGAATTTGATTCTTGGCTTGCACCAATCATGGACGATTGTATCAAATGCGTCCTAGTGTGAACCAGTGCGACGAATATGTGACTGACAGCTTGGTGATGACACAATAAATATTCGTGACGTTTGTGTCAGCCAGCACACACGTGCCTTGGTTCAGCTGAGTTTTCATTTTAAAGTTTAATAAATATATCATTTTGAAGATATGGAAACTCAAGTGTTCTAAATATAACCTTATCCAAACAGATGTTCATCGATGAGCCTCATTTATGATACTAAATATTTCAAATATTTATCAGTTAGATCGATGGTTTTCAAACCTTGTTAAATTAAATTTTAGTTGGTTTCAGTAATTGTGCTAAAATTAAATCAAAACTATTTCTCATGGTCTAAGTGTCCAGTTCCTCCGTTCCGGTTATGTACTGTCTATGTCCCTTCCTTTTGTCGTTTTTAGCAATTAGTAGAAGCCAGTAAAGCACCCATAGCAAACAAACTTTTCTCCGCGTGATCAAATTCCAGGAATTGGGCAAATAAGAAAGGTCGTAACCTTTTTATTTTCTGTTACGCAAGACTCACTATGTTTGTTATTAAACGGAGTTAGAGTCACATCTTTATTACTTGATTCTTTTTGTTTTTGTCTTTGGGTGGTACAGAAGTTAGAAATATTTCTACTGATTACAGCAATATGAAAAAATGAATAATCAATATTTCAATAAAAAAATTAAGTGATAGAACAGAAAGAGAAGAAAACGGAACGTCATTTACTGTGATCATAGTCGAACATTTTTTTCATGCTACTGTTACAACACTATCTTGATCTGATAACATTTATTTAGTTAGAAATTTATTTTCAAATTTACGATCTCAGCATGTGATTTTGCCCATATCACCAGAACCGTGAACTGAGTAAGCTCTCGTGAACTTGCTTGGAGCAATCTATCGATATAGCGCAATTTGCAATAATAACAAAATAATTAGCACAAAAATGAAGGTATTCAAATTTCAAACGCCGTAAACTTGAACAAAAAAGGGACTTGGATTGGCAAAAAACGAAATCGATTTGAGATATTCTGAACTTGAACAGATTTTATTCCGATATCAGAGAGTTCCATCAGAGTATAATAATAAAACTTAACACAATGAAAGAAACAGGAAACTCGACGAAACCTCAAATAAAGTTCAAAACGTTCTGGTTTAATACTTGAGAGTGTCGAATAACTTTTACTCACGCTATCAGAAATTAAATTGATTTTTTCGCGAATAAAATCAAAAAAGTTATCAACACGGTCGTTTATGCTTGTCTTGCACAAATGCACAATGACCAAAAACGAAACTCCAGAATTTTTTATATTTACTCCAATGAAGCAAATTCTTTTTACACTTGGACTTCTATTTATGTATGCTTGTACCCTAACGTTCCAGTAATCTAGGACGCTTCGCACAAAAGTTATGTTCTCTCTTGACAATGTTTCAAATCACAAATTCTTTTCGACTAGAATTAACTAAAAATTTGCTCTGGAAACTCTGCTACAAACGATACATTAGTATTCTTAACGATTTTTTATATATATAAATCTTGCGTGATGAGATTTTTTTGTCATTTCAGGCGAGAGAGTGAATTCATCGCCATTTGACGCAGAACATCACCAGCAAATGCGTCTTGCACAAATATTACTTGGTCTTCCGGCACTGAGAAGTATCAAAACACATGCAATTGCTGAGTTGTTCTTTCGCTCTCATAACTGCTGTCCAGATATCTTGATATCGTAGATGTTTGCTGTTTTCGTTTATTCACAAACGGGTTTACTCGTATGCACACTTGAAGTCCTGCACGTAAAGTTCGACAAACGCTCTGAAACGTAGAGCATGCTGTTATTCTCAAGACGATGTTGTTATCAACTATTGTGACGTAATGTGTTTGCCGTGAAACTGCACAAAAGCGCTGGAACAATACTGACTTTATCTCTCTCAGATGAAGCTTTGAAACGAAGGCCTCAAGTAATCACAAGCATAAAAGGAAGTAGAAAGCAATTTAAATATGTGGATTGGCCTGACATTGACTATATAAATTCATGTAATGTTATAAATTCATGTGTAAATTTATCAATGAAATAGGTGAATTTGCTTACAAAATTTTTGTAGTTTTCACGTCATAAAAACATAAAATTAATTCCTCCCCACTCAGAAGATATTTCGAACTTTCAACTTGGGTTAGGAATGGGCCATAAACAGAATGCACCGCTGCTGCGAGGTGCATGTATGGCTTACAAATATCTCAAGATTATTTCTGTATATGAGATGACACAGAGCAACACTGCTTTACGAAAACACTTTACCTATGTATGTTTTTTTTCTTGTTTTTTTTTCAATTTATATCAACGAACGAGGGGCTTATCACGCCTCAATTTTTATTTACAATCATGCAAAAACAATAATTTGTAGTATATATATATATCTTATATATGTATGTAATGAAAGATATTGGATGGTAAACATTTCTTATATTGCGAATTGGTCCGCATTGAAAGATTTTCAAAAAATCATGTCTTAGATTTAGGACTCACTTGTTTCACGAAAAAGTTGACGTATTTTTCAATAAATCTTTGAAAAATAGCTTTTTTAGATGTACTTTTATCAAAATTTTTATTCATGAAATAAAATTGAATCACGATTGTCAATGTGTGTTTATTAGTCTACTGCAAAGCTGTTGTTAGATCATTCGTCTTGTTCCCAAGAAAGGTGAACAAACCTTCGGTCGCTGTTGGGTTTATTTACCGAATGAATTCATCGTCCGTCCGATAAACTAAGATGAACAATTCTCCATCATAACGTAAATTGTTATACCAAGAGCGCGAATTGTTAATCATTACCCAATTGTGAATCATGGTCCAGTTACATTTAGGTAACGGTGGGTGTGTCAAGCTTCATTGCGGTTGATAAGGTATTGAATTTGAACCGGCCAAAACCGGTATTAATTCCCAAAATTAACCACAATTTTCCACAAAGCGGTACGATCATCTCACTCGGGCTATATATTAAATTGAGTAAGCTATTCCGAAATCGGTAAATTTCAGTAATATATATAAAAAGCATAACAGGTAATCGTATACTAGTAGTGTCGATGAACAATTACGTGGAATACTTCGTAAAAAATAAACTATTTTAGAAATCTTCATACATGTGGTGAGCCTATGTAAATCATTTTGTTTCTATGTTGTCGTCAATGTCACACATAATATGAGTACTTTTATAATTTTCCTATTCCTTCTTCAACTCATTGGGGAAGTCTTTCTTCATGAGAACAAAATTCCTTATCTAAATTTTCAACTATCAGACATCAAGATTAGCATATTATATTACGCTCAAGTTTTTATCCAGAAATTTGTTTTAAATACAGCTTCTTTTCTCTATGCATGGAGTACAAGAAATCATATTATGTCAAAAATATTATCTCAAATTGTAATTAATATTGTGGCAAAATTTGTAGAGGTGTTTTTTTTTAGTCCGGTATCATTCTTCCAGATTATTCGAGAAAAACCTTCGGTATCGCAGCGACATCATGAGGACGAAAATATGTTATTTGATACCTCAAAGTCGGTGCAGCAGATATAACAATTGTGTAGGACTAATAATATTCAAACCACTATAATTGTTTCAGAACTTGCATTTTGTTGTGATTTTTTACTTTTTTCAAATGACCTTCGCATTCTGTTATGTATGGCCATTGTCAATCTGAATGGCCAGGGTTACTGGAGAATGTGGCCTTTTGTTAAATAAGAGTACATCAAGTCAAAAATTTTGTTATGTTCCTATGATAAATCGTGCAAAACTGTTGGCGATGAGGTTTTAAGTAGTAATGGAATTTAGGGGTTCGCACGGGCTCGGGGTCACCAGCGAAACGGGTCTTGTTTCTTTTTTGGAAGACCCCAGCATATGGGTGGCAGCTAGCGTTATATTCGACTTTCGAAATTTTTGTATTCAATCTATTTTCGGCACGTTTTTTGAAAAAAGGGTACATGTTGATAGTCTGTTCGATATTAAAGAGAACCCGTTTTTTTTATATTTTTTGGAATCCATCACGAAATATCTATATGAAATTTTTGCCAATTTGCCAATCATCAATTTCCTTGGATTATCTTTTTAAGTAAGTTTAGATTATTGTTCCGGCTTTCTCTGTTTATCTTATGTTGTTGCTTCGTTGATAATAGAGACTCTTCGTATGTGTTTGACAGAGCTCAATTTTGGCAAATATTTTGATCCTAATCTCAAATCCTTCTCAACATTGTACCAGTCACGTTCTTAGCGTGAAGTAATTTGTTTTGACAATAGCACTGCCCACGCGCATGAAATTGAAAGACTATGGAGCTGAAATGAATGAGGACCCAATTGTTTTAAAACTTGTTTGACTTTCACATTTAAGAACAGTTCTCACATAATGAACTACAATTATGAATCACTAAAAACACGATTTAAGGTCGACTTACCGGGACACCGGGACAAAGTTTTACGAGAAGGTGTCAATTTGCAGTTTATAGGCTCTTCAAAAATGTTTACGATTGAAAAAGGTTTAGCATATCAATAGGGGAGATGTTTAAGAATTGACTTGCGTTGCTGTATTTCGCATTAAAAGCATTTTTATTATTTGACCGGTAAAAGTTTAGAAACTGTTATCTATTATTCTCATAAATCAATTTTTTATCTGATTGAATAGCAAGTTAAATAGTTCAAAGTGTAACTGATAGTTTTATGGTCGAGTTTTATAGCTAGTTTTTGTTTTACAGACCAGGATGACGCAAACAGAGGATAAATTATTATTTAGATATTTATTTATGCTGAACGTATATTATCATTTTATTTTGTAATCGCCCACTGCCAAGTTTAAATCAATCAACTAAGTCATAAATAGACTATGCTTCACGGAACAAAACCATCTTCACGAAGTTATCCAGTCAAGAAAGCAAGAAACATCTAAAAAAAAATCATTTATTCTGAACGGAAATCAATGCCCACATTTGTGAAATTGGTCGCCCACCCATTACCGACTTTGAAAAATTGAACTAATATAATACTGTCAATCAAGTTTAATATTGTCGAAAATCGGACATAATTCTGGTATCTAACGGTATTATAGAATATCGATCGTAGATTAGAAAGAATGTCGCGTGTTCCTGTCACACAGTGTAAACAGTTATTTTGTATCCTAGTTTGAGAACGTTTCTAACGAGTTCATTATGAAGTATTATTTTAGTTAAAAACAAAGGTTTCTTCATCCGACAACTGGCTTTCTTTGAAATTGCTATGTTTTTAGAAATGAGCCGATCATTTGATATGCAATGACATGTATATATATATATATGTTGTAAACAAACAAAAACGAAGAAAAAGTATCAAAAAAGAGGATTTCCTTTGAATAACTTCTAGTTTAATTTTTGCGGACATCTGTTCGGAAATTGATATAGTAATATAGTAATCCAATTGGAAAAACAAAAAAGCTTTTTTACTTAAAATCCGTGACTGCCAAGAATTGTAGAATTGTTAAGTGATCTACTGCGCAAGTTGAGTGGGCTATGTCAACATGCCATTGAAGATTGTGGCAGCCAGCAAGTAACAAATTTTACCTAAGTATGTTGATAAATAAACTTTTCTCATAGAGACTGCTCGAAATTATTGGTATTCGGTCTATGAAAATGAACGCAAGTGTTTGAATAGTAATCAGTAATTTTATCATTTTGTAAATATGACATTTACATTGTTCTGGGTATTGGATTTGTTTACTGGTAACCCTTGGAGTATGCTAGCACAATGAAAATGCACACACAAGATTTTTTTTATAGTGCTTTCCTAGAGCTAAAACAAACGCTTTTCAGAACATTTAAAAACCTACATCGACGAGTTCTTTGTAAATCAAACGGGTACTCTACGATAAAAGTAGTCATTGAGGCGTCGAGAAACGAACAGTATTTTTTAAATAATCATTTACAGTAACTTTGCGTGGTCGTTGCTGGTTGCCGATATCAAACCACCAAAGAGTAAACAGATAAACACCGACTGACGTTGTAGTCGAAGGCGTATTGTCTAGCTAGCGCATACCGGAACAACTTGGCAAATCACTTTTACAAGAATATGGTCACAGTACTGTTAAAATCTACCTTATCTTATTTGGGACGTAACGTTGTATTGGCCATCTGTCGGTCTCGCTCAATGTCGAGTTGTTGTTTTGGGATTCACAGCGTGAGGGTAACAAATATTAAATTTATAAATATGAGACAATGAGATATATTCTTTTTTCTAACATAAAGCTGAATTACGTTTCGAAGCGCACATGAAAGTACCGGAATTCCGTATGTATTCTCTCATTTTTATGACAAACAAGTTCGTCGATTGTTACCTTTGTTCATCTTTACAAACAAATTATATTACCCCAACGAAGTTTGTTTTTCGCGTGCGTTACTATTTTCTCCTGCGGGATGAAGGCTGAATTCGTTAACAGCCGATTACTTAAACTCAGAAAATACCCGAAAGGAGAGCGCAGACACAAGCGCGTCGGTTAGATGGTAGCATCGTAGCTCAGACGAATTGCAAGGTAAGATTCAGCGGTGCTGAGGTAACATTCAGTGGCAATAGAAACGTTAATTACCACTGAACTAAATGTGTAAGTGAAAGTTTAGATTTAAGTTTTCGTATAACACGGTGACATGTAGATCACATACAACAACGGCTTAGATTTTGTCTTTTTAGAAACTTCACAGAGAGAATAAAATAAATTCAAAATGATTTCAGAATTTTTCAATATCACAATCGATATAAATATATCTGTACAATGTGAGCTAAAAAAAACAAAACCCATGTCATTTAGAACATATTCTAGAGCAGTGACACTCAACCGCTGGTCCGCGGACTGCTGCCTGCCCGCCAAATATATTCCAATATTAATATGTTACAAGCAAATTGCAAATTACAAGGTATTGACGGCATGTCTATTAATTTTGTAATTTTTTTAAACGTTCATTGATTTGTATTACCGGTATTCGTCTAACAACCAAAGTTTACCAAACTTGGTGGGAGGTCCTCTGCCCATTTCAGGCCCTGAACGGCGGCCAGCGTCATAACGGAGGAGTTACATAGCACATAGTACGGTATTTGATTGAGAACCATGAGATTGAATCCATAATTTGACAGTAAGCCTATAATTCAGCAAGGTTTGATAGTAAAATGGAGGCAAACAAACAGCAAAGTATTATCCCGTTCTTTCATCGGTGAAAGCCAAGTTAGTGGTGTTGACAGAACAGAGGCAAAGATTGCTACTTAAAAACATGCCCCGGAATGACCTTGCAGCAATGTTAACATGAATCACGCAAAAAACGCAAGGGCTTTTTTTATACAGTATATGATAAGAAGTATTTGGGGCTAGGTTTCACTATTGCTCCCAGCAGCAAAAAAGAACCTCTTCCGATGTGCCTAGTTTACGCCAAAATTCTTTCAAACGACGCAATAAAACTCGCAAAGCTAACAAAATCGTGTGGTAGTCAACGCTCTACTTCGCTTTGCAAAAACTTCATTAGAACCGCGTTTAACATGTATAATATTAAAAAGACAGCAGCAAATTTCTCATTAAATTGGCTTCCTTTGCACCGCTTACTTTTGTCGTTATTACAATCTTTTGATTATGTTTTGTGTTCATGAAATTTTTGGTTCATTTTAAAAGTCCGCCGGTCCGCAAAATTTGTTTTGAAATTTTACCGGTTCCCGAACTGAAAAAGATTGATAACCACTGTTCCAGAGAACATGACTTTGTGCAAAGTGTCCCAGAAACCTGTTTTTTAGTCTGCCTGTAATGAAGTTTTTGAATTATTGAGCGTAAAAGTTTAAATCAAAAAAAAATGTTCAGAATATTTAGAGAGTTATTCTTTCATTGAAGTCCCAGATTACAGAAACCTTTGAATACAACCACACACAAACCGAGTTTTAAGTGTAAAAGCAGTTTTCGAATAAAATCAATAAATTTATTGGTTTTCCCTGTATTAGAAATTTTAATATCTTGAATTAAAGAGCGTAAAAGTTTGATTAAAAAAAAAATAAACGTTTAGAATAATCGAAAAGTTATTCTTTCATTGATGAAATTAGCCGTTTGTGTCAGAATTCACGCACATTTTGCGGAATTTGATATCATTAAATCACGTTGATGGTAAAAATATTGTAGATTTAAAAACTTCTGATTTTTAAAAATGCTGCGAAACGAAAAAAATAATACGATCTAAATAAACTCTTTAGAAAATGTCATGATGTTGTGGAATTTTTTTCACCTCTTGTTTTGGTACAATTGTAATCGTTTAGCTACCGAGAAAATTATCTTGTTACTTTTGTCCGGATTTAGGATAAGCATTTCTGTTGCTATGCCATTAATCATCATATCGCATAACGGTACTGGATCACCTAAAAACTGTCATTAACAAATACCGAAGACCATTATATTTAGTGGGTGCATGTAGAGGGTCTTTCCTGATCGGAGTGAAAAACGTGAATAACGTCGACAAAATAATTTTTCGAATATGGTATTATGAAATATCAATTGAATTTTTTTTAGCAAAACTAGAAATTTTTTTTTTTTTGCATTTTATTATATTATATATTTTATATAATAAATTCGATCACTTTTCTATTTCGGGTACGTAAGCTGTTGAGGAAAATATGTTACGCCAATGATTAGGCTTGGTACCCATTTTAACTTTTATATTAATTTTCTAGCGTCTTACCGCAGAAACTATATACATGTATTTTGGAATGTGAATTATGATCTGCAAACTTTTCTGAATTGTTTTCTGAAATTTACAACTCAAGTCTTTGTTTGAACAAAATATAGAAACCTTTAAAACAAACGCCCGTCTGTTCATGAAATATTGTTTTAACATTTACAATTAAATATTGCATTCATATTTTAGGATATTTTTTACTATTGATTAATTTTGTTGAAGTCTTTGGAATTGAGTACAAAAGAAATTACACAATGAAAATAATAAGCATCGTCTTTGTCGTTGTTATTATCGGTGAGTAAGTTGTTAAATTCTTGATGATGAAAATTTGTTTATAGGTGGCATAAAAATCAAATTTGATGTTGTTATGGCAACCCGATAGCCTAACACGGAGAATGTCTTATCAAAATCAAAATTTATCACTAAACATTATAGAAATATATGTTTTTAAATACACTTTACTCATAGTCATTATGACCGATCACTCCCAATATGATTGTTGCAACATGGATGATAAAAATGGAATATTTGTCCTCATTTCTCACCAAAAGAAAATCGGCTTTATTATATGAAAAGCCACATTTTTTAGTCAAGTGTAAAGTATTCTACAAGTTCAACAATTTAAAAGCGCGACCAACTTTTGCATTCGTGAGAGGCGTGGATGGTAGTGGGAGGTTTCATTACATTTGAACCCACAACAATTGCACCTGCATGCATACTATTGCACCTATGGAATTTTTTTTACGGATGTTTGAACCCATACTAACCCCCTAATCCATGGATTTTAGCACCCTCATAGATTGAACCCGCGGATATACTGGCGGGTGTATGGGTTCAAATGTACGTGGGTTCAAATACACGGTCACCGGCAATGGAAACTGCAATTAGCTATGGAATTCAGAAATACTTTTGCCCACAAGATGCATGCTGGGTAGGTTATGATGCTTCAAAGGCGCGTGTTTACGTCCAGTGTGATGTAATTTGATCGTCAAGTGAGATAACCATTTCATTACACCCACAAGTGCTCTTAAAGTGTTTGGAATTGTCCATTTTGAAAGATAAGCATTATCTCGAGAATTCAATGAACAATGGCTAGCAGGTATTCTAGCTGGTATTAGGCTAAAAGCAATAAGTTTACTGACTGATAAAAGCTCTGCACTCAGTACTTCAACTTTACTGGCTATTGAACTTTCAACTTATCGCAGAAAATAGACTAAACTTAAAACAAATTTGTTTTGAAGGGCCGCTTTTTTTGTATTCTTATGCCTAATAAATATGCCGTAATAAACGCCTAAGACGTACAAATTTCTCGACTTATAAACTCCAGCGTTTTTGTTAGGGGTTTAAAATTTGGATAGATAATTAACACTAAACTGCGTGAAGTAGTGGAGCTGAAAATTTTGCAATATTTCTGTGAATAGAATGCATTCATGTTCAAGAATTTGGCGAGATGAAATCTGACGTTGATTAATGGATTGTTTGGATTGACAATTCATCTCTTTTGTGCGTTTGGTAAAGATACCAATGCCGATACAAATATAAGAACTATTGTATATTTAAATAAAAATATAAAAATAATTTTTTTATAGGGGCCATGTCTATCGACGTTCTTGGATATTCGCGAAATGGATCTAGAAGACTGGGGAGATTGCGATACCCGCATGCCCGTGCGATGGTAAGTTTACTCTTACTGGGAGACAATATGACAATTTAAAATGATAGCGTATACCAGGGGTCGGCAAACTGCGGCCCGTGGGCTAGATCCGGTCGCGGAACAATATAATCCAGCACGCGACGCTTCGCATGGATTATATTAACAAAACAACTGTATTGACGAATATATTCTTTTATTCTTTACGTAACATAATTTGTTTTGAGACCCTAAATTATATTATAACCTAACAAGTATATAATTCACAATCACTCGTTTAATGAGCCTATAAATTGATTATAATTAGACAAATGGCAACATAACGTAAAAAAGTTGATGCTAAGTGCAAATGGTTAAATGGCGCAAAAAATATTCAAATATCAGTCTTCGCTGCTTGTTAACTGAAATCTGTGTGACAAAATGTGATTCAATGGCCATTCCCTCGGTTTTTAACTTTCTAAAAATATGTGCGACCCGCCAATGACTTGCAACCATTTTTTGGCCCGCGAACGACTAAAGTTTGCCGACCCCTGGCGTATACCAACAATAGCAAATTTGTACGATAACCATTCAAATTCACTCTACGATCGAAATACTAAAGTCAAATTGGGTAATCATAACAAGCCCTCGCACAAGCAATCGCTGATATTATGTGACGAGTCACAATCTCTAGAAACTGGAATATTTCTGATTCGACAGTGCCTATACCAATTTATCAGTCTCTGGTGCTTTATGTTACGAGAAAATAATGTATATACCATAATTTAATTTGAAATGTTGTTTACGACCGATCAATTACGGGTATGCATAGTACCTAAAACGCAAGAATGAAAATTAATATTTATTCTACAATTTGCAAGTTAAGTTGCGTGACCTGTATTGTTAGGATTTGTCGACCAACCGTGAATTTGGGCTTTCTAAATAACCACAAAGTAAAATCGTATTTGTTTTGACATATAGAAGACAAAAATTCGATAAAATCTGGCAAAGTTACATACTATTTTACACAAAGCCTTTGCATTCTGTAAAATTTATTCATTTTGTAATTTTGCTATAATCTACAAAGTCGGTGAATATTTGGTTCAAAACAGTGCTTAGATAAAAGGAAATTGCGGTTTTGGGGCGTTTCAAACCATGAACTATATTCAGGAATTGTTTTTTTACAGCACTGGAATTTGTGAACTTGTGCTGAAACATCAACATAACACTTGACATACTAGTTGTTATTGAAAATAATGCACGGGAATGCCGTGACTGGCGGTTAAGACTTCTGAAAAAAAAATCCTTTTTTAGACTAAAGGCAGCAGAAACATGGTATCAGGATATCCCAAAATCTGCAAACGATTTTGTGAGAAAAAAGGCGACAACTTTGTTGTTAGCTGTTGGAGAAGTTCCAAGTCACTTCAAAAACGTAAGTATACCGACCCATTGTCTTCCGTCGTCACCATTGGACAATAAGGAGAATCAGTTATAATTGTTTAAAGATTTTTACTATATCTATGGGGTTTTGAAATACAATTTAATACCTGCAAATCGTTACCCCTACTCCATTTTATCTTTTACTGGTAGGTATGTACCGCAAGGATACCTGAACGAGACAGTATTAGATTGATAACCAAGAATAGCATAATTATCTCCCCACAAAATAATAAGCATTATTGTAGGCAATCGCATAGATCATATACTGTACTTTATTTAAAAAAAAAACGAGATATATTTGAAATTCCCGAACTAGGACTTTCAAGATAGTCGATGGGTATGGCCATCCCTGCTCATAAGGTTTTGCTACCAGGGTGATTAAAACCGCAAATTTATAAATCTGTGCATTATTAAGAATATATTTTTAATCTGGCTTTCCATACTGATCTAGTCCAATGTCTCATACGTACAGCATGGGTATAACAAGAATAATTTAGCACAGGAAGTCAATTTGTTTAATAATGTGGAGATTCATATTTTGCATTATTATTGCTATTGCTATTTTATCTTTAACAAGTTAGACTCTGGCTTAGCAAAAATTTACTGATATATTACCATTTATATTGGAATATTTATACTCTTCTGATATTTCATTTGTTAGATTGTACGAAATAGTAAAAGACAAAATAGGCATAGAAATACACCATGATTATTGTAGAGACTTTTTTGACAATACAGATTTCTATTTTTTTTTCATCATTGTAACAAAACATCACGAATACCTCATTTGATTCTTTATTTTTACTGTATCTTACCTCTTTGCCTGACTTCCTTTTTTGCTACCTACAGATAAAAGATTCGAGGAACGCTGCTGGGCTTGCAGAAATATGTGCTTTGAACGAGCTTACGACTTGAGCGGCTGAAGTGGCCAACAAACATCTGAATTAATCGCTCGCTCGCAATCGAACCGCTCTGAATTAATACTCAATGACTTTGTATATATATTAACAATGATTATGATTTCAATGATTTGTCTCATTGAAGTTGCATCTTACTTTTTTCAATACACTGATAGTTGTAAATAATATTAATTTTGTACATCGATTTGGAGTCAATAATAATACTTCAACAGATGGTGGAATTGTTCAATTGTTGACTTTTTAGTAAGATCTGTGTTTTTGTTTCGAAGTGGGTTGCTGAAAATGAAAAATTGAGCCAATTATTTTTCTGAGCTGGTCGAGAATATGGGTTTCTCTGGCGAACATCCAGGTTTTCCAAGTAAGACTGACGTCCGCGTCAAAAGCAAAAGTTCGCGTAGAGCCGTAGACACTGCCTCTTTATCTTTTATTCGAGATAATATAAATTCTTCTTCTGAGAGGAATTGTAAAGCAATGATTACAATGACCAAATGTTATTATACTACGTGATATTCGAGGCTTTTCCTCCTCTGATCTTTAATAAGGCTATTGAGAGAATTTGGCATATTTGTCGCATAAGGCAATATTATGTATTTATTGTGTTTTAATGTGTTTTAATATATATATAGGATAGGATTTACATATTTACTCCAGGGGAGAGGAAACGGCACAAAGATCGAGTATTATCTTGACCTCGATTCGTTAAATGCTTTTAATGCCGTTGGTACAAAAATGTTCAATTGTGATAGACTGTAATATGCCGTTGGTGTAAAGTAAAATGTTCAAATCGCCTCTCGTCTGCCCCAAGTAGTTTGACCGGAATTAAACTTTTTGTGTGGAATCCCAACATATATCGCAAATTATTAGTAAGGTGTTTCTCTGCAATTCTCTTTTACAAGAGCGCTCAATATAAGAAAAGAGAGCACCACCATCAGTTGGCACCATATACAAAAAATTTACATCCACCTTTCGTATATTTCGAATGCGTTTGCCCGTCTGAAACGGTTGTTATGCAACTCAGATACTCAGTGAAGCGTTTCTCTTTAATTCTCTTTTACAAAAGCGCTCAAAATGACAGCCCCACCACTAGATGGCAGCAACTGAAAAGTAGGTCATTCTTTGTTTACGAGGTGATTGATTGATTATTCATCAATATTCTGGGTACAGTTGAACCAGTGGAAGTTTACAAAAAGTGGTATTAATTTCTCCTTTGTTTGGAATGTTCATTAGGCTATTGTAGAAATTTCTTTGACCAGATTTGTAATTGTGTCCTGCTTGCGGGGCGATTCTATTTATATAAATGTTAAATGGTAAAAGAAAGCCATTGTTCAAATATTTTTTAAAATCAATTGACACTATCCGAGAGAACGAAAGAAAAATATCTCTAAGGAAAGGAAAAATTGCCAAACACCATAAAAAATGGAGAATTCGTATAATATAATCAGAGAAATAATGCAATATGTGTTTATTATGATTTGTTATTGGTGAATATTGTTTATTGCAATATTGTTTTATTTTATAAAAACCTCAGTAAAAAAATAGATGATTGATTGAGCTATTTTATTGTAGTTTTCGAACAGTAAATGTTTGAAAGGGAAGTTTTGTTATTGAAGAGTGACTCATAGGCGGTTTTATCAGTAAAGAAAGTCGGCGGACGTCAAATAATAAATATTTTAATGAAAGAAATTAGTGATGGTGGAGAATTGGGAGATTAGATTCTTTATTTTTGAAATATTCTTTTTATATGTAGATTTTTGTGATTTATATTGCATTTATCCTTGGCTGGTGTGTAACAGTGAATGAATAATCATGCTTTAGTGGTGTAAACGGCAAAGCACTTTGGAACACTATTAGACAACAAGTGCTTGAAATTTGTGGGAAAATTTCAAAGGACCAAACGCCAAACTATAGCTCTTTTATTGAACATAGCTACATAATGTTTTGTATATTGAATATTTATACCTATATGGATATGAAGAAATGTAATGACTTTTTCAAAACTAAATTTTTCGATATTCTAAAATTCGATAAACATTTACATTTTTTCTTTGAATAATTTTTTTTTTTTATAAATTTGGAATTTCAAACAACAATTACATCATGCAATCTTAAAACCTCTAGGTTGTAAACTGCTTGTCTGACTAAGTGTGATTTTGGTCAGACGAAACGTTACAGAAATATATTTGTGTTTGTGTGCAGATGGACTCTTGAATTGCATATTATGGTATTTTTATTCCTGCTACAGCCTTTTTGCATTAGACGCATACGGATTCACTAGCGCAAAGGCATTGAGAAAGGATTGGGAGTTAGTCACGCGCACCTCTACTGATAGTTATATTTGAATTCTGTCCGTATTTTTTAACATATTAAAAGTGCTCTATAGCTCTTTTTTCTAATGAAATATTAGTGATGTTGATTGAATAAAAATTTAAAACTCTATATGGGTTTGAAGTTGTCAAGGTCAAGTACAAAAAGGGAGGATTTCAAAGTGGACATTATTTGGGCATTGAAAAGAAGTTTTCAGTAATTTCTAACAATTCAACAATATTAATTGAAGATATTGGTATCTATTTAAACCAGGGGTCCGCAACTACTTTTCAGCGCAACCCAAATTTTTTTTTTAATTTCTCACGACCCAAGCATTTGGTAAACATGTAATTAGTTATCGATTTTAAGACTATTATTGACACTAGCAATTTTCTTGTACAAAATTATATGAAATTCATCACATAAAATCGTGAATAATAGCGTTTATTATAACTAATGCGAATTATTAGTTTTGCGTTTTGAACACAACATGTCAATTCGAGGTTTAATTTGGGAGACGGCAACTCGAAGATCTTCTTCAACTTTTAGCCTTAATCTGTATTGTTTTTTTATGTGTGAAAACGCAGAAAAGGTCTTTCCACATAAGTAGGTAGTTCCGAATGGCAACAGATTACAGAAAACTCATTGCAGCAGCTGATATCTCCGGATATTCTTTTGCAACTAAAACTAAAATTCAGCCCAACTTCTTTTGCCATCAAATGCGGTCTTCAACCATCGATCACTTGACAAGTCACTCAGTGTTTCAATCAAGTCTGGTGATAGATGTTATATGTTTGATACTGTGAAAGTTGATAATAATCAGTCGTGTTGCTGTGGTGTTGTGATTTCGGGAAAATATTTATTAAACCACTGCGAAAGATCACGAAGATGACTGGTTATGGACTGTTTCACAATGTGTTTTTTTTAACTCGTTTTTTTTTCGAGAAAATCGTTCAACTCAGAAAACATATCTATTCTTCCATTTTCGACTCAGGCAGTCCAGTGTTGAATTTTCTTTTTGAAAGCTTCGATCTTATTATTCACTTAGATACTTTGTCATGGTATTCTTCTCGCTTAGAAATTCTTCTCGCTCAGCTAATCGGCGGAAAAATGTATTGTTTTGTCAATGAATTTTGAATGCTTTGCTGTAAGATGGCGTTTCAATTTCACTGCTTTCAGGCTCTCGTTGGTAAGAACATCGAAACAAACAACACATTGAAGACGTGACTCATCATTCATAAGAATACACGTGAAACCAAGCTTTATAAATTCTTCGGTGTAATTCCGCTCATAAGGATGGTTTGAGTGATGTATTTCTATCCGATGAGGGTGAGGAGATGAGTCTTTTGTCGGGCGCTGATCCCCACTGACGCAAAGATGGTTTGAAGGTGCATGCGATGTTCTGTTTCTCCTATGTATCTTCCGCTCGCGGCTTTTTTGAATTAATTTTCAGTAATCAGTTTGTCAACATTATTTGTGACTAAAACTATCTTCAAAATTCTTAACCCCGCTTAATTTTTGGATTTAATCAAGAATGCCTTACAATAACAAATGTAACAGCATCCTAACAAATTAATTTGGAATGAACGAATCTCATCATCTTATATGTTCATGTCTTATAAGGTTTATATATTTCAAACTATCATTTTGATTCAATACATTCAACAACCTTTCATTTGAATGTGTCGTAGAGAAGTTTGGCTTAGTCTATCCCAGCTATTTCTAGATTAATTTTTGATTGCTTTATTTAAAATAAAACTCCGACAAAGCAAAACGATTATTGAGTTATTTGATTGGGGCTTATATTTACCAAATCACCACTAAAAACTAACAAATAGCCCGCGAAAACCGCCAAAACGAGGTAATATTTACAACCCCGAAAGACTGCCTGAATGGCAAAAGTATCTGAGCGCTTCTGAAACGTTTATTATTACGTCAAATTTTGCAATTATGCTGATTGGCCAATGTTACGGCAGTAAATGAGGAAGTGCATACTCGGGGAAACATCCATAATTATAATCAGAGATTTATAAAGTTGTTATACATAAATACGCTACACTGACGCGGTGCTCATATTTATGACATCTTTAAATTGTTTTGCGACCCAGAGCGAAGGGCTTCGCCGTAGTTGCGGAGCCCTGATTTAAACCACTGTAGCGTTCGCCAAATGCACCGCCCAATAGAACTAGCATACGATTTAAGATAAGAACATAGAACGCTATAAGGGTGGGTTATCACGCAAACATTCTTGTGGCAAATTTGATTCGAAAGAAATTTTTAAGATTTTCGGCGCGTTTTCCGCTTGCATAAAGTGGACTTCCTTTGCAAGACTCGTTTTTTTTCAACCCTACCGAAATCCCGCTGATGACCTAGTACCGAGAACCTGTCGGCGTAATTTTGTATTGGGTCAAAGGCAAGAAATCAACATAACCAGCTTTTCGGGGTTAAAGAGCGTCACTTGCAGAGAGAAAGAGAGTCCAGCAATAAACAAAATAATATTGATAAATATCATTTACTAATTCACGGTTTTTGTTAGACTACGGAAGCCATACTGCAAAATGAAATGAACCAGTTACTAGATAAAATTAAAGATTGCCGTTAGGTGACACTGATGAGCTGTTTAATGATCTCATACGTACAATTAAATTGTCGTATTATTATTCATCGACGAACATATAAAAAGGATCGATATGCTGAACTGCTGTGGTTTCTGTTTTTTTTTTTTGCAACTTGTCAACCTATCAACTTATGGTGCTTAATTTTGGGGACGTCTTCACGAGTTGGTGCTTACAAACTGGTTCAAATGTTGATTCGAAATATTCAACCAACTGACAAATAAAAGTTCTGATATTTAATTATCGCCTAGTCTATCGCAATCAGTGTCGATCAATTTTTAATTATCAAAGTTTCCTAAAAGACAATATCAGCATTAATACTAAGTTATTTCATTTGTGTCAAGGTTTTCCAACTTAAACTGACAAATATCTGACAAAATAACGAAAGAGCGCTAGTGTTTGCCATCAATCCCGGAAAACTGACTAAGCGAGAAAATTTTCTGATGCAGAGTTGGCCTATGCAACGCTCTGCTGTACTGTTATCCTTTTTGAGGTTGTCGTTGTGGAAAAATTGCTTCTTTCCGTAACTAATTCATGATTTCCAATTCCAACCTTCCAATCTTACTACTTTGCGCCACCATGTGGCCTTCCGTCATGCTAGTCCGCTATCTGTTCGACCAGCACGGTTCCTAACTGAGGTCTTACAGGTAACAATGTGAATTTCAAAGCTGCAGAAACTTCATTAGTTACTGATGTATTGCGGTTGGTTCTTTGATTTTTGTGTCCATATATTTCGGATTAGGTATTTTGATTTTTAATCAAACGATTTCCGCATTGCTCATAAACCGCTTTAAAATGCATATCAAATTGGATGATCGTATTTGTTTTCTGAGTTGTCTGTTAGATATAGTTGTACAATAGGCTTTCAATCTCAAATTCACGCCACTACAACATTTGTAATATTGCTACATTATCAGCTAAAGAGACAATATATTTTTTACAATAACTCTTCTATCATTTCAAACTACAAACTGAAACTGTCTCCTGTAGTGATGAAAGGGCCCAAGCATAACGTTTTATCGTTGTTCTTGATAATCTATTCCCAATTTTTGTTTTATTGTGTTGTGTATACTCACATTGTAAAACGGCATAAATATTTAAACTTTGACCCTCAACAATATATTCGATAAATACGTTGATATTCTAACTTGGAAAGGCAGTGCTGCCATAATGTGACTAATTCTGTTTACATCACCAGGTTATAGTTTTCAGTATCAGTCTCAAGGTGGAAAGTTTTGTAAAATATCAAAAGAGTCAGTTAATTGCCCATCATTTATTGTTCTTCGTAAATGAAGTTAGTGAAATGAAGAGTTTGTGTCGCTTTGTAATTTGATTCAAAAAACCTGCTATTCAGGCTTTATTTCAACGAATTGATAATTTACTGTTATTTGATACCAATTATTTAAAAGTTAATATATTCGTGACCCTGATAATTAGTCTCGTCCTGTCTTTTATTTAATATATAGCGACTTCAAAAGTTTTACCTAACGTAACCGCGTCTGCGTGTGCCGCTAATTAAGTGCCGATTTTTTGCTCTTAATTGCCATTCATAAAATTGAACTTGTCAACCCTACAGTTAAATTAATCTATAGCCAGTCAGTATATTCATATAGTCCGAGTATATGCCGGATTATTATCTTCTAGATATGAAATGAACCGCAATAAAATATACTTGAATTTTACTATCAACCAATGTAATATCTTAACATTGTCAAAGAACAGATGATACGTTAGTCGAGAACTGATTTTTTTAAACTGCGTAATCCTCTCAAACACAACCGGGAAATTATAACTGTGATAAGCAGGCTAATGATCTGTCCCAATATTTAATAATTGCTAATAATTTGTGTCATATCCTACGTACTGAACGTCAATAATCGAAATTGATTGGTCAATTACTCTAGCTACCAATTCACAACCTGTTATTAAAGCTATTATCGTTTTAATTAAATGAGTATGCTACCCCGCTTTCTTCTCTTGAAATTGTGTATGACGTCATAATACTTCGCCGAAAAAAACTGAGCTGAGCATCGTTATACACGGTATAGCAAAATTTGTAACATATATCGCACGAGTTTTTGTTTAATTTATTATTTAAGAAATCTTCGAAAAGAATATAATTGATAATGTAAGTATAATAAGGGCGAACTTGCATGAGACGTAAAGTATTATGAAATAAATGCAATTTAATAAAATAGAAGAATATAAATAAAGGAAGTCAAATAAAAACTTAGAGTGAGGCGAGTGAAAATTCTAGAGGTTGAATAGGCGATTTAAAATTTTAGTTACTGCTAGATGAAGTGTGGTTTTGATGATTCTGTTCAAGCAAAATGACGCTTCTCGGAAGCTTTTTATTTTTATGGGAACATGATATTGTTACTTCGAATGTTTATCAAAAGATGAAATGCTCCTGGCACAAAATAACATTGCACTACAAAAAATAAATACTATAAAAAAATTTTCAAGAACAGCAATTCTATCGTCGCTCACAACAGTGCCCACATCTTGTTACAGCGAAACAGATTCCTTTACTAATGAACCTGGGCTCAATTAACTCAATCTGGCAACAGTAGAATTATGAAGTGACGTTATGTGGGTTGTTTCTTAATCAAGTACAGACTGCTCCTCTGTCTGACGTACACGAGCATTTATTTGCGCCTCGGCATTCTTCAGACCAATTCCAATTTCCACCTCTGTTCTTGCACCAAGCTATACAACCATTGTTGCTGCGACACGAAGCTAGTTGACTGTAAAGAAGTAAAATATTGTTAGTTATCGTCATTAAGTTTTTTAGTAAAAGTTCTAATACTAAAAAAACGTCTTCTTTGTTTTTATATTTTTTGTTAAAGTAATAAGAGATATTTACTTTGTGCAAGCACAGCTTCCTTGAGCCGGTCCGAAAGCCATACATTGATTTCCGTTGTTACATGCTCCAGATCTCGTCATGCATGAACCTGCTCTCATATCGGGAACTTGTTCATTGTAGAGTCTCAATGTTGCTGACATGCTGTTTGAATATCGCATATTACCACCTTTTCTGTAATGGGCAACAGACCATGTTGATAGTTGGTTGTATCTTCCAATTTTGGTGGTAGCCATAGCACATCCTAAATGCGTTGTGTCTTTCCACAAGAGCTGTGTCAAATGTCCTGAAATACAATAAGACCAGTTTTAATTTGATTTACTTATTTCATGTATATATTATTAAACAATTTACTACTCAGTTGTATGCACAATTGAGTGTTAAAATGAAATGAGACGTACCGACTGGCTTGTCTGGAGCTGGAGAGTGTGTTGGATGGTTTCGGTTGTAATAGAATATTTCACTGTACCATCTAAGAACAGATTCTTTGGCGGGGCTACCATCTCCAGAACGATCCCATGCGATATTTTCACCATCACCTGCTTTTCTGTAGGTTCCCCTTTGGTCGGACTGTAAATGCAAAAATAATGTTAAATAAAAATATTATCCTAGTCAATGCAATATTATATCATTTATATATATGTTGTTATTGAACGATCTCATAAAACTAATTTTCTCACCTCAGAGTGGGGCCAGTTGCGGGTACGATCACCCATCCTGGCTTGGTCTGGTCGCTCTGGTGCTCGTTGCTTCAATTGATCTGCCCATCTTTGAGCAGTCCTTGCAAGTTCTGAGGACCATTGAAGAGCAGGTACATTGTGTGCTGCTCGGAAAAAGTTGTGGGCTTCTAAGCACTCTCTGTTGTATGCGTCTGTTGGCTGAGGTCCACCACCAATTGGTCGAGAGGTTCGTCTTGTTGTTGTAAAAGATGGGAAAGTGGGTTGGGGTCGGTATGGTCTTCTGGTTGTAGTGGTATATGGACGAGTATAAATCGGTCTTCGTGAAGTGGTATATGGACGAGTATAAACTGGTCTTCGTGAAGTGGTATATGGTCTAGTATAGATAGGACGACGAGTGCTGAACGGTCTTGGTGTAGGCCTTGATGGAAAAGTTGGTCCATTGTCTGTACTTTCTGCAAAACATAGCAACACTGATTTTAGTTTTTGCTAACCAACTGAGCAAATAAATTCTTTTTTATAATTATTTTACGAAACTTTATGTAAATAAACTATGATCTTACTTGGTCCATAGAAGTAGAAGACCGATGACGTATAACCATTTGAGGGGAATTTCTTAGATACGCGGGAGGTCCAATGTGGTCTTCCCCTGTTTCCGACGTAGTATAGTTGAGACTCAGATGTTCGGAAAAGAGAACCGTATAAAACAAATTCTTGCTTCCAACCTAAAATTATTACATAATTCATTAAACTTTTGATTAAATACTTTTAGTATGCTTTAGTACAGTAGCATTTTAACGATTTATATTTTGTGATAAAAAATATTATTTGAACCTTACCTCGAGAGCATCGTCTTTTTGTTACAGCCCATTTTCTGTTACCAGTCGAGTCTTTGCTGGAGCAAAATTTGACTGCCGTCTTGTATGTATCAGTGGGTCTGTAAAACAGAATCAGCTTGTTAATATATATATTTCAAATTTCATGTTAAATTTTTAAATTAATCAAAATAAATAATTACTTTTTGTAGAGGTAAAACTGTGATATCTCAGAATTTCCTTGTATGACATTTGTCCAGGGTCTTGAAGGATAAGCACCTGAGCTAATCGAATACATGTAGGATGGATATGGCTCGTTTAAGTCGTGGGTGAAAATTGAAACTTTTACCAGGCCGGAAGATCCAGAAACTGAAAAATTAAATAACAGAAATATATTATAAACATGAAAAAAGGCAGTTTTCAATTTGAGCTATTGATATGCAACTTACCAAATGGTTTAGGAGTCGTGGTAGTTGTTTTTCTTTCCCACCATGGCTTTTGTGTGATTCTCGGGCGTCTAGTGGTGTAATACGGACGTCTGGTTGTAGTTGGTCTTTCGGTCATCCACCACGGGCGAGATGGACGCTTGGTTGTTGTGATACGCGGTCTCGGTGTGGTAAAAATTGGTCTTTCTGCTTTTGTCGTTCTCGGTCTCCATGGATTTTGCATCCAAGGTGGAAGAGTTGGGCGTGGTGGCTCGGTGGGCTTCTCACCACTTCCACCGCAGAAGTTACAAGTCAGAGGGCAATGATGTCCCATAAACCTAGAATTAGAAATAAAAAAGGGTTAAAAATCATCAAAGGTTCACATTTAAAAAACTGGAAATCGGCGAAATAAAATACTCACGTCGACATCATATGATTTTTGTCGCACAATCCTTGTCCCATAGATTTTATAAATGCTTCACAAACATTTACATTATCCTTGCACATGTGCGCTGTATTAAAATTAAAAAAAAAACTTGAAACGATGGCTGTAATTTTGTTTAATTGGTGTCAAAAGTGATCGACTATAATTATAATTTATCAGAATCGGTGCATCAACAAAACCGGTATCGAAAATAGTTAATATCCACGCTAGTCTAAATCCGGCACACCGACGTCTGAGCTAATCAATAAGACACGTAAATTATACACGAAAGATTACAAACAGTTTTTCATAAGTATTAATGATATATTATGCTTACGTTTGCAGTAACCATCGCTACATTTCTTGTATTCCATTTCGATTCTTGGCACTTGTCGAACTCTCTCACGTGATCGGATATTGAGGACAGGACGACAACAAGTCCAACTGCTCCAATCTTTGGAGTTTACGAGGCCAGCGCCGAAACCTAAGTCGAAATTCATATGTTCCTCTGGAAAATGTCCTTCTTTTCCAAAAGCTAATTCAAATTCTTCTGCGGTGAGATTATAGTTTGACCTCCCGACGAATTCGGTTTCCTGAAATTGGGAATTATTTGAAATTATATAGATGGAAAAGATGAAAACTCAAAAAAATTGTTAAAACTGTCCACAGGATTTGACCGAGTATTACACTCACACGTGCATACTTACATTAAACGAATTCTCTTTTTCTAAATCTTCTTCGTACACCATTTCGATTACTGGAGGCGTAGTCGTCAGCATATAAACTTCATCAATATAAATTTCCTGTTCAACTTTATTAATTTCTTTATCATCAGACAGTTCGGATACAACGACGTCATACTGAAATAAACAGACATCCACCTTAGTACAAATTTTCACCCTTTTTCACACATTATCAGAAAAAAACGTTGATGCCACAATTTTACAAAGTTTTTTATTTTGATCACAATTCAAAAATCTCGATTTGAACTTACCGAAAGCACACTTGCGTTGCAAACGACGATAAAACATGAGATCAGTAGCACGTATGTGAACGATAGTGCGTTCATGGTGAATAGTTTTGACATTCAAATTAACAAATGATAGTTTTATTTCTATTTTATACAAAGTATACGGATCTGAAAATAATAAAATTTTGTTAGTTATATTGAATATATTCTTTCTAATATTGAAAACGATCAGGGAATTATTTCTTAAACGAAACTTTTCTATAATACTGCTACTTATCGTGGCGTCGATATTTTGCAGAGAAGTTTTATCAGATAAAACTTCCTTTTCTCTAGTAGCTATTCTTTACTTTTTATGCAGCGAGAATGCTTGTTTCTAACTCAGTTAGAAAATGTTTCTTGCTATCCGTTCACCGAGACCGGTTTGATTCGAATGCCGCTATACTGACATGAGCCACATTTTATATGTTTTAGGTCGTCATGTTTTGAGTCATCGGTGACAAAACTTTTTCTTTTCTTTACGTAAACTCTTCTATCAAAATACAAATGTGGACGTTTTTTAATTTGTCTCAAACGCATACAATCGAAATAGATTATGACTATTTTTCAATCAACAATAGAATAATGTTTTTAATATTAATAAAAATAGCATACATAATTATGAAATGGATGCACAATTTCCATTCAAATCTAATCAAAATTATAAGATTATTGTTGAATAAGCCAATGCAATGCATTATTTGTTTCTTAATTCGGTTGTAATATTCATCTATTCTAGATTGAAATTGGACATAAAAATGTTTTATCTGATGGGTAATAATTTATGCCAAGTAGAATCTCATAACTGAAGTTTGTATCCATCCTTTCACCTGCGCCCACAAGGCTACACTGATTAGTGATTATAGGGAGCTGTACTTATTTTGCTAAGTCACTCATTTACAATTCTAAGAAAACTATTTTCCAATTTCTGAATACAACATTCAGACACTATATATTCTTGGTTAAAATTTGTTATATGCTTGGCAGGCGCAGTAGCTGAACCACCAAATGCGACGTATAAACAGACAAACAATTTCAGAATGGAGCTGATAAAGTTAGTTGTGTAATTGCCGGAAAACAACCCTTATTAGCAGCTGGTTGCGCCCTACAGCAAGCGTTAATTTACCAAAATTACGGTGCGGAGTGTGAAGTACCTTCATCAAATGTACCCGGTGGGCATCTTTTGCAATCTCATTTAAACTTTATAACGTTAAATATTTTGCAAAAAGAGATTTAACATGAGTAAAAAGTATTATTTCAGCAATAATTTTGTTTGTTTTCTACGCGTTTGTCAGCAAATGAAGTTAAAATTAGTACCCTGTGTAACTATCTGCATTATTATTTTTGAATTTTGCTTGAAATGACGGCAATTTGTTTAATTGGCATACTTGATACAGCATCAGGCTATGGGCCTGCATCTACTATGAATCCAAATTACTGCGTATAGCGAACAATATTATTCTTCCGAAGAAAGGTGAAATGATCGTTGGATTATTATTGCTTTCATGAATGAATAGGTTTACATGGGTGACATTTCTTTCTCAACCAGAACCTGCATGAATTTCGTTTTCGTTTCTGAATCAATTGACGTAAGATGATGGTATGTTCCGAACAGAATGTTACTTGTAATTTTAATTTCTTCGTTAATTATTTAATTCCTTGGCCATTTATTTTTGCAACACATTCTAAAAATTATTAATGCCAATTTGGTCAATTTTCAGTGGTGCCTTACGTCACAATTCATCATGGCAGTATTGCATTAGCAAGTGTGACATTTTGTATACATGTATGTATTCCATGATAGGTGATATTGGTTCAGTTACCTAATTATTTCGACTTGGAAATATTAGTCACCAATGAGTTTGTAGGTATAAATACCATATAGATAAACCAGGGTGTTGATCATATACGCAAATGCATTTTCAGTTTGCTAATCAATACTTCACGTTTTTTTACGCACAACGTAAGATTTATCGACGTAAATAAATACATAATATTTATATTGTAGATTTTGTTAAAAACTTTGCTTCCGGATGTTCAATTCGATGCGTAATTGTACGTCACGTACGTCGCGTTCGGATCCATTTGTCAATCTTAAAATATCCTCACGTTTTCAAAATTAGTACAATAAAATATAAAGTTTATTTTTATTTGAAACAAATATATGTTAAATAGTACGCAAGAAAATATTAATGAACGTTGATTACGTTACCAGGAACGTTTTATGATGTTGCAAAAATGCGGAAAAATTTGCGTGTATTTGCAGTTTGCATTGAGTCGTATAATATGATATACACGATTAGACAATATAAAATTTTAATGTTTTGAATTTGGTTATTGTTACCGTTAATTGTTTTCAATGTGGCATGTGTATAGTCTAGGATAGAAATAGAAATGATGGCTACAAAAAAGCCTATTTTTTGCATAATTATTTTATCTAAATAATATAAGTGACTAAATTGTTTTTGAACTTTGTCTGGAATATATATAGGCGATACCTCATTTGGTGATAAGTTAGTTAAATATGGACTTGTTTTCAAACAAACAAACCACGAAGCTAAGGGAACTTGTGGAGAAACCTTTTATTTTTTACTAAAGGAAATTAGACGCGTAACTTGGATATCCACCGTTGCCTTATTGGGCATCTAAAATGATATGCACTCTTGCAAAGTTCGGTAAGTTAAAAGAGGCTTTCTGCTTTCCATGAAATGCGTTTCAATATAGTTTCGCTTTTCGAAGCGTTTTCTTGTCTCATTGTCCAACACATGTACCCCCTCTCAATCATTTGAAAGATTATTGAGATATCATAGACTTGCTGATTTCAAGATAGTAAGCACATTTGAAACAAATATGCAACTGTTATACATACAATCCGTATACAACCGTTTCATATTTAAGTAACGTTAGACATGCAAATTCTGTTCTCACTGCACGTAGAAGTATAAACCGTTGAGCATTAATTTTCATATTCGATTTGAGGATTTTATTTACTAACTCCATAAATATAATCAGAATCTGCCTAACTGCATTATAAACACAATACTTAATATTCATACATATCTTACAACTATCCAAGTTCAATATCAAGTTCGCAAATGCTTGTTGGCTTGCAGACTACGTGCCCTTTTCGACTGTCATCCATCATTACGAAATACACAACGAAGTGTCTCGTACGTCACAACGTGTATTATTATTTCTACAGGTGTAATTAAAATAATACCGTCGCAAATCCTATTAACTTGATCGAACATAAGGTTGCCGCAATGTCCGTTCATTCTCTCCTTTTAGTAAATAAACAAACATGAGATTAGGGAAATGATCCCAGGAATACACGAGGTGATCAAACTGCTGCTGTACAGTATAGGTGAGACGTTTACGTAGAAATACACTTTGTTGTCGAGTGAAAGACGGGATTATGCTCTGTTCAGAACATAATCCAAAAATTTCTTTTGATATCAAATCTGATTAATAGGGAAATTCTTCAAGATAAAATTGAGTACACTTCATAACTTCAATTTGTTAGTCTACTTGAATATGCTTTTTCAATTTCAGATGTTGCCACTTGCATCGTTCGATGTTTTTGTAATGATAAAAAAAAGATGGAGCTTGTGGTGATTTCGTTTCAATTTTACGGTGACAATATAACTGCTCCAAACAAGATTTTTATATTGTTTAAAAGGTGACGAATGCGGAAACTCTTCAAAATCCAGCTATCAATATTGAAATCGACGATGTTTAATTTATTCTTTTATAGTTCTTCTGTCATAATTACCATCATACGCGTGTTAACAGATACACAATAAAGTATAAAGTAATGATTGAACTGGCCAATTGTCTAAAGAATTTACACCCAAAAATACTTTTGTTTGCAAAGAATGAGTTTAAGTATTCAAACGAAACGCATTGGTCTAATGTGGACATGTTGAAAGAACAAAATCATGACATAGTTTAACTGTTTTCAATGCTGTTTGGGCAATTTTGTTGTATTTTAGTAATAATACATGTTTTACATAGATACATATACTTATATATACTTTCATACATTCTTTGTAGTCGTGGAGTATAATAGTATTTAAAATATTAGGTAGCTATTTTGATATAAACTATATTGACTTTTGCTAAATTTATGCCAGACTTTATTCCAACAGTTTCGTTGAAAACTTTAAATAAAACAGTAAAAAATGAAATATTACCACGAAGCTCAAGTAAAGATGCTACAAGGTGATGGTTTTAAAATTGCAAATATACCTTAAAAGCCGATAATAACGGTTCAAAAATTGAATGTTCCACTATATAAACAAGCTTTTAATTTTATTTTTTATAAACGTTCTGAATAAAGTCACAATATTGTTCGATACAAGTAAAAACCTGAATCAAAAATAATCTGGCATCTTAGGCCGAGTTATTTCAAACAAACCTATAATTATTTACTAATAAGATGACCTCAAAATGAAACTGAAAAGGAGAAAAGCTTGACAACAGTTGGTTTTGAGTTATACGAAAGACGAAAAATATTGTTTTTGCTAGGGATTTTTGTGAAACATAGCAGATAAAAATATTTGCATCCGTAGATATTAGTACCGATAATTTTACGTTCTAACTTAAGTAAAAATACTCCAACTAGGCAGAAAATCGGTTTTCATTACAGATAAAACCTAATATGCCAGTATTATATTCCTAATTGGTAAATGATGACGTACTTACAACATGAAAGCACTTCTCAAACTTCAAAAAAACTCCGATTTACCAATTTCAAAACCAATGGCGAAATACAAGTTGGTATAAATTTCTTTTCATCATCAAATAAGTTATGGAATATGATACACTCATCAGCAGATTACTAATATTTCTGTCATTATGAGCGAGCGAATTTTGCATCATCATAATTTTTCACTTATAAACCAATGACGACTTTACCCAATTTGGCCCTAAAATTGTGTCATGTCATAGAGTGTTAGGGTGATTTAATGTCTGATTTAACATCCTTTTTCTCAATTCATAAATCATCTGTGCCGTAATTAGGATGTCATAGATTTATCACAGGTAGATATAGTTTCCAGTAAACTGTCTGATTTTTGTGTCAAATCAATTTGAGTTTTTGCAAGCTATACATATTGCAAACATGGCATTGCCGAGAGATGAGCTGTTG